TCTCTCTCTCTCTCTCTCTCTCTCTCTCTCTCTCTCTCTCTCTCTCTGTGTGTGTGTGTGTGTCTCGTCATACAGAAGACTTACATACACAGTGAGAGAGAGGCACAAATACAAAGAAAAGGCGTATATTTTTGTTGATTTGTTTGATTGTATTTTTCTCACAATATACAGAGAAAACGTCATAATACGAAAGCACAGATAGCTACAACATACGCTCAAGAGGTTTAGAAATCTTCGCTCACTTTTCGATGAAATTCGACATAAAACAAAAAAAAGAAGTGAAGAGAAACGAACGAATAATTTTGAATAACGGAAAAATCAACAAAGATTAATTATATTCAAGAAAGTGATAGACGCATATATTTCGCATATTCATTATTTTATTTATCGATACGGATTTTGAGTTTTTTTTATTGATAATACTTTTTCAACTTTGTAGTAAAACATAACTAACTAACGGGAACAAAACTGTTCGGATCATCATCAGCAAAAAGAGACAAAAAATAGAGATCGAAAAAGAGAGTAAACTGAAAACGAGAGAGCACCAAGTGGAGAGTAGAAGAGAAGAAAATAACAAACAAAGACATACGTAGCGAACCACTAATAAATAGCTGCATTTTGTACTGTTACACAATTTGTAATTGCGTCGCATCGTAAACAATACAAAAACTGTCTACAAGAACGCAATAGAAAAATATTGTTGAAGCACAGAATAAATTAGATTAAATTTTTTTTTTTTTATTCAAAGTTAAAAAAGAAATTAGAACAACAACAAACCATGTGAGATTTTCATGATAAATAATAACGGCGACATAAAAAAGAAAACCAAAATAGGAATCGATATATTCATGGGGATAAGTGTTATTTTAAAAAGTGTTTGCTTCTCAAAAACTGTATGGGAAATTTCGAATCAATACAATGACCCCTATACAATTTTTTGGGTGATATACAATGACCCCCTTGGTGATATACAATTTTTTTTAAACATATAATATATTCAAAAAGAATTATGCAAAACATCCAACCGTGTTCATCGTGAATGTAATACAAAATTCTTGTTTCACTTTTGTTCAAATTTGATCATAGAAAATCGAATCTTTAATCAAATATCCGCTAAAGCAAGAAGAATAAAAACTAACTAACCCCTCCAAAAATTCGATTTTTTTTAAGTAAACCGATTATAAAATAACTGGAATTTCAAGCCAAAAAAAAATCGTAGTGTAGACCCACTGCTATAAAAACTACCGTAAGTATTATATCTGCATTACACTCTCAGTGAAGATTAAATTTTCGCATATTTCATTTGATTCAAATGTTCTTCGCAATACATATTACAAAACAAAACAAAAATCATATGTTTTCTCCCTACAATCATTTTTTTTCTATCTGTGACTCTCATAGAGCTTTGTTTTGCTATTTCCATCAGAGCTGCTGTGCATCAAACTGATGTGCTACGTATTGTATGTGTATCTAGATGTGTATGTATGATGTGCACTTTTACTTGCGCTTAGGTCACTTGCTTTTCGTATATCTATCTGTCTGTAACAACCAATCCAAACCCCGAATTGTGCGACCAAGTTCAAAAAACTGGTAGCTTTTGTGAGTTTGCTTGGTATGCTTCTTTCTCTTCTTTCTTGTGTTGGACGCCTGATTGGGTCAATGAATTCAAAGACAAAATGAATAAAAATGTGTCGTGTTGGTATTAATTGGGTTCCATGAACCGTCGTCTGAACCGTGGATAGATAAAGGTTTCCAAATGTTTTCCATACATATATATGTTACGATGTCCAAAAAAATCGAAATGTCGCACCACATATCAGATACATATTTATTGTTTCGATAAATTTTGATGATTAGTATTCAATCAGCGACTAAACTAATTACAACCATAGTCTATTCGATTTTTTGTTCATCATAAAATTGCTTTGAGCTAAAGGTTTGTTATTTTTTATAGAGTATAATTTCAATTATAAATAATTCAAACGATTTTTTTTGCTCCTATTGAAATTTGAAGAAAAGAACGCAAACATCATAGAACATATATGTATTTCTAAAAGAAAAATATTTTTTAAAATGCGCTCAATATACAATTATACATACAATGTGGCTCTCATTGACCCCCACTTTTGTAAACCAACTGATGAACGTGTGTGTGTGTGTGGATGTATGTATGTACGTGCGTGTATCATACACGCGACGATATCAGTCGACGATTATGTATGAAACACATACATCGTTGCCTTGGAATGTAACCATTCTATTTATCAGCGCGCCATTTTTATTGCTTGGTTTTTGTTTGGAGCATTACCTAAGCTGTATGTCTTTGTTTTCACTTGATTGTTTGTCGTACACGTTATTCTCGTTGATACTGAAAGACGGCGCATGAAATTTGCATGAAAGTTATTCGCAAAAAGAAAACGAGTCTCAGTCTCCATGTGCGGGCATATTGTCAGTGTTTGCCATATCATGAAAATTTGTATTGACGGGATCATGTACTATATTATTTTGAGATTCTTACTATCAAGCAACTGCAGTTGGAAGTTCCAACTTGGAACGGCATCAAGTTTTATATGACTAGTTGAATTAGAAATTTTTCCACAAATTACAGCAACAAATCGATGTAAAAAATCCTTTGTTTCGTTTTGATCTGATAACAAAATGTTTGCATGTTTTCATTCTAGCGTAATTAAAACGTTATAGTTCATACAACATACTGTTAGTGCATAAAACGACTGGGGTGATTTTTTTTATAATCGGAAAAAGGTTTTTTTTTTTTATTTGAATTGCGGTGTATTTTAAAGATATACAATTTAATAGAAAACAGACATGTTTATATTTAATAATCATATCGCTTTATTACATCGCATATCAATAGCTCTCTATATGACAACAAAAAGATACAACAAACGAGCAAAGTGAATGATACGAACAAACCGACGACACCGAACGTGTATTGGTACATAAAATTTATATTTATATAGAGACTATCGCTCAATACAAAGCTCCGATGTATTAGTCTTGTTTATAAAATGATAAAATTTAAGGCGAATCAAAAGAACACGAAGGACTTGTATTTTAAGACTAGTATGGCCGAAAAGGGATGTTTAACGTAACACTGTTCAAGGTGCAAAAATATATTATTTATACTATATTTCGCGTTTATTGTTTTCGACTCTCTCGTCTCCACCAAGCTGTAATCGCCTGTCGGTCAATTTTTTGTGCTGTGCATTAGCAAAATAAATAACATATATTAAAAGATGTAAAATTAATATAATTGTGATTTATGTTTTTTTAACATTTTTGGAAACCAAAAGAATTGACCAACCGACCATAAAAAAATGCAATAAGAGAAAATAAATTAAAAGAAATTGATGTATTTTCCAAATTTAAAATAAAAATAAATTTAACTACTTTCATATTTCAAAAAAAATATCTAATGCAATTAAATTAACTTAAATTTCGTCAATATAAATCGACAATTAAACAATTTGAAAAGTCATTGAAATACATGCCATCTATTTAATACAGTTCAATTCAATAGTGTCAAAAGCACCAGCTTTTCTCTGACATGTTCAATGTGATTCGAATACGTGAAAAGCATAAACACAAACCACAATATTTGTGCGTGGGATGTTTTTCATTTTAAAGAAATGCTTACAGTTCGCTCATGAATTTCTATATTTTGAGTAGGGGAAGGTGGGGCGAATCACCGCGCGGGGCGAACCGCCGCAGTCGAATTATCTCGAGAATGAGATCCAGAATATCCAACTGTCATATATCATTAGAAGCGTCTTTATGTCCTCCATAATTGGAGGTAATGATATTGGACTTTCGATTTTTCAACTTTTTTTCGCCTGTCTAGAATTTTGACTTTTGTGCATTTATTTTTATTTTTCTGAAAAAAGAGTAAGTTAGTAAGTGTTATTTGTAGCTTAAGCACACTGCAATTATGTTCCATAAGAGACTGTATAAAATGCAAAACTGTAGCACAGCTAGCGCCACTGCGTACAGCTATAGAGTTCTAGCCTATTGTTTGTAACTGAGTAAAAGTCTTTTCACTAGTGGGCAGCAACTTAGTATAGATTACATTGAATTCCGTCGTGACGCTAGCTGTGTTACACTTTGAGCATAATTTCGGCACGAGCTTAAGTCAAGTGAGAATTCTCTAATGTTGTTTGTTACCAAGACGATATCGTCGTAACAGGTACGAATTTTTCAGATCATTTGAAAACGCTGAAACAAGTTTCTTACAAGATTCTTACGGCAGGGTTTAAATTAAATATAAAAAAATGTGAATTTTTTAAAGAGAAAATTTCTTATCTGGGGTTTGACATCACCAAGGATGGTCTAACTAAAAACAAGGATCGCATTAAATCAGTACTAAATGCACCAAGACCACAAGACATTTCTGAATTGAGAGCATTTATTGGTATGGTTAATCGCCACTCAAAATTCATCGAAAACTTTGCACAGAAAATGTAAATGTAAATGTCATCTTTGTACAATTTGTTACAAAAGGATGTCGAATTTACATGGACAAAAGAATGCCATATAGCTTTCGAGCTAATGAAAACAGAAATCTGTTCAGACAAGGTAATAGTTCATTTTAATCCAGATTTACCGATAATATTATCGACAGATGCATGTAACACAGCATTAGCTGGAGTTTTGTCAAATCGATACAATGAGGGCAAAAGACCAATTGGATACGTATCGAGAGCGTTTAATAGTACAGAAAGAAACTACAGTACCATAGAGAAAGAAGCACTAGCTATCGTATTTAGTGTGATCAAATTGAAACAGTATTTATTGGGAATGCATTTAATTCTTCAAACTGATCACAGGCCATTAATCACAATATTCGGTGAAAATAAAGGAATTCCAATAATGGCAGCAGCTAGAATGCAAAGATGGGCGTTCATTTTGTCCGGATTCAATTACACTATTGAATACATTAAAGGTTCTTTAAATGATGCTGATAGTTTATCACGCATTGGACAATACGAAACAGCTGATACAAGATATGAAAGCAATTACATAAACTATGTTGGTTTTACCAATGTTCTACAGTTGAATTTTTCAACAGTCGCGAAATTTTTACGACAAGATCCGATTTTATCGAAAGTTATGGATTGCATTAACAATGGCACAGTAGAACAATTAAAAGGAGACGAGTTTAAATCATTTCGTTTGAAATCAAATGAATTGTCAGTTGAGTCGGGATGCATTTTATGGGGCTATAGAACAGTCATTCCCAAGAAATTGCAACAAAATGTACTGAATGAGTTGCATATGTCTCACTTTGGTGTTGTTAAAACTAAGGCTTTGGCAAGGTCTTATGTGTATTGGCCAAATCTTGACAAAGATATTGAGAATTTAATCAAAAGATGTGAATCATGTCAATTAGCTCGACCAAGTCCAGAAAAGAGCGAATTGATTCCTTGGAAACCAACTGATTCAGCTTGGAAACGAATTCATATTGATTATGCAGGTCCAGTACATGGGTTTTATTTACTCATTGTTGTCGATTCCTATTCAAAATGGATCGAGGTGTTTAAAACAAAACAAATGACTACGTCATTTATAATAAGCAAATTAAGAGAGACATTTTCTAGATACGGTTTAATTGACACACTGGTCAGCGACAATGGTACACAATTCACTTCGTACGAATTCAAAAATTTTGTCAAAGAAAATGGAATAAAATTCATTCTCATCGCACCAGGCAATCCATCTTCTAATAGACAAGCAGAGAATCTACCCTCACTTGCTTTCTATATCACCTGTATATTTTTTTTGAGCTTCACGTTCCGAGCGACATCTCTATGTGCTTGGCATTGAACTCGCGATCCAAACGAGCACCAAAGGCAATTAAAACATTTTTTTTTTGGTGCGAAAAAGTCAAAAATGTCAACTGATTTTGTGTGAAGAAAAACCATGTGATATGCAACGTCCTCGCAGTTAATTTCGATGACACAAACTGTGCAAAGTAATTTCAATTTATTTTCCATCACAAATTCACCAAATACAAATAATAAATCGGTTTTTGTTCAATTTACACGGTATATCTTTATCGAGCGTAAAATGACAGACGTCACAACAAATGATTCCGTATTCAAACTTCAAACAACTAACATTCTACACAAACTTTTTGTTCTAATTTTCATGAGCACATAGAGATGGCGCCATCATGCAGTTTTTTACATTATTTGTCATTGTAAGTGATGGTAGCAGAGAATACTGTCAAAACTGTAAAAAATCTCTTATTGCTTCGCTAAGACAAAATAAACCATCAAATTTTGAGGTTGTCTTGGGATGATTTTTGTTTGATTATCGAATCACAAAACATTGTACAACAAATGAAACACCTGCAAAACTCATGCTCAATAAAGAACTAAAAACTCGATTTAGTTTATTGCGACCGCCATTAACAAGGGAAATTATTGAAACAAAACAGCAAGTTGCTATTAAAAATTTCAAAGGCAAACGTAGAGTAGATTTTAACGAATGTCAAAAAGTATTGGTAAGAAATTACAAAAACCCTAACAAGGCTGGTTGGTCAAAAGCCATAATAAAAAAGAAAATAGGTCCACGAAATTACACATGTTTACTCATCCACGATAATCGTGATATCAAAAATACACAAATCAAATCATTGACAATGAGACGGTTGAGGTTGTTGAACTCAGCAAAGAAGATTCTTTGACAGAGGTTGAAAACGAACAAGCACCAGATTTAGTAGAGAGAGATGATGTGTCTGACATAAATGTTGATAGTTCGGACGATGCTGACGCATTCATGGATGCCAACGAATCTATTCCAGATGTTGTTGAAAGACCCGCTAAAAGAGATTCATCCAAGCGAGCAAAAGAGAAAATCACTAAACAATATAAAGGCCATAGCAATCGGAATAATCGAAGACGTCGAGCACGTACACTTCTCTTCATTCCATTTGTTATTAAAAATCATATTCATTCAATTCATTATTATTGTTCATTGATTCAAAGTCATTTATTGCAACGACCCGCTAAATTATTTATAAACTTAATACTTAATTAATTTGGATAGCAAAATCAATTTGATAATTTGAATTATGTACGAACAATTTAGATTTAAGCTATTTTGCAAAGACCAATTCATAATATTTACTTTGGTAGCAAACAGAAAATATCTAATATAATAACGCTTTAATTTTGATATAATAAACATCTTTAGGAGAGAGTTGTTAAGTATTAGACAATTAGTGGGGAAAATGTATCCCCCAATGGGGAAAATGTAACGATATTTCTATAGATGAGTGTGTACATTTTTGTAACGCCAATTTATATGGGAAAGTGTGTACGTAATATTTCCGATTATATGTACTTAGTACAAAGTACAAAATGTACATGTGAATGGAAACATTTTGTGCACATTTGTCATGTTCTTTTTTAGCACATAAAATGCACGAAAATAACCAATTTTTATATACATATTTCCCCATTGGGTATGCAGTGGCAACACTGATAGTATTTGACATTGGGGACAAGAGAGCACCTCACTTTGTAATACTAGAGCAGTAATGTGCGAGCTACATTTTACAGGGGGGGGGGGGGTGATTTTTCAAAAACCAAAAATTCTCTAGCAAATCAAACAAATTTTCGTTTTTTTTTTTTTGGAAGTCACTTTTTGAGGCGAAAATCCCTAGCAAATCGAAAGAATTTTCTCCGCGAAAAACCTTAGCAAATCGGAAAAAAATCTCTCGGAACCAAAAACCCTAGCAAATTTAAAGAATTCTCCTCAATTTTCTACATTGATGAGCTAAAAAAAAAAAAAAGGTCTTCACTTTTTTCATGAAAAACCCTAGCAAATTCGAATAATTTTCGCGAAAAAATGTTTCTCATCCAAATCACAGGAGGGGGTAAACCCCCCCCTACCCCACCCCTTCGCACATTACTGTACTAGAGATATTTGACTCCAAAAAAGTGCGGCGATTCGCCCCGTCCTCCCCTAATTTCGAATGCATATACCATTGGGCATTATTCCACGTGTCCACGGACCTTGCTTCAGAATGTTTTCTACCATGGATACGAAATGAAGCTACTAAAAGGTCCCGTTACTGATCGCCAGTAATAAAAAAATTTAATATCTTTTTTTACTTTTATTTACAGAACACAAGGCTGTGAAAGAAACAAAAGCCTTTTTACAAACTACGTCAAATCGGATCGAAATCATCCCAAATCGTTCGACAAAAAGTTATCAACAAAATATTTAACAAATTGAATAATTATTTATTGAATTAAAAATCTCAATTTAAAAATAAATAAAACCAAAAACTGTGACGCTATAATAAAAAAAATCGATAAACCAATACTGAGAACACGAAAAAAGAATTGGAATAAAATAACAGTAATTTAAAGATTTAATTAAAAACAAAAAAACTAAAAAATACGACCGAACTTATTTATCTCAATGGGAGTCATTTACAATCTCACGAATATAGAATATAAAATTAAATTAAATTAAATTCTTACCTAGAAAATACAAAAATTAGTACACCGAACTCATTTAAGACTAAATAAAAGAATGAAGATGATTATTTTTGTCGCTGCCCTCTTCATATAATTAACTTCAGTTGGAGAAGACAACATATTTAAAACAACAACAACACCAATATAATTAATCAAATCATTAATTGCATTCGATATATCCACGAAACCGAACTCCTCTTAAAGAGAAAAGAAAATCTAGAAAAGACGAACAATTTTGCTAAACTAAATCAGGTGAGAAGCTAAAATTCATTCACTTCGTTTATGATATTTTTTCAAAGATTTTAGTTAGGGAGGTTATTGGCAAAAATCACGTCAAAATTCGATTCTACCTCAGAAAAATTGAAGAGAGTAAAAAATATTGTTCTGGGTTCACATATACAATAATTATCGGCATAAGATGACTTAATGCGAAATTTTATCGAATGGTTTTCTCGATTTTATTTCAGTTCATTTTGACGAGGTACTGCTGCCTTTGCTGCTTTTACAAGGGAACAACGAAATAGTTCCAAAATGGTCAAAACATTTCAAGCATATTTACCTCCATCAAACCGAACATATTCATGCGTTCACTGCCGGGCACATTTAGCTAGTCATGATGAGCTAATATCGAAGGTATTCTTATAAAAATATTTGTCAATTCTCTTCTATTCTTCATTCATTTATTATCGAATGTTAATGAATTTTTTTATATAATTTTGCAAAATTCATTGCAGTCGTTTCAAGGTAGCCAAGGGAGAGCCTATTTGTTCAATTCTGTGTAAGTATATCTTTGTGTTATATGATAAGTAAAAAACACTTCTTTCGAAGTTCCCAGTGTGACGCAATATTATAAATCTGAAAATGTTCTGATATAAATTTTCAGTGACGCGTTCACTCAAATATGTACAAAATGTTCCTCTTTCGCCGCAAAAAAATATGGGAACGTACACCCTTTGAAAAATTAAAATTGAAATTAATTGTAAAAAAACAGCAGGTTTTTTGTTCAAAGTGAAACATAACTTTTAGACATCTAAATCATTTTGTGTTTGCATTTTAGAGGCGACGCAATAATAACATTTTGTACATATTTGAGTGAACGCGTCACTGAAAATTTATATCAGAACATTTTCAGGTTTATAATATTGCGTCACACTGGGAACTTCGAAAGAAGTGTTTTTTTACTTATATCAATAGTTTTGATAGTATTTTGGTTACCGTCAATATCTTCAAAATGGCAAAAGATGAAGATTTTTGTGTAGGAAATGTACCATGAACGAATTCTACCGTAAAATAAATGTCATATTCGGTTTTCTGGTACTAAAAAACTCACAAATACCAATTTTCATAGCAATCGAATGAAGAACCAATTTATTCCAAAAGAAAGGTTTCAAGCCGGAAACTATAAAAAAATGAACTAATTTCTCAAAACGGTTGCCACCATTGAATTCCTCGGGTCCGAATTATGTAAAATCAGTTGTCAACGTGAACAAACAAAGTAAAAACCTAGTACATTGCAGTTGATTACTAAGATATTAAATTATAGGTAGCCGTTTAAGTTCAAACTTTTCCCAATTTTCAAAAGAATGTGCTCGTTTCAAAATGTGCATATCGACTCAAAATTGAGTGCGCTTTCGATCTATGAAGAAAAAAGTCAAGCCAGTCATACATTTTTTCGGCATAAATGACGATTAACTTCGATTATCATCGATTTTTCGAGTTCTAGTCATTCTGATCTAACCTTTTCCGCTGATTTCTTTTTTCAAAATGTCTTTGTTGCTTTATCAAGATGACTTAAACGTCTTTCCAATAAGCTAAGAATGGCGTGATTCTGTTAAAAAACACCCCGTATACCTCTGATCAGAAATGACCAAAAATTGAAAAATTGCCGAAAAAAAATTTCAACTTCGGAATGAATTTTTTTTAAAAACGAATTTTCCCAGATATGACACATACGCCAAATCATCACATATTTGGTCCCCAACAAACGCCTAGTTTTTTTATTTTTTCTATGTACGCAATTTTTTTTTAAATTGGGATTACGTAAAAAAAGTCATGGTCATTTTTCGCTGAAAATGTCACATAACACGCTACCTGGTGGACATTTTTGAAATTTTTTTCTATTCTGACTTCGGATCCGGAAAGGTGAGTCTTTAATCTTTCCAACGACGTATAAATCATTGTTGTACCTATAGATGTGCCAAGTCCGATATCTTAATACATTTTGTATTATGATAATATTTATTAGGATGCTATTAACTATTAACAACCAATCATACTACGCATATTAACATGGGTAGTAGTATTAGGATCGATCTTAATAGCGAGTAGTAGTATGTTTATTATCTATTAAGATGCCGAAGTTAATACGCGCCATTTGCAATTTTTCGTAAACAAACAATATTTTGACCAATTCAATTTTTATCACATTTTTTGCTTATTTGTAATTTTTATTGAATTTTTTAATTTTTTATGAATTTTATTGGAATTTATTATTTATTAGAAAATTATTTTCGTTTTTTTAAGAAGAAATTTACTTTGTTTTTGTTCGGTAAACAACGATTTATACAAACTGTGGTTCGTACGTCACAGCTATGCTTAACATATAGAACTGACAAAATGCACCTTACGTCAAACGTAAAAAAGGGCGCGTTCAATACTTCATGTCATTAGAGAACCACTTGAAAAGAATGAAATCAATATACTATTATTATTTATTCACTTTTTTCTTCTTAAAAAAACGAAAATAATTTTCTAATAAATAATAAATTCCAATGAAATTCATAAAAATTTAAAAATTCCAATAAAAAATACAAATAAGAAAAAAATGTGATAAAAATTGAATCGGTCAAAATATTGTTTGTTTACGAAAAATTGCAAATGGCGCGTATTAACTTCGGCATCTTAATAGATAATAAACATACTACTACTCGCTATTAAGATCGATCCTAATACTACTACTCATGTTACTATGCGTAGTATGATTGGTTGTTAATAGTTAATAAAGGATTTTTCGTATTTAGTAATAAGATATGTTAATATTTCGATGTTAATAGGACATCTATAGTTGTACCTTACCAGAAAAATGTCCGATTGATGAAAAACTCAAAAAGAGCCTCCCAAAAATGTTCGACCCCAGACTAAAACCACTTACGCAACGAATTTTTTGAAACTGAAAAAGTAGTTTGCTCAGTTTTCAGTCTACTTTCGAAAAAAAATAATTTCACACAATTTAAAAGAAGGTACGGAGAAAAATGCAGTCATACAAACATACCACCTGGCCAATTTTGAGGTTTTTGCCCATTTGACCACATCTCGGTCACTTTTCGACCGATCATCATGATTCTTTATCCACGCACTCCCTAGATCTCGAATATGGCCATATTTTTTTTCGAAAAAATAATTTCGGTGGTCAAAAATCGAGAAAAATGAATTTTCAGCGATTTTTTCAAAATGCCACCATTTTTTAATTTTTTTTGCGGATTCTTAATTTGGTGCCCAAACACTACTAAAATATGCAAAAACCCCTTTCCAAAAATCAGCGGTATCGATTTTCATTTCTTTAACGTATATATAGAGCGACGCAAAATATACATATTTCATATGTATGTTGGTATTGCGTCACTTGGGGGACTACCGTCCCCCGTGATAGAATTATAATTTTTCAACTCATTTGTTTTCTATGTGAATGACAAAAATTATTTATCTCTTTTAACGCCCATCAAAACAGAGTCAATGTGTCTTGTGGACAAGCTGAAGAACGCGTATTACTAACAGGCTTACACGCGGTAGCCGATATTTATTGTGAATGCTGTAAAACGCCTCTGGGCTGGAAATACGTGAGTTATTCAAATGATTGTTGCTTTCTTTTAACGATTCGTTTGACAAGTGTGTGAATTTTTGTACATTTTCAGGAGCATGCATTTGAATCCAGCCAAAAATATAAAGAAGGGAAATACATAATCGAATTGGCCCATATGATAAAAGAGAATGGCTGGGATTAATAGAGCACACAACAATAGGAAGCTACAGCTTCAAGTAAAGCTTCATCTCTATTCTTATAAGTCCAGAAGAAACTATATGTTTTTTTCTTTTTTAATTTAAGATGGATCTTATATGTAATTTTTTTTTCTTTGATCGATAATCACTTTTTTGATTATGTTTTTTACAAATTTATGATAAAATATAATGCTATTATAGAATGCGTTGTCTAAGGATAATTGTCTAAATCAGAATGATTGTATTTTTTGGCGCATGCTTTCTAAAGTATGTCATTTAAAGCGTAAGGAAATTATTTTTCCGGGATGAATCGAACGAAAAGTAGAGAAGAAACCAAAAAGGACATTGTATTTTTTTAATAAATATCACCGTAACTACTTGATGATACTAAAACTTCTGAAAAAATGAAGGAAAGTTGGAATAATACATGATTCTTTTTGTGAATGGAAAAGGAAAGGATTCATTTGAAAAAGTTTAATTTTTCATCGAGTAGAAAAGAACAAAGAAACAAGAAAAATTCGAAATTAATAGTGATAATATCGCCAGCGACTCTAAAATTTTGCTGAGTTAATAAAAACCAGGAAAACTCTTAATCACAGATATGGCAAGAACCGCCATTCTTTCCACACAAACATACTTATATTAGAGTAAGGTGGGGTAATGTGTACCATGGGGTAATGTGTACCATCCTTAATTTTCGTACGTAACGATGATATAGTCAACCAAATTTCTATCATCAGTTGCTTTTGACAACATCTTGTTTTCTATAAAAAAAAAGCACGAGGTACAATGCACATTTTGTTGCCTTACGACAAACGCGCCTTTTTCAAAAGCTTTTCCAAGCCATCATATAAATCGTGTTTCTGTGAAATTTTTTCGACATATATGAAGGTAAATATATTCATAGTGTTGGTTTTTTGTTTATCTTTATTAACCCAAAGAGATTTTGTGATTTGCTCATATGGTTTTTGTGTAGTGTCAATCCGCATATAATAGCGTCAGTGGGGTAATGTACAGATTTACATTTTCTGTATGTTAATAATATGTTAATGCCCAATATATTTATTATTATGTTATGTTTGAATTTTTTTTATCTTAATAAATCTTATTAAGATACGGTTCATCTTAATAAAATCATCGTTGATTTGTCTTCAAGAAGCCTCAATTGAACATTTAAGGCGATTTATGTGGATATTTATGCTTTTTATTATCAAATTTTAATGTTGGTACACATTACCCCACCTTTTGGAAAAAGTCCAAAAATCTTCAGTTTTGAAAATGTGAAAAAAAATATGAAAAAACCAAAATTTTGAAAATCTGCTCATACACATATTTTGGATTTTCCTCTCTCTACAGAATAGAGCCATCAGTGGTTCAAATATTCAATTTTTTATATTTTTATGGGACTAAACAAAAAAGTGGTACACATTACCCCACCTTACTCTATATCTTTAAAAATGAATTTCTCCCCAAGTCCCCCAAAACCTTTTTATAGCATATTTAACTGTCTATATTGTGAATCTAATCCATGAAATTAAAATAGTATGAAAACATATTATTACAAATTGGGTTTTATTTTTTTAAAACAAAAGAACACATTTTTTTAAATGTGCATTGGCGCTGTGCGATATTATTTTTGGATAGAAAAAGTAATTTGTGTATACATATTTTTTGTTTTCATTTCATACAATAAAAGGACTATCTTCTTTCAGATAAAAACAAAGAAAATAAAATTAATCGATTGAATTAAAAATAAATTTTACTTATACATGCATGATTTATTGATAAAAATGTATTCTGCTAATTTTTTTCATGCAAATTTTTGAATAAAAACTTTCCAAATGCATGGCGTGCTAGAGTTTCCATTTATTTAGATGTTTTTTTTTTTTGTTATATACAACTGTAGCGTAAATGCCACAACAGTAAGTATTATGCAATCCACTGCAATCCACACTTAATTTATTTATATATTTATGTTAGACGTATGATAATTAAAAAGAAGAAAATCTCGTGGCATGACACCGATTTGTTGCAATAGTGCTGTGCTCTTTTCCCATACAATTGCCAGCGTAGTTGTGAACCAAAGCAAAGCATATTCATTGCTGTACATTTCTTATTGTTTTCGATTTGGCTGCGCTGTATAATAAAATGAAATCATATGAAAAATGCATACTTCATGATTTCATATTCGATATTCCTAACAGATCACTCAAAACATGCGCTTCACTTGAATTCACATTGTAGAAAAAAAATCAACCCTTGAATAAATTGGAGATTTTTGCCATTTCGTGTTTGAATGTTTTGTTTTTTTCATTTATTCAGTTTCAAAGAAATATATCATAAATTCATTGAATAAATTATATCTCATACTCCGCACTCTCAAATTTGAATAGACAGACCAACGGGAAAATTACATATATTTCTTATATTGTACGTAATATATAAACAAATACTGTACTTATTGTGTTTAACAATGCACTATGGCGCATTTACGGCGATAAATCGAAAGACGTATGCTAAATAACATGCAGTCAGAATTTACATGAATGAAATCAACAATTGAGTAATCAAAATATATATACAATATAAACATTTATAAAAGATACAGTTTGTGTGAAACTATAACATTCATTTCATTAGCTGAATATGAACGGAAATAAATTAAAATAATTAACCATTTCATAGAGGTAAACATCGGAGAAGTTGTTGTGGTGGATTTGTGCAGTTTTTATTTTCAATAGATTTATAGAAACTTAAATGAATCACTTAGAATAAATCAACATTACTAGATAAATGTCTTCAAATGCGTTACTGAAAAAAGTCAGTCAGCAAAAGCGTTATAAAATATATGGACGATGTCACGCTTTGGTTGGCGAACTTTTTTATATAACGCGTCACATACAGTTTTTGACACTATTGCTGACGTACTTTTTTCTATAACGCATTTGAAGACATTTATGTAGTAATGTAAATCAGCATGTAAATAATAATGTAAATTCTAGGCGGTTCAAATCAGCTTTGATGAATTCATCTGAATAGTTGTTTTTGGTTGTCAAATTTGTTAAAAAATACCTAGCTCAAAAAATGTTAGGCTATTGTTAATATACAGCAAAAAAAGTGAAATTATTTTATGATCGGACAACACACAGAGAATAAAGTTTCGAATTCCTTTTACTAGGAACGCGTATACAAATAATTAAAAAAAAATTCATGAAAAAGAAATTCTATTTCAGATAAAAGAATTTTTGTTCAGATTTTTAATTAGGAATTGCTTTTATTCTAAAACTGAAGTTTTTTCTCTATGCATGATTTATTTTGATTACATGCAAATGCAAATGCAGTCTAAAAATAGGCCAAACTTCCAACGCTAGTTAGCTAAATAGATTTATAAGGCCGTAATGAATCAACAATACAAATAAAAATTGGAATCACACACAGAAACATGCACATAGATCATTTGGATCGCGCTTTAGCCTTTTTGAAGCCGGGCTGAATCGGTTGGCAGGCTTTCCGCATCTGGATTCGAGGTTGTCGTTGGCAATGGGAACGGAATTGCAGGTTTTGGATACTGGAGAGTTTATTAAATAAAATTGCAAAGCTTAATAAGTTACAAATTTGATTAATTTCCTAATTAAATACTTGGCTTATTATTACCTGATATCCATCAAAATCTTCCAATTGATCACTAAAAATATTCAAAAAATGAAGAAATAATATAATAGTATATTTTAGCGACGATTTAAGTGGGAAAATATAAGAATATACTTTGTTGGTGGAACAGTGTTTGTATGAATGTTGGTGCTCTCGAATTCAAACGGTATCTTGGGTTTATCGTAGTAGTAAGCTTGACGCTCATCAGATTCATCTGATTCTTCAGGTAAATTGTTGTCTGTAACGCCGATCGCATTATTGCGCGTTGGACTTCGTAATGGTTTTTGAGAGTTTCGTTTGCTCAATTCGCCATCAGGTTTGTTCAGAAACTCTTTTGTCAAAATGCTAAAGCTATTGGAATTCTCCGGCGATGTTGATGACGTAGTGGATGGAAATGTTTTGATACCATCTATACTTGATACATCAGCACGAACTAGATGATTAATCACGAGATATTTGAAGAATCGAATCAAATAAATATGCTCACTGATTACACAAACTGAATTTCAATAACACACTTACCGTTAACAAGTAACAGATTACACAAAACTATTGAAATAAAAGCACATTTATTCATTGTAATTTGTAATTTTTGATACATTACTCAACCACCAGAATACAACGGAATAATGAAAATAGTATTCGTAGTATAACTTTTTTAGAATTTTATTATTTAGTAATTGAATCGATCGTAATTGAGAAAAGTTGAAACTACTAAAGCAGCAACAACAAAACAGTATACACAAAAAATGAAAGAATAGTCTGTTTGGAAAAATGTGCGCGCACACAATCCACCCGGTAATGTATGTTGATTGAATTCAAGAAAAATTATGTTGAATTGCGCTAACGATGCGATCGTTTTATATACGAAAAATTTTCAACTCCCCACAAGTAGTAATTGAAGTACTGCGTAAGATGTGGTAAACTTATTTTTTTCTTCTCTTCTGTAATATTTATTTTGTTTTTAGTTCTGCAGAACGCATATGTTCATCAACGTGTCGCTTGGCAAAAACTATTGAGCCCATGCTCATGAAAAAGACATAACACTCGAGATATGAGTATTTGGTTTGTCAAAAAATGGCATGCCCCAGTGTGCGCTAAAGCGCAATCATTTACACACCACATTTATTGGATAGGAGGTCAATTTCTGGTCGATGTCAACTTTCAAAAAATCGTATATACTACTAAAATGTACAAATTATGTACAATTATGTACAACAATTATTATGATAGAAATGACCAACAAATTTTTTTCAGAATTTGGCCAACTTTTTAATTATTCATATTATTATAACAAAGTATATTATAGAAAAATGTACAAAATATGTACAATTCAAATCTGTAATTTGATTTGAAAAATTTCAATCGAGTAGGAAAAAATTCACCCATCCAAATTTTTATAGCAGTATTCGAATTGGCCGCGAATGGCCAACTTTTTAATTATTCATATTATTATAACAAAGTATATTGTACAATAGAAAAATGTACAAAATATGTACAATTCAAATCTGATTTTGTACAATCGATATTGATTATGTACAAGTCAGAATTCATTTTGTACAATCGATATTGATTATGTACAGGTCAAATCTGATTGATCTATAATATACTTTGTTATAATAATATGAATAATTAAAAAGTTGGCCATTCGCGGCGAATTCAAAAACTGCTATAAAAATTGGGATGGGTGAAATTTGAGTACCCGATTGAAATTTTGCAAATCTAATTACAGATTTGAATTGTACATATTTTGTACATTTTAACGACGTATACTTTGGAGGTGTACGAAAGTTGAAAAAAAAAAATCCGTAAATTGAACTTTTTTGATTTTTGAACTTTTGGCTCCCGATAAAAAGATAGTGACCTGATAAAAATTTCTCAAATCTGATGGTTGATTTGAATTGTACATATTTTGTACATTTTAACGACGTATACTTTGGTGTTGTACGAATTCGGGTAAACATCTTCCGGGTTTTGATATTTTCAATTTTTAAAAAGCCAAATTCTGAAAAAAAATTGTTGATACATAATCATAATAATTGTTGTACATAATTGTACATAATTTTTACATTTTAGTAGTATATACGATTTTTCGAAAGTTGACATCGACCGGAAATTGACTACCTATCCCATTTATTGATACTAGAAATAAGATTTTGCAAAACCGTCTGAAGATGGTGTCAATGATGATGTTGTTGTTGATGCACTAAAATTGAGATTACTTTTGCTTCATAAAATTACTGACAATGCGCAATGATGATGCCACTTTGGGTTTAAGTGTGCGCCCATATTGTAAGACATTAATTTGTTCGTGAAAAAAAAACTATCTTCGAAAACTATGGAAAAAAAGTTCAATCGCAAAGAAGAAAAATACAGTGGGTCTATATATGAGAATAACAGAGATAAAATCATGTGATTCACTTATTCATTCAGTTCGCTATTCGTTCATCTGTCATTGTAGAAAATCTTCATTCATATATATATATAGAAAGAATTTATTATTTGTATTGCACCACATGATGTTTGTGCTATGTTTTTTTTTAATCTGTTGGTTTTGTTCGTCCAATCAGTGCCTGCGAACTACACCGATGTAATTTACGATCTCCGATGAACTGGCGCATAGCCGTTTAGCAAAACGAGATAGTGGTCAAAATTATGTGTCATAAATTAACATAGTTCATCAATAGTCGAATCAATTGAGGGAATTGAAAGGGGCTGGCCAATAATTCTACCTGGCTAGTCAAAAATAACCCAATGCTGTACATTTTTGTTTTACTATTCGTGTTACAATATCTCTTTTCCACGTCAAAAATTATAGCGGTAAAGAACGTAGTTTTTATTCTCTACAGTTATATTTTGAAATGTTGGTCAATTTTTGACTCGTACGTTATGCGTTTTGGCCAGCCCTACTACAAAAATAAACTGTATAGAATCGAAAATTCAACTTAACCTTGTTAACGCCCATCAATGCACACAAATCCTCAAAAAGCTTCATCGTTGTCATATGATTGCATCAAAATGACCCAAATAAGCAGAGTAAATATTAATGAGCTCATGCCAAGGAGAATATCACAAAGAACGTACTAGAATTATATAATTCGGAATAGGTCGTAATAGGTTGAAATAGTTTGCGGCAACGTAATATGAACAAATACACTGTACTGTTCACAGAAACATTAGGTTTTTAATTCAGTCGTCGGCAATATATTAAACATTTACACCAAAAAGTATATTCACAAAAATATTGAAATGTTTCTGACTGAATTGAAAACCCAATGTTTCTGTCACCATATCGGTTTGTTGACATTTACATTACCACTAATTCCAAACTATTCCAACCTATTTCGACCTATTCCGAATGATATAGTTCTAGTACGTTTTTTGTGATATTCCCCTTGGCTTATGCGGTTTTCTTGAGAATGGAAAAAGAAAAAAAACGAATAAAATGGAATATGCTGAGATGCCACCCGATTTGAAAAATATACGTCGTATATGCCTTTTTGAATTGAACATGATTCGATTAAGATGATTTGCAAAACTTCAATTACATACTCCAATACTAATGTGCATACAACTTTTCAGGCAAACTTTATATTCAACATGCCTGGAAACGTTATACGCTTGTGATGTTATTTTTTCTAACCAAGCATTATGCATTAGTAGGTGTCTCGCCACCTAAAGTACCACAACTGATAACTGGAGTTCAATTGAGGTTCAATGTGTGAAACGCTAGGTGTGCCACTTACTAATGCACAATGGTTGGAAAAATCAGAGCATTTACCTACTTTGCTTTATTCAAACAACATATAAACAATCAAAATCTAAAATACCAAAATAGAACTCTACATAGATGTCTACATCCAAATTGTTGTTGTCAGAAAATTGAAATATACCAATAGCACGATATTCATATCGTACTATCAATAGTATCACGATATATCACTAGCGTCATTCTTTTCACTGAAAAATCACCTTATTGGGCCAGATTATTAGCTGTCACTTATTTTATCTCTTTGATTATCCGTTTCTCGAGCATTTACAAATGCATAAAAAACTGAACAATTTTGAATGATTGTATATTGCTTTGAAATGAAGAAATTATATAAGAAAACATCCGATGATCAAAAAATTGTCTTGAACGTAGTTCAATGGGTCAATGAGTTTGTCAAGAGCACCCAAAGTTCATGTTCATCATCGAATTGTGCAAATCGATTTCTAAAAACACGAATTTTCAACATGCAATAATCTATGATTTTTGGCTCCGAATTTTGTGTGTGCTCTAAATAGTGGTTTAAAATAATAATAATAAAATCAGAATTATGAATATACATTCAATTTAATTCAAAGATATTAAATATATAACATTAACTACAATGGATTTTTTTTTTCAAATTCATATGCAAATAAAATCTCGGCATTTATTTCGTTCACTTTTCGCATTTTCATGTTTTCAAATTACTATTCACAAAATAAATCTTTTGCTATTGACATTTGGAATATATTTTATATCGGAACATCAAACCACATAAACATAATATTTTTTTTCTTTTTTCTTTTCTGTTTTGGTTGAAATAATTAAATCAGTATAAAAATGTGATGTGGAAACAAAACGTGACTCGTAAATATGGATTAACCAAATCAAGCGCACGTCAATTTATGGTAAAATCTTGTTTTTTCGATTCATTCTATTAAAAACTAGTCTATGCGTAATTTTTCCTGGATATAAATATAAAACCTTAGATTCATTCAATTCACTGTTGTTCAAATTGTTGCTATTATTTATTCAGCCGAGATTATCGTATGGCGTCAAAATGCCAGGTGGTGCGCCAAAAGAACCTGTGTATTTTATATTTGGTTGAAATGGTTGTTGTTGGGCACTGCCGTGAACATTAGCTTGAATAATGAATGGTACGGCTGGTTTTTTATAGGAAAACGGAGAATCTTGTAGTAACATTTGTGAATTTTTAATCGTTGTTGTTTGTAGTGGTGGTGACGTAGTAGTTTTTGAAGACGATTCGTTCGAGTTCTGTGTAGATCCCAAAAAGGGTGCTAAAAATGGATTAAGATCCAACTGTGGTAAAAAATCATTTGGTTTTGCTTCATTTGTTATTGTATGGGCTTTAAAATTGGCTGTTCTCGGTGGAAGTAAATCAATGCTGGGCAAAGTGATTGCTGGCGATTTATGTTGGTGTTGAATACTTGATGTAGGTTGATCTTGTGTATTCATCGGGACTGTCGTTGGTACGGTTGACGAAAACGTGGTAAATATTGTTGGGAATTTTTTGAGTGGTAACGTTGTTGTTGTTTCTAAACTTATTGATAGTTGTGTGTTTTCTTGTTGTGGTGGCAATAAATTTGAATTTGGAAGTTGAATACTGCTGTTGATACTTTGTGGTTTGAAATCAGGCTTTTGAGTGACTGCATTCTGTGTGGTTGTTTTTTTTATCATATTGAATGGTTTTGGTGAACTACCACCGAATTGAGCTACTATACCATTGGGAAATTGACTAATTCCTTTGAAAAATGATTGAGTTGTAGTTTCTAGTGGAAAATCAGTTGTAGTTGTGAATGTCGTTGAGGGTATAAATGGTTTGAATGTAATTTGATGAAATGGAGTGGCTTGTTGAAGCCAAGGGTTATGCGTGAAATTCTTGGACACTTTTGTTGTTGCAATCAATTTGGTTGTTATTGTTGTTGTTGTTGGTTTTGTTGGAGAAGAATTTCGAGAAATTGTTACAGTAGTTGTCGGTATTTCCGTTGTAAATTTAGTGCTGCTATCTTGAATAAATTTAGGCCGTTGAATTTTTCCATCGAAATTTGACCATTGCGGAAGTGCTTCAGAATCAATGCTTCCATCGGGTCTGATGGCATAGCCAGGCTTCTGATTGCCAAGAATATCTAAAATCTCATCATCTCGTCGACTTTGTCGAAAACCCAAACCAAATGTTGATTTTTCAAACTCCCCAAACTTGTGGAATGTCGCTGTCGTCTTTGTTGTTGTTGTCGCCGTTATTGTTGTTTTTGATAGAGGTGGTGGAGGTGTCGTCGATTTAATATTGAATTGGAATGATGTTTTTGGAATGGATGGTGTAAATGATGAGGGCTTTTGGGTAGATGCAAATGGCTTTGGTTGAATGGTATCAATTTTTCCATCGAAATTTGATCGTTGTGTAACTGAAGATGAACTGAATCTTTGTGTTAGTGGCAACAGTGTTGTTGTTGTCTCAGGTTCGTTTGAGTTCAAGATCGTTGTTGAAAATGATTTAGTTGTTGTATCAGCATTGTAAACATTTGTCACGATTGGTGGAAGTAAAAATTGTGATGGTGGTGACACATTCGAAGCGATTGGTCTTGATTTCAAAATACCACTGGCGTAGCTTGGAATTACAAATGGCAACGGTTTGGTTGTCTCAAAATTAGCATGCTTTTCTTGGATTCTGTTACTTTTGAAAAATCCATTATTGCTTCTGATCGGTCGGATGTTTGAAACTTCAATGCCTAACACTCCTTTATTTTATTGAGATTAAAATTCGTCTTTAGTAAAATTTGTTAACATTTTGTGAACAATTTTTTTTTTATCTAATTACCTGATGTACCGAAAGAATGCAGATTGCTTACCAAAGTGCAGAAAAATATTAAAATTGCACAAAAAAATCTTTGAGTTCGTAGAAGAGTTTTCATTTTTTGAATGTAGAAATCCCAGATAAAATCGAGTGTTCTTTTGATGGAGTGCTGAACAATTCCTATTTAACATTGATTGATGTCATTCGACGTGCTTTGAAGATCTATTCTTGGTTTGATTTGAGTTATGTATTTGTTTTCTTTTTTAATTTGATTGAAAGCTTTTTGGACAAGTTTGAACTGGCGCACCGACACAGACAATTAGCAACTGTATCTAGCTGAATATCATCGTACACTGAATGGTGTCGGTTTTATCTTTACACTCGTTGATATTTTGTGACTGTGAGATCGTCACACATATAATTTTTTGCTATTGTTGTATACTGGTTTTTGAATATTTACATTGAATGCAAAATCCAATAATCGAAACCGTGTTTGCGATCAATAAAATAAAAAAAATCATCCCTACTCAAAACACAATGATTTAAGTTTGTCCCAAAGAAAACTGATTATTAAGCTATGTGTCATGTGGTCATGTGACATAACAGGCGCTCACAAAGCTACATATCTTCATCGCATGTTTCAGCTCATTAAATTTTGATTCGATCGAATCGTGCGTTCTTTAATTGTACAGAAATATTGAATCACCAACTTATAACGAACTTTTCCAAGGGTTGGCAATGGAACAGGAGAAAAAAAAGACAAAACATAACAATTGATCAAGGCAAAGAAATTACCTATAAGTGGTACATGCCTTAAAACTGCGTCGTTTATATACGTATATCTGAATTGGCATCTTTCATGGGCGTGCGGCATCAATTCGGTGTTTTGATTTTTTTTTGCCACGATTCATCAATCGACTAAATGGATTTTAAATATCATACGGTGGCCTTTACTATATTCAGTATAATTACTTGAGCTCATATGTACTCTCTGAGATTTATGCTTCAATAAACTACGAATATCCGCATACAGTGATGCCGTACCAATTTCCGTTTCAGAAGTTAACAACAACACGAATCAGCAATAATTCAATTGATGGAATATTTATGATAGAAAATCACCTCTAAATATGCTCACGAATTCCGTTTGCCGTTGCATAAATTATACACAAATAACACCGCATTCGATGCGAATGCTTGGCCGAACCGGCTACAATATCCCGTATGTTTGAATAATGGCAAGCGCGGGGGTGGTACATAAAACCTGCTTTATAAGATGTATACGACAATTGGCGTGTAATTAATTGTTTATCTCTCATGATGGCAACATTGCAAACAAATAATTTAAAGCTTTTCGTCTGCAATAAATATATGCATATACTTTAGATCTGTTTGAAATTGAATTGATGTCATCATTTGATTGGGTTATTCCATTGTCAACTTTCATTCGGTACGATGCTTTAATTCCGAATTTTTTTGTTGTAATTCGAATGTCTGTACAGTGAATCTAATTTTTTTGATAGACAAAATAACAAGCAAAGTAAGCAGAGAAACTCTCCACTAACATAGGATTCATATACGAATGGCGTGTGAGTGGAGTGTGTCATGCAAAATTTTGTCTACCAAAAATATTAGATTCACTGTATGTATGTTTACAAAAACGAAAAAAAAACATATTTTTTTCTCCAAAGGTGAGAGGTTGATACGTAATCATTTATTAAACATTGAAAATGCAAAAAAATCAGTCCTGTCAGTATTTAACTAATCTCCTTTACTTTTATAGGCTGAGTCTATGTGGTATTTTTGTTATAATGGGACATTTCGATGAGTATTCGGGGTTTTCCATTATTTAATATAAATAATCTAAAATACGGTTATCTAGAACACAACAAGATTATTAAGAAATTGTCTATGCTTTTCTCTTTTTATTCTCTCTCCCCCTCTCACTCATAGACTGGAACATAGACCATCCTCCCCCTGTCTCTCTCGCTAATGATATTCCATTTTATTTTCAAAGAACACAGGAATTGTTGCGTAGTTAAACACTTGTATGTATAACTTTGATATATATATATTGGTAGTGCAACTTAAAAATGTCGTTTTTTTTGGTAAAAATAAAACTTTATTTCATAAATTCTGTAAATTACATGTCATTCAAAGTATTGGCCATCGGAAGCTATAACCTTTTCCCATCTTTCTGGCAGCATATGGATTCCGCGCCAAAAGAACTGATCATTTTTTGAGGTTATGAAAGAATCAATCCAATTTTTGATACCTTCAATTGAAGTGAAGCGTATTCCAGACAAGGCATTCTGCATCGATCGAAACAAGTGATAGTCAGAAGGGGCAATTTCTGGGCTATACGACGGGTGGGGCAAAACTTCCCATCCACTATTTTCCAAATAGTTTTTAACCGGTTGAGCAATATGAGGCCGAGCGTTGTCATTATGGAAAATTATTGACTCATGTCCGGTCGCATATTCTGGCCGTTTTTCGTTCAATGCTCTCTTTAAACGGATCAATTGTGTTCGATACAGGTCTCCCGTAATCGTTTCATCCGGTTTTAACAGCTCATAATAGAGGACACCCTTCTGATCCCACCAAATACAGAGCATTACCTTAGCACAATGAATATCTTGCTTGGGCGTTGATTTTGCTCGTATACCACGCTTCCCATACGATTTCTTACGCTTCGGGTTTTCGTAATGAATCCATTTTTCATCACCAGTAACAATTCGATGCAAAAACGACTTCCTTTTGTGGCGCTCAAGCAGCATTTCAGACATTTTTGAAGCGCGCAAACCAACGCTGACACATTCTAACGTCTACAGCATAGTCAGGATAGGCTTCAGTGAGTAAACGATGTGCTTCAGTTGCATTTTTCTTTAAATGGAAGAAGCAAATTAAAACTTCCCGCAAATGATCTTTTGTTGGAACGAAATTCGAAATTTTGAACGCAATAAAAAACTTATGTGTATAAACTTGTATTCACTTTGACAGATGGAATTTAATAGTTTTTTTTGACGCTCTTTAAGATATACTTGTTGTCACTGTCAAAAAAATGGCAATACGACATTTTTAAGTTGCACTACCAATATATGAAGCGAGTCGCATATACTTGCTTAAAAATGGCAAATCATTATATGATACATATTCATACTTTGTATTTTTTATGCCATTAGCCATCATCATGGCTTTACTGTTGATTTTAGCGAATGCGAAAACAATAGTATGTATATTTGCTGCCGAAATATAATACACACTCTTAACACAAATACCAGTTCGATCGCGACCGCTATGTAATGTTTACGATTAGAGTTAACATACATGCTTTTCGTACATTTGATGATTTCTGTTTTTTTTTTTTTTTGTATTTACACAGCTAAAATAGTTTAGATTGGCCACATATTAAACCATAATATATAATATTCCGTCATTCGATCAAATTATAGTCCCAAGTACGAATTATCGAAGGTTTACTGTCGGGCTTTTTCCAGTTTTTTTTACAATTCTGATATTTTGTCATATAAATATCTCCAGAAGAATAATTCTTATTCAGTCGTCATCATTCCGCTCATTGCCGTTTGACATTCTTTTGACAAAAAAATAATAAAATTTGCACATTAAATAGAATAAAATCATTTTTTTTTAAATAAAAGTAAATATTCAATTAGTATATTTTACAACATGAAGTGTTTATTTATTACCGCTATTTTTTGTCTCATTGCCATCGTTTTAACAAGTAAGAAGAATTCATTAAAAATATTTTGTCATTTGGTTGATATTGGACATAAAGTCAAAAGATTTTTTTTCAAAAAACGTCTATATAGTGAGCAATTTGTTTTAATTTCAAAAATAATTGGAATTTTGTTATTCGCATTGGTTTTGGCGAATCATAAATGTTAAAAAAAATGACTGATTGTTGAAATATATGACAATTATAGTGACAAGTGAAGGTTTACCATTTTTTTTGTTGATGACTATTCAGAAACTTTTTGTATTCCGATGCATTTTTGGATTAATTTTGAGTGTGTTCTTTTTTCATGGAAAACAACAATATTCTATTCGAAAAAAACATCTTGTAAATACTTATAAGTGTTTAATTCAAACAAAAAAAATTATTCGACTTCATTTTGAAAATGTTGTTTTTGTAATCACTGATCATATTGTATGCGTCATTTTACCATATACATTATTTTTGTTTAAAAACCAGTTAAACCACATCAGTCTACACTTATCATTTCCATTATCACAGACAAAGTATAAATGAAATAAATAAAAGAAACAGAAAAAAAGTCCACATTATTTGTGTACGACGTATAGTCAACACTAATACTGTTTATTTTTTCAACATCAATGATAATTTAACAAAAATAATTTCATTTATAAATACTATTCATAAGCAAATTTATCGATCAATGCATTGTTACCACATCATCGGTATTTTTCATTATTATTATTATACAATGATGGATTTTTTTCGTTGCTTTTTAATCAAATTTAAAATCAGTTCCAATATGGGAAATTTGCCGTATTTAACACAGTTATGTGACTACAACTTTTACAATAAAGTAGTTATAAAAGAAAAATTTTAGTAAAAAGTAGAGAAAAAATAAAACTACTTTTTATGTATTCGAATTTAAATTAATAATAACAAAAAATCTTTTTGGATCTTCTTAGGCAAGTCTCAGGTACAAGGCGAATCTATCGAGGTAATTAAAATAAAATTAAATAAAAAGAAAGTATTATATTTTTATACATACTAAAGAAAACATTAATTGAGAGCCTGAAACCCAAAACAAATTATAAAAATTCTTTTCGGAAAAAGAGCATAAGAAATTATTGAGCGCAAAACGAGAATATAGAAAACTGAGAGTTAAAACAACACATAGAATACTGAGAGTAAAAGTAGCATATATCGATTTTCTGTTTTTACTCTCAATTCCGTATGTTGTATTTTAACTCTCAGTTTTTATTCTTCTCATTTTAGCACTGAAAATGTATTTGTGTTTATTTGGCACCGATAAATATTATATTTGCTTTTCGTCAAAAACATTTTATTTGGATTCGTATAGAACAAAATGTAATAGAAGAATTTGTTTACAAAGCAATAAAATAAACAAAAACAAATGCTCTAATTTCACGTCGCTACTGCGATACGATGAGTATACTGTGATTCCTATATTTATGCATTGACCAGTGTAAATCCAACAGCAATTTACCGTTATTCGCTAACACACCGAAGATATACAAATATGCTGGTGTATTCGCACCGAATTTCATGTTGTGTATTATGCGTATCTGTAAAATCTTATTTTTTTTTTAAATTGATCTGCAACGACAAAACTATTTGTCGATTTCTTAATTCAAAATTTGAATTTCAAATCATTGTTTTTCAGTTCACATTATTATTAGCCAAATAGGCTAGTGAATATCTACTGAACGATCGAAAAAACGTGTACGTAGACCGCTTTTGTATAAAAAATATCTCAAAAGAATATTGTAATGGCGCATACAACAAAAGCCAATAGACAAATTGCTGAAAAAGTGTTCAAAGTGCTATCAATCTGTACGAGTTCGGGAAAGTACTGCACCAAAATTGATGTGCTCCAACAAAAACTGATTTTCAATTCGTACTATTTAAAATCAAACTGGAGTAAAAAACGCTGTTCCTTCGATCACACATTAAAACGGCGAAAGTTAAAAGATGCCTCGTTGTATCCAAATCATTTTTGAAAGAGAGAATGTTGACAAACAATTCACTAAGTTAATCTCGTGTCATATTACATGAAAGAGAAAAAATGCAACGCATTGTGACGAAAGCTAAATATAATATTTTTCGGAGTCAAATAAAAACATATTTACTTTCAGAGCAAAAATGAGAAGAATAAAAACTGAGAGTTAAAATATAACATATCGCTTGTTTGTTTTGTCGCCTTTAAGGCCTTATTTGCTAAGCACACGATCGTAATCGTGGACGATTTCAATCGTCTACCGATTGTTATAAATCGTTCACGATCTTGATCGGCAAAGGGTTTTTCATAATCGGCGACCGATTTTTCACCGATTTCGAAAAAAATCGTCCACGATTATAATCGTTCGCGATCGTGTGTCTAGCAAATAAGGCCTTTAAGAAATTATATTCTGTTTCAGTTCTCAGTTCTGTATGTGCTCTTTTAACTCTCAGTTTTTTTCTATCGTATTTTTCATTTAAAATACATTCTTATGCTTTTTTTCCGAAAAGAATTTTTATAACTTGTTTTGGGTTTCAGGCTCTCAATTGTAAGACGAATAGATGTTATCGGCATAGCTTCTGGAGTTGGCGATCCAAGGGGGGAGGGTAATTTCAATATTTTCCAAAAATGTAAAGGGGTAACTTTTTCGATTTGGTCTCGCACAAATTCAAAAATGTTCCTAGGGGGGGAGGGGGTGTCTCAGAGCATTTGCCTAAAAAAACCCTAGCAAATTGAAAGATTTTCCTTCGCCAAAAAATCTACGGTGTTCGTTCGTTCGTTCGTTCATTTGTTTGTTCGTTCGTTGTTCGTAGGAAAAGTATGAAAATAAAATAAATATTTTATTAGTGAAATTGAAAGTAGATTATATTTTACGAATTTTGATATTGAAATAAATAAATTTTGAGAAAAAATTGAACAAAGCAAATATTATTTACTTAAAATAAACAGCGATCAATATAATAATTAAATTTGCATTTAAAACTTCGAAAATATTCAATTTTATACATAAATATTTGGAAAAAATCTTCAGTTCAAATATTAAAACAATATTTAAAATAATTTATTTGAATTCATTTTATTAATTGTCATCGATTAAACTGAGCAGAATATTGTTGCTGTGATAGAAACAATACATATACACACAAGCATAAATCTATTGAAAATATCGAGAGGAGAGTATGTTTTTCGATGTTTTTATTCAGACATTACTTAGCCATAAGCGCTGAATAACATACTCTCTTCTCGATATATTCAATAGAAATGTGATGACGCTCAAAATGGCAAGTATTCATCAGAGACGAAGCTGAGCAGTGCACGCATGTATTGTTTTTGTCACAACAACAACAGTCTGCTCCGTAATATCAATGACAACTAATAAAATGAATTGAAGCAAATAATTTCAACTATTATTGTAATATTCTAATTGAAGACTTTTTCCAACTATTCGGGAATAAAATTCTATCCAACTATAGGTATAAGATTGTATATTTTCCAGCGATGGCTTTTTTCTATCTGAATAGCGCTAGCTATTCGCAGCGCCTGTACAGCATTGCTGCCCAGATGCTGAATCGTAGCGGTTGCCGCACGCGCAATACACTTCGTTTGTGCCACACAGAGCATATACGTTCGCGTTCGTTCTCTGTTCGACATGCGTTTGTATACTGACTATGGTATTAGTGTATCATACTCTGTGAGCTCACTGGTTACTTAGACTATATGACAATATGTTGTGTGGTACAAAACGCGTGCGACAACCGCTTCGATTCAGCATCTGGGCAGCAATGCTGTACAGAAGCTGCGAATAGCTAGCGCTATTCAGAAAGGAAAAAGCCATCACTGATATTTTCTATAATCGATTATTTTAATATGTTAACGCAATTGATTTCTACGGACGAACGAACGCACAAAATAAAAATATTTTTTGCCTACGAACGAACGAACGAACGTTCGTTGACAGCTCTGTTTCAAACAGTGTAAGGTAAAGATAAAGATCCCAAAAAAATTATTTTTACCGATCACAGAAATGTCAAACATTTTTCCCCTCTTTACATTTCTTTAAACTTTAATCATTCCATTCTGCTAAATGTTTAATGACAATAGTATCGTCACCGATTGAAACGGCAATCATTCAGTGGCAGCACTAGTAGTAGTAGCACTACTTCAAGTGGAAATGGCCCAATTATGTTCCAGCAAACCTCATCTTCATTCCAAAGTCAGGGGCCCGTTGGAAATGGACATTTGTGAGATAAATCGCTAAATCTAAACGAAGAATAATAATTATATGCTCTTTAAACACTTTCTTTTATAGAGAATCACGATTTGGTGAAAATGGAGGTTCCAGTGGACATGTGTCATACACCTCAGGCACCTACGATCCAAATACAAAAAAAACTTACATTTATCAAAATATACATCAGGCAATTCCAGTTCCAATACAAGTACCAATTTTTAACTCCGGAAACCAGAAAAAAGATTAATTAACTGTATGCATACTTTGTACAATTTCATAATAAAGAATGACTCTTTTTTAAATAACTATATATGTTACATATTGGGTGTAGGCATTAATTTCCGGAATTTTTTTGGTTCAAAGAAACATTCATTTAATAATAATTAGAATGAGTACATTAACCAATGTATTGCCCATCGTTAGCTATGACTTCCGCCTATCTTCTTGGTAGCTTGTCGATTCCGCGTCGGAAGAATTCCTCATCTTTTGAAGCTATCCAGTCATCGATCCATTTTCGCACTCCTTCAGCATTTCGAAACGATATCTCGGACAAGCCCATTTGCATCGATCGGAACAAGTGGTAATCAGAAGGAGCAAGGTCTGGAGAGTACGGGGGGTGATCAAGCCGATCCCAACCGAACGCCTCTATCTTTTGTTTGACGATGTGTGCTCGATGTGGCTTAGCATTGTCGTCGTGAAACAAAACTCGATGGTGTTTTCTCGCTACCAACGGCCGTTTTTCGTTCAATGCATGCGCCAATTTGTTCAATTGTTGTCGATAGCGTTCAGCTGTAACCGTTTCACCTTGTTTTAGCAGCTCATAATACACGATACCTTTCTGATCCCACCATATGTACAACATAACCTTCTGGCAATGAATATCTCGTTTTGGCTGCGAAGGTCCTGGTTGGCCTGGATCAACATACGCTGCTTTACGTTTGGGGTTGTCGTAATAGACCCACTTTTCATCGCCCGTGACAATTCGACTCAAAAACTATGTTTTTTGTGTTCTTTAAGATGTTTTTTGCATGCTGTGATTCGTGCTTGGAGCTGATTTTCAGTCAGTTGATGTGGTACCCATTTTCCCAACTTTCGAATCTTTCCCATTGCATGCAAACGTCTTGAAATGGTTTTTTGGTCGACATTTAACTCCATTGCGAGTTCTTTTTGGGTTCGGGCCGAGTTTTCGTCCAATAATGCTTGCAAATCTTCATCTTCTAACTTTTTTGGCTGACCTGGGCGATCTTTGTCTTGAACATCAAAATCACCACTTTCAAATCGTTGAAACCACACGTAACATTGTGTTTTTGAAAGAGCATGTTTGCCATACAATTTCACAAGTAAACCACGACTTTCAGCTGCAGTTTTCTTTGTAAAGAAATAGCTTAACAAAACTTCTCGCAAATGCTGTTTCTTTCTCCAACTTTCAAAATTTTCCATCGTTGAAAAAAAATATGATGCGCACAAACAAATGAAACACTCTTGACTGATTTTGACAGCATTTGAATAGGTCTTTCAAACGACATACATGTCATTGATCTTTTACAACGCAAGAGCAAGTGGTGACATCTGATGTCAGATTCCGGAAATTAATGCCTACACCCAATATATTCTCATTACAAACGTCAATTTGAATTCATTATGTAACTTGTAGCTGATTAAAAAAGGATAAGAAAAAATAAATCCAGAACTATTCACGGCATACAATGTGTGTTAACGTAACGTTATCGCATGAAACAATTAACGGATTTCACGAATCTTCTCATCATTTCTGCTAAATTAAAACAGTTAAAATGATAATGCAGACCATTGTCGATAACACTGAACTTGAAGCAAAAAATTCAAATAAAAAACATGATTTAACATGATAATGATCAAGCGATTTGACTCCAAATGGAGATGACATAAATTGTACGCAAGCGTTATCGATGTATAGCAATCTCAGCCTCAACTGATACCTGCATACGATTACACGAAAAGCAGAACATAACTGACCAGTGTCAATAGAGTTTCCATGCGTGAAAACTAACCACACTTTGAATTTAAAAAAACGTGGATTTACTGTTCAAGCATATTTATTATTTATTAAAACTACTGATGCCAAAACTCTATTCTTGTATATTGGTTAAGAAGTTACGTGATTAAGAAGAGAACAAGTAATTGTTGCACATATTGTTGAATCAAAAGCTACATAGGAACTAAATTTCAATATCGAATATCAAATTGGTTTTATTTTCGGTGTCCTTGTTCTTGATGACGTCGATGGGTGCACTGGATTTTTGACAGCGAGATGGTCCCATTTGTAAATTATTTTCATAATCTGAGGCTTCACCTTCGCTATAGCGACGTTCTTGATTGCGCTTCTTCTTCTTGCGTTTGTTTTCTTTAGGTTTCCGTTGACCAATAATAGTCGAATTAATTCTGTAATTAAAATCAAACAACAAAATAATGAAATGTCGAGATCTAAAATCATCTATTTTCTGGAACATACTTGAAAAGTAATTTTCTACAAAGTTGCTTATCGAAGCGGACAGTCTTTTTAACGCTCTCGGATTTTTCAACATCATTTTCTTCCGGTATGCTTGAACCAATACCCAAATCAATTGATGTGGCACAGCCATATTCATCAAGTGAACATTCTGGTGTTGTTGTACGATCATATGAACTGTGACGTTTTAGGATGCTTTTTAATGGGAACAAATCCATATGATGTTCATCGTTGCTCGATTCAGATTGTGTACGAGACTTCAGGTCATGCTTTAAACATGCTTTATTGGCGTCATCAGCAATTTTCGCTGTAGCTTCTTCAGTATGTTTTAATTCGTCGCAATGTGATTCAGATAATGAACGGACTTTTTTGTTTTCTCGTTTCGTTTTTTTGGGTTTGGGACGGTGAATGGGCACTTTAATAGCTTCATCATCTTCTTCGTCGTCATCAGTTGTACTTTTAGCTTTAAAATATTTATTGGTGATTTCAATTCGAAGTTCTTCATTTGACATGGCAGTCCCAACTTCGACAAAACTTGTTTTTACAGTTCCATGATTTTTTTCATTGTTGTCACTGTTTGATTTTTTTTCGTTGCATATGACTGTTTTACAATCTCCTGCACTCAAACCAACTTCATATGAAGTGAAATGTTCAATTGCATTGAGTTCAATTTGAATAACAACATTGTTATCCCAAGTTTCAATTCGTGGAGATTCCGAAATAATGGCCATTCCATTGGGTATGGCAAAATAAAAAGCATAATAATTGTTAAAATAACCAGATCCAACTGTTGAGAATTTGACGCGATAACTGTTTTTCGTGCCAATATAAACGATTGAGTTGGACTCGACATTTTTAACGTGTAATGTAAATGCAACAACATTTTCGAAACGATTATATGTAAAATGCGGTAAAGTATAGTTAATTGATGATTCTAAAAACGAATCTCCTTCTTTTACTTTTGTATTTTGCTCTTTTTCCGTTACTGATGATGACCCGATGCTAGATATCAAATCGCTTTCTAATGACTGTGAAAGAGAAAACAGTTGTTTATATAATAATTTTCTAAATTAGAACAAAAATGAAGTGAATTAACTAACATAATGATTGGAATCATCGGTGAACACATCATCATCCAAGCCCAATGAACTATCCTCTTTGGGACTGTGATGGTCACTTTCAACGCCACTATCTTCGCGGCATAGATCCAAGATACCAAGCTGCTTTCTTGTGGTTAAAACTGGCAGTGTTAGTGCTAATATTTTCGTTTGATTGTCAAACTGTGCCTTTCCCAGTTCTTTATCCACATCAAACGGTAAACTAATTGTAAGTTTGTACTTGGCTGGCGTATCACATTGCATATAAATTGATTTTATGTTTACATCCAGAACAACATCTTTGGATGAATCCAATAACGGCAAATGAATTTTGATTATTAGCTCCTTGGGTACAGTTATATTTAATTTAGCATCCAATTCTTCAGTAAATTCATGCATTTCTATGTGCCGTCTGTGTATAATTTCGTATTCTGGTGTCGTATATTCATCGATGGTCACAGTCGCCATTGGTTGCCGCTGATCATCATGATTATCATCAATGTTTTGACAATTTTGTTTTCCAATGAAAGATTTTCTATAACCATTCTCAGGCACCGATCTTTTTCGAATTACAACAGGTGTAGACGATCCTTTATAGTTTAATTTTGGAAATTTCAAATTCTTAATACTATCAAGTGTTAAATCGAACGTTGTACGTACAGCATCATAAGCCGTTTCAATGACTAATTTTCTGAATGCTTGATTTTTCTTTGCCAAATGCAAAGTATCTGGATGAAAGATAACATCGAAAACGGCACAAATCACTTTATTTTTATCAAAATCATGTTTTGGCTTCGACTGCACATACGGCAAACTCCAATGCAGACCTTTTTCACCAGTTTTCACATCAAAACCACATTGACTGGTGGGTTTTTCGATGCTGTCACACTTTGCAACATTGATGAATATTTTTTGATTGCCATTCGCAATTGATTTTATTACAAATCCCGGTTCAGGACTTATGAACTGTACATCAATGCCGCGTTCGGCTTCAAGTTGTTTTAATTCGGCTTCATAAATACGTCGATTTTCTGGATCACTAATTTCGTTACAATACTCAATAAATAGATTGCGAAACTTTTCCGATTTAAATGCCTTAGTGAAACGGTCACGTTCATCAGTGGTTAAATCCAAATTTCGCCTACTGCTCATTGTTGAACAATCGGAAGTTGACACACTGTACTATGTACGAATTGAATTTTTCATGCAAATATACACGAGAAACCAAACAATTACTGATTGCAGAAAAAATGGTTAAAATTCGATATTGATGATTCAAATAAATATTAAAATCGGTTTGTTTTTAAATGACAAATAAAATTGAAATCACTCTATGACAATTTAAAAAGGTTCTAATACAAATGGTGTAAAAATTATGTCAATCACACACAGTGAACTACGCAGTACGCAAACTTTTAATCTAAGCATATGAACTGTTCGATAAATAAAAATGCTACAGAAAAAAATGTTGTCGGTGTTGCCTACAGAAACGCGGATAATATGATTGTATATACGCTACGGATACTATTTTGATTGTGTTTGTATGTATATGAGCGTTGTCTCTTCAACTGTCATCTAGATTTTTCCCGAATATATTTGATTTTGTTTAAGTATTTGTGTTCTTTTTTGCAAAGCTATAGTTTGTTCGATTATCTAATACCATGACCGGTGGCCGGTTCATTTAAGACTGTTCTGATACAAACATCTTGCATGTACGTTTGTCAATTTATTTAACACTGAATCGATTACATAAAAAATGTCTACATTTTTACACAATATGACACAATTTCAATTGAAAATTGCAACAACGTCGGCAACGTATATTTTATTTTGTATATGTTGAATATACGTAAAATGTGACACGTTCGTGTGAGCGTCCACGTCATGCCTTACATGTGTGTATCTCATTTCCTTACTTTAAGCAGAGATAACTAGTATGTTTCACTCACGCAGTTCGATTGTTTGTTTCTAATTTGGTTGTTCTTGTTCTTGTTTTTTTTACTCCCTTCGTAATTTCAATCTATTTATATGAGAATTTTGCTTTTGATATTCGTCTATCGAAATAAGCATGGAAAAATTTTGTTTTCCGGATACTTGAGTATTACATTGATACTCTTTTTACTCATGATTTTAGTTGCAGGCCAGATAAGATTGTTAAGGCCAGAAATATGTCTAATATTTTTAAATTGAAAAGTGAAATAATCAATTTGTTGGCAACTTGTCCAAACTATTTTCGTATTTTTTTTAGTTTGGATTATTGTATTGGAACGGGGAGTAGGTCTACTTTTTCAGTAATATCCATAGTTCTTTTTAGTTAAAACAGCAACAGTTAAGATTTGATTAAATCAACTTGCACAACTTTGGATAACATGGATTGGATTTTTTTTGTTTGGGTTTAGTGGAAGTGATAGTTTCATCACTAAGAAAATAATTTTATATTTAGAACAATATTATTCTAGCATTTTTGGGCATTTTCACTCTTAAGAAAGAGCCATATATTGGTAAGTATTAAATCTTTTTGATGCGATTGATGTTTGTTTGACAGTCAAAAAATTATAAATCAGTCACATAATCTAGTCAGCCGGATAGTTATGTCAAATTTGGGACGTGTTTTGACTTTAAAAAAACAAGACGATTATAGTGAAATTCAATGACAGAGATCTTGTGTCAAAAATTAAACAGTATGTGTGCATAAGTATTCGTGCACAAGTGTACGTGCACAAGTGTACGTGCACAAGTGTGCGTGTACATCATTTGTTTGCCGGATTTTAAAGAGTGTTCGATGATAAAGCACACAATTTAATGATTAGGTAATTGAAGTTTAATGACATTCAAAGATCATTCCACAATCGATCGAATTTTCAATATTTTCCAAAAAGTTGATTTTGGAATCAATAATTATAATGGCGTTGCACATTTTAATGCGTATATTTGGAGTTTTTGTGGTAGCAACTGTGTGTTTCTTTAGTATTTATAATGGCACAACACTATTCACTCTTCATCCAGTGCTTATGTCTTCAGGAGTAAGTGTCAAAAATCATAGAAGTTATATGTTAAAATATATAATACTTGACAACAATTTTGGTTTACAGTTTCTTTTGCTAATGAGTGAGGCGATCGTTGCATTCACGTCGAATTCATTTGTGGCTAGTAATTTAAAATATAATGAACGATTGACATTGCATTGGATGCTTCAATTGAGCGCAGCTACATTGATTGGTCTTGCATTCTTTAGCATTTATTCACATAAAAACAACAATAATTACGACCATTTCGTTACGCGTCATGCCAGTTTAGGTTTGACCACTTGTCTCATGCTTGTTGGCACAATGTGCGGAGGAATTGCTGCCCGCTACAGCTCAGCATTCAGAAAAAAAATTAAACCGGCCTTACTGAAAATCATTCATTCCATAGTTGGTGTGATTACTTATACAATGGCGATTATCACATTCTGTCTTGGCATTGATTCGGAATGGTTCCGTGCTCAAAGTGGCGCAAAATTGGTAACAATTCTTACATATTCAACTGGAATTCTTGCAATTCTTGCACTTATTCAACCTTTTCTATCCATCCTTACAAAGATGCGGAAGGTTAATAATGAAAATTGATCTTTATATACTTACGTTCTTTATTACTATTTTATATGAGCAGTCCAAATTAAAAATACATTTATTGAAATTATTATGCGAAATAAAATAAAGCACATATGTGTGCAATGCTGAAATTTTGTTGGATTTTATATTATTGAATTATCATTATTTTTTTCATATTTTTCTACGAAATTTCAAGAAAAAATTATGTTCCTAATTTCTTGCGCTTTTTATTATTTCGTGGTGCTCCAGAAAATATTGATCATCATTCCGCTGGTGTATCCAGTTTTGATGAGGTGTCACCATTGACGAATTCTGGTTTTTTGTCTTTTTCTGAAAAAAAAAAAATGATTTTAATTTCAATGAAATAATATGTTTACTGTTGTATACAGTTGTTCTGCTAAACTACTAGATATAGTTACCGTTTGCCTCAATTTCCATTGGAGTTGGTGCTGGTTGTGACGGTGACTGTTGTTGCGGTTGTTGTGGTGGTTGACCTGGTGGTAATGGTCCGTACATTTGAGGTGGTTCATTCATGACTGGATTCGGGCCTGGTGGCATTACGGGAGCTCCGTGCTCAGATGGATAATGCGGTCCCTGTCGATAATATGGTTGGTAATTAGTTGGTGGATGCGGATACATTGGGTAGCCGTATTGAGGACCAGGCGCATATTGTGACGCATATTGCGGATTCTAAAATAAATATCGATAATAAAAGTAAAAGAGGTTAAATTAATTTATTAGGTAATAAGATTTTATTTCGAATTTACCTGCTGTTGATGTTGATATGTGCGCGGAGGATAGCCAGCTGGATAGTTTGGATGTGCTTGGTGTGGAGGCATCATTCCTGAAATGATTATTAAATAAATTGGACTGAACGATCAAGCTTTGTAGCATATAAATGAAGCTTTTTAATAACTGACCAGCGTGTGGTGGTGGAATTTGATTTGGTTGAACAGGTGTACTATTAGGAACTGTTGCCGGTGATGTTTGTTCTTTTGTTGGTACTGGTGTACTTTCTGATGTAGTCAACAGCTGACTTGAATTGAGCGCTTCAACTGGAGACGGTTTTGATTCTTTATTGTCTGGCGTTGTGGCCTCCGAATTCTCCCTAATTTGTTCCTTCTCATCTTTCTCGGTTGTTTCTGGCTCTGCAGCTGGTTTTTCTTCGGCTGGTGGCTGTTGCTGTTGTTGCGATGGTGTTGTTTCTTCTGGAGGTTCGGATGTCTTTTCTTTTTCCGTTTTTTCAATTTCGGGCTCATTTGCAACCACGACTGGTTGAATTGTCGACGGTGCAACTGTTGGGACATCTTGCGGTTCGGGTTCTTTTTGCTCTTGTTCCTTTTCTGTATCACTTGGTACTGGTTCTGATGTTGTTGATTCGGTGTTTGTAGTCAATTCTTCCTTTTTCAAATCATTTTGAGCTGGCACAGCACAGTTTTCTGTTTTCATTGGCTGAATAAATATTAAAATATTTTGAAATTTATGATAGTTTGTGTAAAAATTTCTTTGTTGAAAAACACAACATTATTTACAAGTTTTAAAGCAAACCCATGTGAAAAAATTGATAATCGGTAATTTGAGGACATTTTTTACCTATCTAAATGTGATTGTCTTGTACAAAACAAGACGATTATAGTCAACTTTTGATTTAGACAATTTTACGTTCAAAATTGGCCGTTTGACTATATTTGTGCCACATTTATATAAAACACAATCTACTTATATCGAATTAACCACTATAAGTAGAATAAATTAGTTTACATTTAACTAACTGTTATTCACATTTCTTGCACATGGGAATACTACAAAACTTAAACAAAATTTCATTCGCAAGGATCTAAGCGGTTGTAAATTTTTCGCACGTTTTGATTTTTTTTTCACGCTTTGGTTAAATGTATATATGTTAGCATGAAGTAAAAGGTTAGAGCATGAGTTACCTGTATGGATTGATGCAAGACAATCATCTAACAGGACAGTATGAGAGTAATAAGTGATGATGTTGGATAAATTTGTATGTATAAGTATGTAGAATGAATTTTTTGTAGTTTTTTTTGAATATAAAAGCAATATATATATAAGAAAGCAACTGAGTTGATTAGAATTTTTTTAGTATTTATCTAAATTACCTCATGATCACTGACTGGTGCTTCGGTAGCTTGATTTGGTGCTTGATGCTCAACACTATTTTGCATTTCTACATCATCTGGTCTTGTTAAAATCTTTGTATTATTCATTTCATCTATCATTCGTGGTCTATGCATCAACTCATACTGACGGTCTACCATTTTTTGAAACGTTTCATCATCTACAGCCGGCTTGCAATGCTACAAAAGAAAAAAAAATGATCAATTCGCACATGAATCCGCATAAATCAAAATGAATGTGATGGATGTTAAAAATATATCCAAACCTTTTTCAGTTCTTCTTGAAATGATTCACTTGATTCGATCAATTTTCGCTTTTTTGCCTCAAATTTCTCTTCCATTTGCAATAGTTCAGCTTCTAGTTTCATTTGATGCATAGTCAATGAATTAACTTGTTTGCGTAAAACAATCATACGATTGGTAGTGACAACGGTGCGTACATCTGGCACAGCCATATCCGAGAAAATCTCATTGATAAGACGATGATTGCGTACAAAACGAGCATATGCGACGTGTTTAACGGAATAGCCATCATCTTGATCTTCTTCGTCTTCAGCTGGTTGAATATCAATGCGACGATCTTGTTGTGATGCTTTTGTTGGCCGTGACGGTGTGTCGTGCGAGTCATTTTCGTTACTTGCTTTTGCCTTGTTCTTGGCTGCCAAATATTGCAAAAATGCTGGTGAATTGTGATATGCTTTCAACGCTTTATCATACTCTGCCTGCAAATCAAATCAATTAATTGTTAAACATATCATATGTATTTTTAGTAAGATTCGTGAAGATGAATAATTTACCTTTTCTTGTTCATATTCATCAATGTACTCTTGTCGTTCCCTTGAAGGTAGTTCACGCCACATAAAACCAATAATTTTTCCGATTTCCCATAACTTGTGATCGGGATTTTCGGTTTTGACATTATCCCAAACACGACGTGAATATCTCATGTATGGCATTAATGGTTTTTCTGGTGGTTTTGGTGGTCTAGGTGTCTTTGGATCAAACTGTTGGTTTTCAAAAAGAAATAAAAATCAACATACATTCTATTTTTGCAATAAGTTATTATCCTTTTATTGGAATTAACCATTCCTCATTGCGTTTGCTTACAATGTTTGAGGTTTTGCTGACTTTTTGTGGTGTAAAAGCTGGATTACCATGGCTATTGTGAGAAAATGGATTCGAATCCTTATTTCGATCTGATTGACTTGATCCACCAGATGCACGCAGCCGTTCTGTGTTTAATTTAAAATGCAAATCATAATCATAATACATTTGTTATTGGCACATCAAATTTAAACGTTAGTAGCAAAAACAAAACGAAAATGTTCAACAATTTCAAACAGCGTCCAGAAAACACAGCGTAGTAAACATTACAACATATGATGATTTGATGCAATGGTAGATAGATTAAAAACTATCATAATAAAAACGTTTATGACCGATTTGTTCAATCAAGTTTTTGTTATTTGTTCAGTCAAAACATTTGTTATAAAAATTGTTGTTGAATAAAATGAAATAGAACAAAACAAAATATCAACATTAATAATAATCATGCACAAAATACATTTAAATATACATAACTAGCTTTAGATAACATATATTGTTGAAAAGAAGGGACACAAAGAGCAACAAAAAGAGTGTTCGCAGGATGTCTGAAAGCATTCAAACTCAAAATTCTAACAAATAATAGCTACATTTTGAATTATACCCATTTAGTATTGCTAACAATGCAAAATAATTAACAAATCTATCTAAGAATATGATTGGTAGGCTTGAAAGCGAAAGCTTATTTCACTTTCATTATTCATGTGAGTCTGAGTCTATTTATGAGCGTATGTATGTTTGGTAACTATACGATAAAGGAATTAAGATTTTTTTTTGTATCAATTTGAATCATAAATTACCTTTCAAAATGTTGAAAGTAACGGGTGAAGAGGACATCATATGCGAATCTAAAGAAAACAACAAAAATAAAAAGAAAAAAAAGTAGCACAAAACTCTAAACCCAAAATATGTTGTGCAATGTTTTTGATTGTACAGCCAAAATCATTTTTTTGTTTGATGTTGCCCAATTTTATTGATGTTAATTTATTTTTGTTGTTGTTGTTTTTCTTTAATTTTCATATTATTTATTCGTTAGTAAGAAATGTGCAAGTTTTTTTCTTTCACTTTACAGCTGCTCTGGAGATGACAGAACCCGAAGGAAGATGAAACAAAATCTTATATTACACATAAGAAAAGTAAGTAGCTGTTGTTGTTGTTGTCTATGTTTAAATCAATAATTCTATGCTCTTTTTTCTCAACTTTTAAATTCCCTCGACATAGTCCTTAAAGTGAAACTAACTAAACAAATGTCTCAAAAATACATTAAAACTGTGGTACAAGTCTTTTTTTAAGAATCAGTTTTTCTATTATTATTTTTTTCAATCAAAATTCTGAAACCCCAAAGATTCATTAAATTTCCAATGCGTTTAAATCGATTCAAGGTTTCTTTTATGTATTGAATTTGTTATTAATATGAAGAAATGAAAGTTAAAACATTTGAAAAAATTATACTGAATACAATATCTATAGATTCTATAGAATTAAGCACATTAGTGAAGCATTGAACTCTGTTGCTTTTTTACAATTCAGTAAATTATATTGATGCCAATTTTAAATACATACAGATACATATAATGTTTTTGCCAATCCGAATTACAATTTGAGAAGTTGTCACATTATAAAATGTGTGTGAATGAGCGTGAGAGTGTGTTTATTAAATCAATTGATTTTATAAACTTTATTTTTAATTTTTGTTGAAAAAAATCAGTTATTCTTTTCTTTATGATTTTTACAATGAATTATAATAATATCAATTTCTAAAGCCCATTTTCCATAAGTTTGAATTGAAATCAAAATCTTTTCATTTCTCTCACACACATTGAATCCACAAATATTTCATGCTATATATGGTATACATTGAGCAAAGAAAAGAGATATATTTTTGTGAAAAAATTAATAAATAGAGATTGGGCCATACATAATACAATCCAAAGAAAGAAAAAACAAAATCAGATGAGATATTTTTCTCATTTGAAACAAACAAAGAAAAACAAACACACAGCGAAAAATAACAAGAAAATTAAATTTATGTACGAACAGAGTAGAAGAGTGAAAATGTAAACTCACGATTTCCCGGCGTTCCAGGCATCATAGTCGATCCAGATAATTGCTTACAATTTTGCGGTAATGCCATATTCAAAAACAAAGTTTTAGTCTTTTTATTTGTTGTCAATGTTCACCACTCTAAAAATGTTGAAGAAAAGCATTATTTTTAATACACTTTATATATAATTGAGGAGCGGTGAATTGTTTCATATTTTAGAGATCTGACAACAAAATGACGCTTTGTTTTTTTTATACTTACGTACACACTAAATATTTTTAATTATCTCAGCTAAATAATATTGATAAAAATAATTTATTTCGTTTTAATATGCAACTTTCGTTGTTATTTAAAACAGGATTAAGAAAAATTAATCCAAAAGCACGAACAATTTTGAAAATAATCCTCGATTATTATTTGAAGTACACATAGAAAACGAAAAACACTAGACAACAGACGCCATTAGTAATACCAAGTGTCATCGACGCGCTTTTATCGCTGTAGGCCTTTTTAGGATTGTCACAAACACTAAAGATTTGGCTTTAAAAGCCAAAAGGCTCAAAAGATTTAAGGCGGAGAGTGGTGACATCTATCTATCTATCTAAGAATCATTTTAAAACCTTTTAATTGAATAGTTGAATATTGAATTTAAATGTTGTATTAGGATCATTTTTTCGATATTTTAATATCATTTTGGTTATAATAACGATTGTAAAAAGTAGATATCTGACGTATTAATTTTGTTCAAAAGCAATGAATTTAACTTCAAATTAAAACTGTGATAAAGATTTTAAAATTTTAATCATGTTTGATTAACAGTAATGTTATAACTTAATGTACAACGGAAATCAACTACCGTATTTTTATGTTGTGTCACGTTTCTAGAATGTCTTGAGTAATATCAATGGAATAAGTTTATAATTTCAGTTGTTTGTGATCGGTAGCATGTTTTGTACATGCGTTTTGATGAGCCGTAATGTTCCAACTTGTTAGTTGTTACTGCTCGTCAATCTTAAAAAATAAAACAAATACACACTCAAATGTAATTTTGGTTTTTGTTGTTTTGTTTTGAACCTGTTTTTTTTCTGTTCAAGGTGAATCATCCAGAAGAGCTCAATTTTTGGGTGCTTTACAAATGCTATGTTGAAAAAAAATTGTGATCGTCGTTCATACTTTAAACGACATCACAAAATATTTCTGACGCAAATAAATTGATATTGTTCTCTCTATTTTTCATCTCTAGTTGGTTATACATATTCACAAATGAATCAGACTTTTGTGATATTTGAATTTTCGTGATGGTACAGTTCAATTGATTTGACGAACGTAAATCCAACTCATCGCATATTATATATATCGACGAAGAAAAGCACTCAACAAATACTATATAGTTTAGAGAAGTAACATGCGCTACAGAGCGGCGACCAAACATGTTTATCAAATGCTATACGTTGGAATTCATAACAATTGCTAGGCAGGTGCGATTATTATCAGATGACGTGTTGTGTGGGAGTATAATATGACATCTTACTATTTCTGTACTATAAATATTTATGTTGCTTATTTTGTTTTATTGAAATAACCTAATATCTCCACGAACAACACGAACACTAATGGTACTAAAAAAAATCAATACTGCACACAAAAAAATATATTTTCAAAACTAAACGATATTCCATCTTATTTTTGTATTTAGATGACAGTTCGTTTAGATTTAGTATTTTTCATCTAGCTTGCATTTGAAGTAACGATTTTTGGTATTCTCTTTTGTGCGAATCTTCTTCGGTTGTGTGTTTTTTCGAAATCGATTGGTAACTCATACATCCCAAAACATAACCAGTGTTTAAAATTCTCTTGAACTTGGACTGATTCTGATTGATGGTGCTAAAAATTTGATTACAATGTTTCTGTTAGTTTTCTTGAGGGAAACAGATAAAATAATTTGCTCGGATTCCGTTTGGTTGTTAGAAAGCAAATATGATTTGGCTTTCGATTGAAAATTTGAATATTTGCAAATTATTGTCTCATATAGAATGATTTTAATTGGAAAGATTTGATTGAGTTGTTAATCTGCTGTATCTGTAAGGTGCTGCAATTTTAAATGCAAACGAAACAAATTATACATTTCAGAAATGTATGAGATCGTTCATAATTTATATTAATTATTCATATTATGCTTATGAAATTTGAATACATAGGGGAGAGGTCCGTAGATTGAGACGGTCTGTAGGTTGAGAAAGTCAAAAATTTTGACAAATGGCAACTGGGAGTACTGTGGTTTATACTTGTGTTTGAGACAGAGCATACCAAATTTTTTTTAGAAAAAAGTAATTTCGAAAATTTTCCTCAATTGGAAAAAGCCTAGCCCTTTTAGTCAACGATTGGAAACGCTGCAGTTCAATTGATGATAGCGTAACTGTCTCAACATCGACAGAGCCATCTACATTGTTCAAAAAGTTGCCATCGTCATCGTCGGAAGAGGACGTTGACTTTTGCATGATCTGTATGAAGGACTTTCCAGCTAAGTTGACTCGTGAAAACTCTGTCGAATGCAACAAATGCCAACGTTCATTTCACTTGAAGTGCGTCAACATGACCCGAAGCTATTACACGTGCCAATACTGCGACTCTGATGGCGATCTTTCTGAATAAAAAGATTATTGATATTTTTTATTCTCTTTTTTACAGCTCAGGCCTTTGTAAATAAAGAAATCAATAATAAACATTTGAATTCTGAAGTTTTTTCAAAAAAAATCTAACCGTTTTTCAATTGATGTGTGTGTCTCAACCTACGGACTAAATTTTTTCTAAGCAAAAAATCTCATTTTTGGCAAATTTGTTATAACTTTTTTATTTTTGAAGCAATGCAACTACTTTCTTCGGCGAAAATGTAGTGAAGGCAAATATCTTTCCAACGATATATAGCTCTCCCTGATATATTTTTTGATAAAAAAAATTTGACCGAAAAACAAAACCCGTCTCAACCTACGGACCTCTCCCCTATGGAACAAAGTAACTGAGTAATGCGCTATATGTTTTATATGAAAACGTCACACGAATCTCCCCCGAAAACGACATCTTTGGTCTTGCAGCAGAAGCTGTTTCTATGCTGAAAATTTCATTTCAGTTTAAAAAATTTAAAATATTATTCATGTAGAATTGTACAAATATTTCAAAACGTTGAAATGAGATTTACAGAAATATGCATTTGAAAATTGTTTTAAAAAATAAACACGGCACAGTCAATTTCAAAAATTTCAATGAATAATATTGTTGACATATTTTCACGATGACAGCTATTTTTGCGGTACAAAATTGACCCGTTTGAATGATTTGTCAATATTGAACAATTGAACATACTCTACACACATGGGGAAACAGAGATGGCGTTGTCGTAGCATGTAGCAAAATATATGTTTAACGCAATATTCGGCTTGAACAAAGCGATTTCCCAAGATCAAATGACGCATTTTATTTCATGTTTGCTTTAGTATTCTATGTTTTTAACGTGTTTGCGCCGCTTCAATTCACCTGGGTAGTTTAAATCCAATCCAAAAATAACTGTAGTAATTTGAATGAAATATTTTGTGTTTTTTTATAGTCCACGATGAGATTCACACTTCCAATTTTGGAATGGCAAATGATTAATAATTAGTACTAAATGATTTAGAAATGTGAAATAGAATGCTATTCAAGGCCATCGACAAATCACCGGTTTCAATGACGCATTCGCATTACTTGTCTTGAACCTTTTCTTATCACTATCACTCCATTTGTTTGGAACGGACTTTGCGAATGAAAAGCAATGGTGTTACATCTAATCAACAAAAGCAGCCTATAGTCTTATATTTGCTTCTATTTTGGTCCAATGAACAACAATATAATTACGTTTGGGGATGGCCAAACCTGTTGAAGATTAAACAGACTATTTTGATTGATACGTTGTTTCTTTTCGGAAAATTTACAAAAAACGCAGTTTTGTTCATAATAAGTTTTTTTTTGTTTCTTTAAGTGTGTCCAATCAAATTAATAACTTGATTAATACTTGAAACTACAATATTTACTGATTATATTGTAGCTACAATGTAGTGCTGCGCATTGAACTTGGAAATGCATTTTATTTTCGAATGCAACCCGTTTGTCCACTACGAACGGAATAATTTCATTAGACAATGTCTTGTTTATAATTTTTCCATTTTTTTGTTGCACATAATAACGAAAACAACACAAACACCAACGATAAAATGCATTCTCGAAGTTTCTCTACTGACGTACATTGAGTGCACAAAACACTAAGTGTTTCTCGATACAATAAGCACTGAATATTTCTCTAATATCGATAACTTACCGGCTACGTTTCGATAGGATTATGTGCTTTCATAACTAATCAAATGTTAATTAAACTTGAAAAATATATTAACCTTAGCCACTGCTACATTTGCAGTTGAATGAATTGATTAAAAAAACATATATTACAAGGCTACTTGTATCACACATTCAAGTGTATATGACGTCGTCAATAGAACTCTTTCGCAGATTGTCAACCGTGTAGCAACTTCAAATTTTCTATGCACTCATACAAGTTTACACGTGTTGCATATAAATCAATTTGCGATCAATATCCCAATAAACCATTTGATCCATTCTGTAATGCCATTTGTAGCACATTATGTATACATGTACACATTTTGTACACATTATGTATACAAACTCGATATTGAATTCTCAAAAATATCTATACATTTGCTTCAAGGGGCAAACTACTTCACTTTCGTAATTCTTATAATTCAATCTAGTACTCCGATAATTCCAAAAAATTCTATATAATTCCATACAATGCCACATAATTCCAAACATTTTTTGAAGTATTTTAAATAGTTGTTTATTTACACAGAATTTTTGTATGAATAATATTATTTCAACGATAATATTTTTCGATATTTTTTTAATTTTCATAAATATATTTTTATGCAAGTATATACAACCGAAACCAAACTATTTTATTGGCTTCATTTACTGAACGAATCGTTTCGAAAATTGTTTGCACGATGTGTTGTACAATTTGCATAGCAGCGACGTTGTATACTCATACATTCAAAGCATCGCTCTTCACGTACACACACATTGTCGTACAAATCATTTTCGGAACGTTCCCTTCGTTTCAATCACATACAAATGAAACCAATTCAAAATAACTCTCCGAAATCTGTTTGTATGAGAAATGTCGAACCGGTATCATTGATGTGATATACAAGTATGAAAATATATTTATGAAAATATAAAAAATATCGAAAAATATTATCGTTGAAATAATAATATTCATTTAAAAATTCTGTGTAAATAAACAACTATTTAAAATACTTCAAAAACTGTTTGGAATTATGTGGCATTGTATGGAATTATATAGAATTTTTTGGAATTATCGGAGTACTAGATTGAATTATGAGAATTACGAAAGTGAAGTAGTTTGCCCCTAGATTTGCTTGGACTTGATTAAATTCAATTGAATTGGGCTTTTCGAATTAGACGAAAATCTGAAGAAATAGTTGCACTTCGCTTCTAGGTATATGAACAAAGAAAACGTTAAAATGATGAAATTTTCTCATGCCGTAGCCGATAAGTAAGCTATCAAAAAAAAAAAAACAATTGCATCGCAACTATTTTACGACATTGAACTCAAGATCAACCAAATGACCAGATTGGATTATTCTTTTGCTAACCATATTAATGGCTGAAACTAAAAAAAAACAAAAATGGAATTTGGCCTTTTTCCATACCAAGTGCAAATGATGCTAATCTATGTGAAACAGAGTGGCCTGTTCGTTTTCTGTTCCGCATTTTATAGCGTATGCATTCGAGACTACTCGTGCAATCTGAATACATCGTATTAAGTAGGTTGGTTTTTTTCTTCATATAAATTTATATAGATTTATTCGTTTGACGTCAATGAATGAACGCCATTCGGTTCTCTTGTCACCATTTCCCCCACTGTGTTCTTTCTATTTTTGTACGCGTTGATCAATTCGAATTGCTGTTAAAAGCAGTCGGCTATCTACCAGCCTGGTCTGACTTGAGCTTGAACCTGATTCTAGATGGCAATGCTTCCGATACAACGTATATTTTATTATTATTCAACTCTTTTATAGCTTGACGGCCCGTTTTACATATGTAATTATAAATGATGCTTTTTGCGTCATCGAAACAAATTTGCCGCGAATATCTTTTCTACTTGAACGTCGTTTTTTTCACGTTCGTGCGGCTTTTCGTTCTTTACTCCCTTCAGTTTCATCTATTTTTTTTCTTTTTCGTTTTTTTTTCATACGAGAAGCTTTTACGATTTAGCTTCATATTGTTTAGAGGAATTATTTTCCTTAAAGTTATTTTTAGTATTTGTCACGATACTTCGTTTTCAATAAATGTGTCGACTCGACACCGCCATTGCTACGGTTATTGGCAGGATTTTAAATAAATTTATTTAATGACAACGAAATATTTGTGTGCGCAAACATTTAATATTTGAATTGCATTCAAGGGAGCTGATGGGAAAAATTTGTTATGCACCATGCAGCTAGACACACCAATTCACGTTTATCACTACAGCCACCCCACTCGCGAAATATGCACCATTATTCGCGGATAGATAACACATCAACTATTAAAGCGAACTGCATTTTCGGTTAAAATTTTTGCATGTACTTCTATGTTGTTTATAAAATCTGCACTAACAAATTATGTAAAAAACTATCAACTATTTTTCCAGCTTTATGTCTGAAATTTTAAACCTTCAATACGATTCTTGTGAGTTTCTGCTCGTTGATGTTATGGTAAGTTTCTTTAAGTTGTTAATAGTTATGCATGTTGGAATAGTTTATAATTCAAAATCGTTTCACACAAATTGGCAAATTTCTTGGGAAAACAACAAATTAAGTGCTCTTCTTAATTAAAAATAAAACTTGCAACTGATGCTAAACCATAACAATCAAATCACCCACGATTCACTATATGGATGCCAAATTGACAAATTGGTATCTAAAGATAAACCTGAATAGAATTGTTGAAACGAATTATTTAAACGTCATAAGTCATGTCTTATACTAGGTCAATGTCGAATATTGACATAAAATAGAAAAGAAATTTATAAATGTTTTTATAACAAATAATTCCAAATATATCAACACACTTTCAATGCAGACCAAACAACAGTTCCATGAAAATCATCAAACTGATCAAGTAGCACAGCTTACAATTTACGAACGTTTCTTTCCTTCTGCTATTTCAACGATTAATAGAAGATGTAAATTTATTCTTCGCGCACACACTCTCTCCACCTCAATACTTCACGCGGTGTGTGAGATGATTTTTAAAAGTTTTTCTAAATATAGTTTTCTGACATAAAGCAAAAAAAAAAGTTACTTGTTAGATCGGCTCTTGGTCGATAATTATGTCAAGAATGTTGATGCATTTTTCAAAAAAATGGTAGAATGAACAAAATTTGAGATCATATTTTATGGTTTACACTACGATAGCATTTAGAAAATACTTTGATCATTGACGACAAAACTACTTTTTCATACATTCATGACCAATAACGTTTAACAGTGTGATACAGCATACTTTCTCACTCACACGTGAAACGAAAAAAGGAAGTAAAATATTCGTCAAAATCCAATCGAATATTTGTACCATATCGATTATTCGTTCACAAAATTACAAGAAGATTTCATCGAGGAAAAAAACACCAGATATCCATAAAAAGCGTTCAGATATCCATAATACATAAAAGTAAGTGGCACTCATACCGCAAAAATAAAACCTCTACATTCAAAGCGACTGATATAAACGTTCCGAGTTATAAATATAAAGCGCGTGTACACAAATTTGTTCACGTATAATCCTCTCGTTTATTTATTCATTGTTTACTTTTGCTGGTGTATAACCACACTCCTCTGGAGCAAGCTTTAAATATTATGTGTGTAGTATTTATGTTTGCAAAGACGTGTGAAGCTTCTCATTCATCGAGAATTTGAAAAACAGTTCGTATTTACATTTTGAACATATCGCACACAAAAATAAAAACTCTCCCAGAAACTTTTCGTATTTAACATTATTCAAAACATTGACAAGGAGTTTCACTGTGAGAACAGAGTTTTAAGTGTAAACTAAATTAAGAGTTGACAAAAAAGCGAAATAAAGAGAATATAATTTAAACGATTGACAACTGATAATATTCACTAATAAAAAAATAGTTAGCACTTTTTTAAAGCGTTGTGTAGGTACAAATACGAAATCATCGAGCAATATTAAAGTTTAACAACAGCATAAAAAAGGACATTACACGCTGTATCTTTTTGCTAAATACACATGTATATGTTTTATAAATCAAAAAGTGACAATTAAATTAGACACGAAGCAGTAAAGTGCATATATTTATTACAAGGAACTTAAAACGTGTAAGTTCATTATCATATCAACCTTTAATCAACATTATACATCAAAACTATCACTGAATTTCAGCAGACAATTTCTTAAGAACAGTCTTTTTATCTGACCATAAAATAACTTATTTCAAATACGCAAAACAGTCAAATAAATAACAAAAGACTTCAATGAGGCAATATGGCTGCAAACTTTCAATTTACGATAGCTTTCATAGTTTAACTAGAACGATTGTTGAAAGCGACAGTTTTTGTCACTTTTTTGTTCTATCAAATGTTACTTTAAAAAAAACTACGAGTAATTAATTACAAAATTAGTGTACATTTTTTGTTATTTTTAAAATAAAGTGATTGAAAACTATGTGTGCCAAATGATCAAGTTGACTAAAAGAATAAATTAATAAATCAATTGATTTTAATTTTGAGACGAAAAATAACCAAATAAAAAAGATCATACTGTATTGATTTATTATTATTTTTTGATGTAAGCAAAAAATATTTTCATACGTTCTAAAATCAAAGTCATTTTTGATTGCAGTCAACCAGTTTGACACTTATCTGCTAAATGACATACAAGAACACAACAACCGTGACTTCTTTTTTTTACTTGCTGGTTGTGATTACAAAATTTCAATTCAATGATTAATATTCAAAGATCAGCGGACATTCTAACCTTCGATTTTATAATACTTCCCTGATATGATATCAAGCAGTGTATAATACACAAAATGTTACTGAATATCGAAAATATTGGTGATACTCATGATAATTTGCTAAAGATAATAAGTAAAGAAATGTCTCAACATTTTGTTTACGTATTTAGCTTTTTTTTATGAAGCCATCAAAACACACAAAAAATAGTTATTTTAATGAGTATTCGTCATATTTCGAAGTGATAATATTACTTTATTTAATGTGTGTATGGAATTTTTCGTAAAATTGGATTTTAGGGGAAAAAATTCCATCGAGGAACTAAACAAAATTTCAATGGCTTTTCAAACCAGAATTTCAACTTTTAATGGATAATCTACCGGTTGCGGAACTTTAGAAGATATATACACAACGAATGCGCGCAAAAAAAAATATATACGCTATATCACACAAATCCTGAAATCAATTCTCACGTAAACAAATGACCAAAAGTTGAAAAATAATACGCATCTCGCATAAATATCCTCTAAACTAAATTCATTAATGGCATTTGAACCGCTTCCTCTGAATTCATTTAAAATTTGTATTTTTATTGTTCTTGTCTCTTGCTTTTCAGATCCGAAAATAAAGTTTGTTAGATTGTTTTCGCGAGTGACTTGATTAGAAGAAATAAATGTTTGTTCGTACTATGTTGTGTAAAAAATGTATTACGCAATCGAACTGTTTTGAAGAGAAAAGTCAGTCGCACCAACCATAACAACAGCTATAAAGACGTGTTCCAATGATCTTTATTGAACGTACAAACAAAAAAATAATAATCATAAAATACTTTGCCATCTGAGCAGTGGACCGACAGTTTTTTTCTGTTTTGTTCTCTTCCTCAATTGTAATAATAGATTTAACGAAACAAGGAACCTAAAAACCACGCAACTGTAATGAACGTGTGTCGGCTTTTATATACACGATAATGACGAGTTGACGCGCGACATGTTTTTGTTGTTCGTATTTTTCATTGTTATATTTTCTTTTTATCGTCTTGCATTCTAACTGATTCAACGTTATAGCAACGTCAGCATTTAGCGTGTTATTTGCTATTAGATTTATTTTATTTCTAGAATTTAATTTCAACAATTTGCTGATTTGTATAATTGACTTTTCATTTCAAAAAGGTTGTTAATTATATTCTATGTTTGAAGTCATTGATAATTAAATGTAACATTTTTAACTTAACATGACAAGTAACTTTTTTTTTAATTGAATAATTTTTGCCATTAAAGTAAATGTTGTATGTGTTCCACAATAGAGAATTTGTTTGAGGAAGTTTATTATTTTTTCTCGTGATATTTTAGGTTGTAAATCGATTTCGATAACTTTATTTTGAAGTTGATCCTAGAGTAAATCAACTTTGAAAGGAAGTTTACGAAGCCATTTGAGGACATTTAATTTTGTTATTCTTTTTGCATTGTTTGCCATCACATTTCTAGTATAATCGGGTACATGGTTACATTGCACGTGATATGAATAGTTTTTGATTGAATATTGACCATTTCATGAGCTATTTACAGATTGCATATACAATATTTTCACCCATTCGGAATTAAACGCAATAAATTAATGCAATGCTAAACAATATATTTTTCATGTTCTTTTTTTGCTTACCTATCGGGAATAAATTTTGTAAAATCTATTGCCAGTCTTATCATGTGATATGGTTGTGAAAAAATATCTTTCTTCAGTGAGTGAATCAAAATTGATCAATATTCATAGTCCGATTGAAAATTTTCATATATTCAATAATTAATAGTATTGTGCAAATAGGGAGCCATATAAATTTCTATTTAGTCAACATGAGAATAATAAAATTACATTATATAAATGTTATCCATTCGATGGAACGTAAGTACAAGGCATACATTGAATTGACAGAGAATTCAAAACGCAATTTGTTTTCACCCTCTCAATAAATTTACATCTAACGATCTAAACAAGAAAGTATTTCGTAATTAATTGTATTTTTATCGCTTTTAATTCAGCAAAATATTTCAACATTGTTTCTATTCATTTTCTAGTACGCAATTGGTAGAGTGAATCTCATTTGAAAATCTGATTTAATTGATGGTAATAAAAGTTGGACGGCGCTCAATCAAGTGACATTGTTAATAAACGTGCTAGGCTATAAACAATTACTCACTATGAATATGGTAGCCAATTGAAAAATTAGGTACTCTTTACACATATTATTGATCTTTTGTTTTTTGGTTGTTGTATGCTGTTTTAAAAAACTAACAGAATTGTGTATAACTAAAATCGTCATAAAACTGAAAAAGATTAATAACAATGTGTTCAACATCTTTGTGGGATGCAATTGTGTTAAGGTCCATTTTCCAAGGCGGCGATTACAATCGTGTACGATTTCAAATCGTTGGCCAAAATCGTTAACGATTGAGATCAATGGTTTTTTTGACGCCAAAATCGTGAACGATTTATTATTTGTGGTTTTTTTGAAGCCCGATTTGAAAAAAAATCGTGGACGATTGCAATCGTCGCCTTGGAAAATGCACCTTTAGGTCTCATTTGTTTTTATTAGAATGCGATCAATTTTTGTGAGAGACAGAAAAGAATTTCCGAGTCCATTGACATTATGAAAAGCAATGTGTGAATTCGCTTCAGGTTGCTGGAGCAATTTCAAAATAATATTTGATTGTTATGAATCTTTTACAAAACCTAAATGTGGAAATAAAATCTGCTGATAAGCGATTATAATAATAACTAATGGTTTCGTATAGAAACTGTTAGCCAGTTTGAGTATGTTTCATCAGTATTCTATGGGGATCCGTTAAAAACGTGATTGTCGCAATGACAAAAAAAATACACGATTTATTTTATGATATTACATGTGAAATATCGATTTCAGGCTATGCATACAAAAATATGTATACTATACGCATGCAAAATAGACCCATAACGCGCCGATATTCGACTATATTCGACTATGTAATAACGAATAATTTGCTGTACTAATTTCACCTGAAACGAACGTCACCTGGTTCGTCATGTCTCTTTTTCGCTGTACCTCCGTTTCTTTCTATCCCTTTCACTTGCCTATCGAACTCACTTCGAAAATTATTTTAAAGGTCGTTCGATGGCCATGAAATTTTCTCTTTATTTTACTTCGTTATATTTTCTCCGTTGCTTTTATTTTTTGTTTCATTCGGTTGAAGTATTCATACATTGTTTACATTATACATTCGTACACATGTTTTATGTTTGTATGTCCAATTCAAGCTGAATCAAGTTATTTCACACGTTTTTTTTCTTGCTTTTTGGTAATTTATTATTGTTTTTGCAATGAAATGCTGACTTAAATTGAATGCAACCAAACGTTTATGATCGATTTTCATATTGTCGGAGACCGGAATGATTTCTAGACCGAGTCAGTAGCACAAAACACGTTTTTCGTGTTCTCTTCCAATTGATAGAAGTTAAATTGTAAGTGAATGAAAGAGACAAGAACAAAAACTCCTCTTAAATAATGATTGTCATAATATAAGTAAATCAAAAATATGTATGAGTGACTTTACGTAAGAGTAAAAATCAATAAAGTCCACTTGTTAGACCTCCAATCGTATATGAGTGCGCGATACTCGTACTCTTCAATGTTGACGACAAAGAGAAGGAAAAAAAATGAAATATCAGACAATACCGTGAACTAACTTACGTAGTGTACACAATTAACAAGTCGGTTTCATTGCGTTCAAGTATCGTCTTTTCGGAATACAAATCAACGAAACGATGTCGTATGATCGTTGATATAGGTCTCTTTCTAAAAATCCAAACATATACGCTCACATTATCTGCTAGATTTGTGCAAACTACATTAATATTCCAAAGCTTTTTTAAAAGTGAAAAATGATCAACCAATAGTTATTAGTATAGATTTCCCTTTGTATTAACAACAAAGAATTTATTTTTCACGTATTTTCAATTGCGAGTAGCAATGCTTTTGATGAAAATCTTAAATCGCTCATTTTGATTGAGTGTGAATTTAAATTACTGTTTGAATGAATTAATCAAGAAATCAATTGCGCTTTTTTACACACTTAATTAAGGAATTTGTCAGAAAAAATAAAACCGGCATGCTTTAAAAATGTTGTCATCATTTGTTTGACCCTGAGTTATCCTCAACTCGAAAATCTAAAACAAAAAAAAAATCAATTTATCACTCTATAAAACGTTTCATTACATTCGTGGTGATGGTTTATGACGTTAACTCATTTAATTTGCAAACTTTATTCCATTTTTTAGTTCCTATTCCTAACAGATTTTTTATTCTTATTATTTTAAGCACGTTTGGACCATTTGAATCTTTTGTCAACTTTTTGATTGATTTATAAAGGGCACTTTAAAAGGTGACATAATGCCGGAAATAATTGACAACAATAACATGAATGGTAAGTTTTATTTTGAAGAATACATTTTTTTTTGGAAACGACAACTTTTAACTAATTCAATATTTGAATGAGAGTTAATCAAATTGCATAAAAACTTCCATATTTGGAGTGATCTTCAAAATATAAAACTAATTCGAATAGACAAAATACAAGGAAATAAAATAGAAAATATCAGTATACGAAAAATCGTACACACATCTTGACAAAGTTGAATCAATTTTTAGTTATAAAACGATGCATCTACTCACATTATGGTTCTAGATCGTTGTCGTCTATACTGAATAAGACTTCTGAGATATTTTGAGTTTTCAATTCATAGATGCTTCAAATTTTGAAGAAATCTGAATTTGGGCCAGTTCGCACATGATCATTTTTTCAAAAATATCGTTGGTTGCATACATTTTATGTAATATCTCGTAAAAATACGATATGTGGTATGTTTTGATTGCCACTGACAAATTTTGTTGTTTCAGTACCAGTTTTGTAACAAATATATCGAAAAATCAAGTGAAATACATATCCAATTATTGAATAATAAATTTTTAATAAATAAATAAAATAATAATTCGTATTAAATTTGATTTTAAGAACCTATAATCAAAATACAAATATATTTATAGCGTCAATTAAACAATTATAAATTCATGAAAATGTCATTTTTAAGGTCTTTTTATGTTTAGAATTTCTGAGAGAGCTTAGAGGCTCGAGACTATTCCATGATCATCCGTAATTTTGACACCTCCTATTTAAAAAAAAAATGAAACTAGCCTTAAAAAAATTTAGCCTTCTCCAAAATTCAAAACTTATTTTATTAAATACTAGCCGGCCTCCGGATACATGCATCTTATTAGTCTTCTGACTAGTAACATTCTAATAACTATACTTATTAGTGCAAAAAAATAATAAGTAATAATATAGTTTGATCTTATTTGAATGATAAGATAATAAGATGAATAATAAGATACCGAAAATGCCCAACTGTACTAATTCCTATCTCTGAAATTACTCAATAATTATTCAATATTAATTTCAATTTTAAGGCATAGACCATGATGTTCAACCTCATTTGTTAACATGGGCTTCCAGCGTCGAAAATCGTTCAATTTTGGTACAATTGAATTAACTTCGAATGTTGAAAACTAAATCCAAAATAAACAATCATAAAAAACTAATCATTCTAATAGCAACCTCCCGAAAGTGTAAAAAAATGCTTTTTTTGAGAAAAATGTTTTTTTTTTTGAGACCATGATGGACCATGTTGTCCGACCTCATTTACCGTGTTAAATGGTGTTAGACCATGATGGACCATGATTCCTTACCTCATTTACCGTGTTAAACAGAGCATCTTGATTTGCTGCTGCTCAGCATATAGCTGAGAGCTGAGAAATGCTGAAGTCGTGCGGCTAACGCATACGAAACGGATTGCACGCACACATGCATTCTCCCCGTTTAAACGGTTATAAACAGTTGATTGGACGTTCAATTCAAAACTCAAAACTTAGTAACCAGTTGAGTTTGAAATTGTGTTGCGACCGACATATGAGAAGCTGCGAGAAAAACATCACGTCGCATCCCTCGTTATTTTGCTTACGTAAGTGAAAGCAAGAGATGAGATGCGACGTGCTGTTTTTGCTCTCAGTCTTTCATATATTCTGAAAGTGTACGTCTAAGGCATACGAAACGGATGCACGATACATATTCCCCTTTCACTTCGTATGTTCGCTGGTATAGTGTGTAACCATTGTACCGGCAATAGCGTCAACGGCAGCACATACGAAGCGAAAGGGGAATATGTATCGTGCATCCGTTTCGTATGCGTTAGCCGCACGAGCTCAGCATTTCTCAGCTCTCAGCTATATGTGATAACACGTTTTAACTCATATTAGACCACGATGGCTGTTAAACCAACTTCAAAAGTACCTCTCCCCCATAATTTTGGGCCGAGGAATCCGAATTTGATCATGAAATTTACAAATTTTGACATACCCCATACAAATATTAAAAAAATAAAAATCGACCGTGATGGAGTAACATATGTATCATAAACATTGGCACAAATTGAGACATTCGCCATTTGAGCAAAAAACACAAAACATTAAATTCTTTTTTATTGGTATAAACCTTTATTCGTAGGCTATCGAATAGCACATTCACTTCACACTGAACGGACCATTGTCTTCGATTTTTCTTAGTATGTGTCGAACCATTAAAATCATGCTCTGGACAACTGATATGTCGATTTCTTTCAACTTTCTCTCAATCCATGCAACCAATTGTTGCTCGTTTCAAGTATTTTGTACCTTCGCCTATAACATACATCCAAAATCAGACGAGAAATATTTAATATGGTGTTTTTTTGTGAAGTTAAAAAGATGGTCCTTTTTTCATGGAAATGTCATATTTTAAGAAGTGAGCCATTATTGTGGTTTTTTCTACTTGCAAAGCAAAATTTTGCCTTAAATCAGATAGTTCTCAATGAATTCCATCGATTTCAACAATAATTGGTTGATAATGGAGCATGTAATGGAGGTTTTACCTTACGTTTCATCACCAAATTCTCGAATAATGGATCTAAAACACCTTCCAAAGAAGATCCTACCATACATACACCCGTTTATCAAAGTTCGGTTTGTCCACGTCTCTAGCCTTATATAGTAGTGCCCCAACATAATCAATGCAAAAGAAACCACTCGCACTTGATTCGTGGTTCGATATAGCGATGAATGTTTCACCGTCCAAAATGATGAATTTTTCAGTGCAACATGCTATGAGGTGATGTAAACACCCAATTTTTGACAGCCTTTGAAATTTTTTCGTAACCTATTTTGCTCATTACTAATGATCGTGTCAAAATCTATTGTTTTGGTTCGAATTTGGATGTGCTGTAACCATAAAAATCACCAAAACTGAATGTTTGCTTGACCAACCCGATTTTTAGCACTTGGTGACAATTTTGAAGGGTTTGAGCATCTAAATTGGGAATACGACCGTACTTTTCTAATTTCTCTAGAATCTTTATATTCATATTAAGTCCATGAAACGCGATAGATGGTTCGGCGTGAGATTGGTTTATTTTTAAACACACGGAAAATTTCGTTTGTACTTAGCTGTCCAAAGCAGTTTGAGACAGACTTGCGCAAATCCAATTTGTACGCCATCGCGAATAAATGTATTACGTCGGATTGAGTTTGACAGTAGTCTCGAGGTATCGATAAATGCACTACGTGCGTTGGTTGACATTTTTGTGTTTGTTATTGCGTTCTAATAAATGTCTCAATTTGTGCCAATGTTTATGATACATATGTTAGTCCAATTTGGTCCAAAACCTCATGGTGACCTAGATCTCGGTTCAAAGTATAAGTGTGCAAAGTTTGGTTCAGATCGGTTGAAAATTGTGGGAGGAGTTAAGGACAAAAGAATGACATTTCGTTTTTATAATAAAGATGCTTCGATATTATTATACGAAACAAGGTCAAGTTGATTAAGAGTTTATTGCTCATATCAGAACTCCATGCATTAAAAGAAGTTCACATGAAACGTGCTACAAACTAAATATGATATATTTTCATTGCCAAAACCACATTGTTATATCTCACGAAAATTTCATTCACTCAATCCATTCACAATATTTTATTTACGAGATTATTTATTTGGTTAATTTTCTTCTTTAAATCATTCAAAAGATGCCACACTATCGCCAATGCAGCAGTTCTATCACAACAAAACCGTATTTTTGACGGGTGGTACTGGTTTCTTGGGCAAAATTTGTATGGAAAAACTACTTCGGAGCTGCCAAATTGATACCATTTATGTTTTAATACGATCGAAAAAAGGCAAAGACATTGCAACCCGTATGGAAGATATATGTAACGATGTGGTATGTATATGTATAATAATTTACAAAATAACGCTATAGTAATATAAGCAAACGGAAGGACATCAAAAACATATTTTATTTTTTTATCTGAAAAAAGCGCGCATTTACAAGAAAAATATAAGCAAAATAAAATACAAAGGTGATTCTTGATATATTTAGCAATGAAACGAAATGGAATGAAACAAGTAAATCAAGAAAATCAGAATAAAATTAATTTTGAAAAATGGGTGATCAACCTTTTTTTTCTTGTTAACATTGAAATTATTATTATATTATTACAATTTAAAATATTTTATTGGGACCAAAAGTTTTTTCAATGTGAAAAAAATAAAATAATTTATGTTAAAATTTAAAAAAGCTGATTTCATTCTCTTTATTTCGTCTGCAACAGGTTTTCTCGAAGTTGAAGCAGCAAGACAAAGAAGAAAAATTCCGTCACAAAATTGTGCCGATCGAAGGTGATTGCAGTTTACCCGGTCTTGGTATGTCCGCATCCGATCGTCGAAAACTCATCGAAAACTGTCAAATTATTTTGCATGTCGCTGCCACTGTACGTTTTGATGAAAAACTTAAATTGGCATTGGCCATTAATGTGAATGGAACAAAAGAAATAATGCAGTTGTCGAAACAGACAAAATCTTTGGTGGTGAGTTTTAATTTTCGAAAATAATTTTGGATGGCAATTTAAACGCAATAACTTAAAAAAAAATCAAAATGTTCTCCATTTGTGTGGTTTTGTAGGCATGTGTTCATGTTTCAACCGCATATGCTAACTGCAATCGATCAAACATTGATGAACGCATTTATCGCACGAAATTAAGTGGCAGTAATGCCATTAAAATGGCCGAATGCTTCGATGAAAAAACACTAGAACAAATTACACCGACGTAAGTTCCAGTTCTCTTTGTCGTTTTTTTTTTAATAAATATTCTGAAATGTTATTTTTTTGCAACTATAGTTTGATTGGCGATTGGCCAAATACATACACATTCACAAAAGCGTTGGCTGAAGATTTGGTAAAATCGATGTGCAAAAGAGACAACGATGGTGAAAATAATAATTTGACTGAAAAAACGATGAACAAAATAATCAACACAGATAAAATTATTGAAAATAATAACTTCGAAGAAGTTAAATCAACTCAGCAAGATGAAATGCTTCCTGTTACCATTTTCCGTCCGGCCATTGTTATTCCAACAGTCAAAGAACCAATCGTTGGTTGGATTGATAATATGTACGGGCCAACGGGTATTATTGTTGGTGTTGGTGCCGGTCTATTGCGTGTGTTCTATGGTAAAAAAGAGAATAACGCTGAACTTGTACCAGTCGATATGGTTGTTAATGGAATTTTGGCCAGTGCATATGATATTGCACACAATTATCGCAATTATTCAGAACCACCGGTTTATAATTATGTTGCATCACCACAAAATCCCATCACATGGAACGATTACTGTGAATATGGTGTTGAACACGGAGCAAAAATGCCGATGATGAAATCAATTTGGTACTATACTTTCAATATGTCAGCAAATCGATTCTTGGTTAGCATTTTAACATTCCTCTATCATACATTGCCTGCTTTTCTTATCGACACTGGTTTGGTAGTGATCCAACGTAGACCAAAGTAAGTTTAATTTCTATTCCTTATTATCGAAATATCATTTGAATTTGGAAAACCAAATTCGAACATAGATTGAAATCCCTAGTCGGTTTCATCGGTATCGCCAATACCGCAATAAATTTTCACTTTTCCGACAAATTCGTAGTAATGAGTGAAGTATATACTTGAATTGAATGTTATTATTTGCATGCAAATAACTCAAGTAAATATGCATTAAAAACATAGAGGGTAACAGAATTAAGTTTTTTTTTTTCATTCAGAATGTTGCAAGTGTACCGAAAAATTCATCGTTTCTGTGACGTTATTTACTATTTCACTAATGGCCAATGGTATTTCACAAATCAAAATGTACAGCAGCTGTGGAATAAATTAACACCACAAGATCAACAATTGTTCTTCTTCAATATGGCTGAATTGAACTGGAGCGAAGCGATTAATATGTCAATGTTTGGCATTCGCACATATTTAATGAAAGAAGATCCAAACAATATTCCAGAAGCATTGAAACGCACACAAAGGTAATATGACTCATTTGTATTTTATTAATTCTCACATCAATAAATTTAATTCATTTAACCTCGATTGATCAAGAAAATGCTAACGTTTGAAAAACAATTTTCCCTATCTTTCTATATTTACAGACTGAAAATTCTACATTTTGCAACAGTATACTCGATATACACCGCACTATTGTACTTTTTGTACATGATATTATCGAAATTTTTCTTGCCAATACTTTCAACGTCTAATAAAATATGATTTGATGTATTGTATGGTTAGGTAAAAATAAATAAACAATATAAAATCAAACAATGTGGACAAGGGACACAAAAGCGAAGTCGAAATCACCCAATAAATCAAACAAATGTTTTGCAATTTGGTTTGGGGTTAAAATACAGTGCGATACATCGAACGTAAATTATATAGATACATTAGACAACCTTTTTTTTTTGGGTTATTTCTTTGAATTAGAATTGCTCATGATTTTTTTTTTTTTATTCCTTAAGTCATACTTTTTTTCGTATTATAACTCGTATTCAATAAGAATAAAGTTTCGTATCTCATTTAATAAGGTGTCCATTTCGATCATATTGCGCATGCTACACAAAATAGACTGAAAAAAAACTAAATTTGATTGCTGACACTCAATCTATTCAGCCTCTTGTCAAAAATTGAAATTAAAAGAAGAACCAACAATGCAATTCTACATTCATTTTTATTTAAAAAAAAAACCTTCAATTCAAATTGAAATGAAAATCTGCAAAATACAATAAATTTGGTCTATTAGTATAGTCTGTGGTGACCAACACAGATTTTATGGTTCGACAATGTTTGATTTATATTACTAATTGTCGCATGATATATTTTCTACAAATGAGTGTGTTCGAACGCAAAATATTATTATTTCTGATGTTGTAGAAATGATGAGTCAGTTGATTCGCTTTATGTTTTTTTTATATTTTGTAATTAACAATTTAAGTAGTAGATAGTTTTGGCTATTATTTTTTTCTAAATGTTATCTAAATGATGGGAAAATGAGACAAACAATTTTAGATTAATGAGAATTTAAGGTTTTTTACGTAGTTTAAAATTAATGTCACAATTAAAACATTCAAGAAAATCGAGAGTGCAATTATTTGAACTTTATATGGTTTACTCAAAAGAAAAAAAAATCATGGAAATTTCCTGTGAACATATATGAAATAACTTTTGTTCTACTTTAATATTGATTGGAATTGGTCTTTATAAAGCTATGGCTTTTACAAGTGATTTTTCATTTACTCGGAAGAATTTCCGACCACGCCAATCCTTCACCTATTTTAGTATCATCGTCTGGACTATTAAATTAAATATATTTAACTCGATAATAGACAATGGTTTAGCAATGAAAACACACATAAACTATAGTTACGATAGCAACATTAATAAAAATAAAAGTTTATTCAATTCATATATTTTGGAAAGTAACTTTTGAATCCCAGCAAATCGCATTTGATCATGATTTCACGTACTTGAATTTGGTTTTTAATGTAATATTTAAATATAAATTCATGTTATTCATTTTAATTCTAAATTATCAGTCAAACATTTTTTTTCTGAAATATTTCTTTGGAATTGAATTTTGCGTATTTCAGACCATCGCATACGCAGCATAATTTGCTATGCCGCACCTGTTCTGATGTCTTTCAATCTTCATGTAGCCATTTTCACCCCACCGATCGCCCCACCAATTCTGCAATATGAAATAGTCAGGAGTATAACCAACGGCAAGCATTGCATGGTTCACCGTTTTATCTGTACATGATGGATCCGAATAAATTCCATGTGAATATAGTTGAAATGACGATGGTCTTGCATTAATCGATATGGGAACTATAAGATTTTTTTTTTATTCAAGTGTGCTTCAATAAATGATAAATAATAATTCTTAAAAAAGGGAAACATTAATTTTTCATACTTGGACCTATGACCGCAATCGCTTTTTTCAATGATTCTTCATCTTTATGCCGAAGAATTGCCCATTTTGTGACATTTACAATAGCCAATGATGGTTTATATTGACATTTTTGTAGCTGATGAATAGAATGGAATTTAGAAAAAATGATGAAATCTTGATTATACATGGACCTTTAAAGGTAACAATTGTTGCTATATTCAGAGTTACCTCAGACGCATATGGATAGTCAGATTCACGCATCAAACCTCTTGTAGCGTCCAGATATTTGAGTGTAGCTCGAAGCGATCCACCATGGCAGCCAGTGTTGCCTTTATCAACACTACAATCAATAATTTGTTGGGGACTTAATTGAACTATTTTTCCAGTTCGCCGAAATATTTGTGCTTCAATGCTTGTTGCAACAGAAAATGCATAGCAACCGCCACAGGTCAATTGATTCTTTGGTTTGGGTTTGAAACCAATTTCGCGCCAATCCAGAGCTAGAAAGCAAGTACAATTGTATAGAAAGGTAACTTACTTAACTTGCTTCACTTACTTTCGGGTATGTAAGTATTATCAATCGAGCTATGACGTACTGAACCATGTAATGCATGAAAATCTTCAGTATCAGCATGACCTGTGCTTTCCGGATCCGGATGAATAGTATCCATGAGGCGAACAAATCTGCGTAAATATGCATCTTGCGAAAAATCAGCCATATCATTTGCGCGCAATTCATAGCTATGTTTTCCCATTCTGGCTTCTTCATTATGTTTTTTTATTAATTCTGTATTTTTATCATAAGCTTGTTTAGCACGTTTTATCTGATGGTCATGATGATAGGTTTTATTCATCGAAGCCTATTTTCAAATAACATGTAATTTAATTAACACTTTGAACGTTTGAAAAATGATTTAAAAAATCATAAATTATAATCAAACACTAAAGAGAAAGAACTCACTTGAAAATGCTCAAAATTATCGAATGCTATGATTCGCCCAAACTTGGAATCATTTCCACAAACACTGACGATTGCACAGCTTATGACTAAAATTGTATCACAAAGCGAAACCATAGTTCAGTTTGTTAACGTTAACATCACACTGCAGAATGCTGTGACGAAAACGGCCCGTAATAACACTTTTATGAATATGAAAAATTCGGAAGCATAATCATATGCATTTGTAGCATTTTTCTTCGTTTGCATTTTCAGCATTTTCCTAGCGGTAGTACTTTTTTCAATTTTTAAATAAAAACATAAGCATACATGTTAATATGTGGTAGTGGTATATCAACACAATCATCGACACAAAAGTTTTTTTTAAAGTGTGCTCACAACACAAAATTTTTTTAGCATCGAACACTCGCATTTCCTGAAGTTTTTTTTCCGTTCGTTTGTCACAGCAAATTACAGTAATTTTGTGTGTTTGTTTTTGAAATTGGTGTCAAAGCCAGTGTCAAACGGGAGACCAATTTTCGAATTGCGCATGAATTTAACGGGAAAAAAAGTCAAAATCAAATTCAAATTTTGTAGCAACACGAACCAAAAGGTATGAATAATTAAAAATATTAAATTTGTCATAATTTTGTTGATATTCAAAGTGATATATGAATTAATTTGTGATCAATTTGTTGCAGTACTACGCAATAGTGCTAACAATACGTTCGAACAAAACAACATACCGTTAACGGCTTTGTACATGTGCAAACATGAAACTAGACATACAGAGCTAGTAGCCATTGCAAAGTGAAATACGCAGCAGACTCAGACATTGATTGAACAACAATTGAAGTGATCGGAAGCATACAATATTTTCTCTTCTTGATCTTTCGATACAATTTGATTTTAAAACATTTATTATTCGGTAAAAAACTGGTAAATTTAATACATATACAATTATACATACTTTTATTCACATCGTATATTCAATCATTCATCACTAAACTAAATTTCAATCGATGTTAATCTCTTTCTTCATCATCATCATCAAATTTTCTATGACAGGTACAAGTATGTTTACGAATTGTTGAATTTACAACGTGTAATCCATACGCACAATGCAACCAATCCGCATCGAAATTGGTCATCGTTTGTGGTGGTGCCACAATCAAGCAATGCCAAACATCATGCAAGATTCGATACAGATGGATTCATATTGCAAACGAATGGAATATACAGAATACAGATGGATTCATATGAAGCAGGGACTGTATGCCCAACACAATGCATTTTGGCGTCGATTTGTAAATTTGGACAAAATCAACAGTTTGACTTTTCATTCATCAGCCGAGTCAACAGTTTGACTTTTCATTCACCACCGATGGATGTTCAGCTCATTTGAAAATGATTCGGCGATCCAGAAACGTTAACAACAATAACAACAACAATTATGATGATGGTGATGATGACAATAATGCAGTTCCGAATCCAGAACAACCGGATCCAGTGCCGCCAATCATTCAACGAGATATTTATTTATTTTTTCTCTCTTTTGAGTTGATTTGATTTGATTTCATGTTATTGATGTGTGTCATTCATTCTTGATTTATACAGATAAAGTATCAAAAACGTGTGGCTCTTTTAAAGTTTGATGCATATACACGTACACAGGTAGCCTTGCATGTGTTGGTGAAGCAAATAACAAAAGTCGAATGTCCGATCGTAGAATGTCCAATGCTGAGAAAACAGTGATATTGGCATTTGGTAGTGCAAAATTTGCATCAAACTCCCCAATCAAAGGATATCAAAAGTGTCTGCATCGTGCATTGCAACAAATGGCACGTGAATATGTATTCGTTTTGCCAATAAACGAACATAATACATCACAGAAGTGTAGTCGATCAGGACGTAAGCTGAAGAAACGAAGAAGTGTGCCAGAACGTCAATCAAAAGACCGGTAAGTTGTTTTCGATTGGCATACCATTGCCAATGAATGAAATTATTATTATTATTATTATTTTTTCTCCATTGCTCCAAAAAATCAGTTTTCTAGTTTGCCCCAACTGTAAACCGGTCGAAGATGGCGTTTTTCACGATCCAATTCAATGGAGAGGCTGAATTCATCGTACTTACAAAAAGAAACATACAGATTGTAAAGAATCCGAATGTACATTCCATCGACCGGTTCCAGAAGCAAATCCGAATCCACAACCAAGACGAAAGAAAAATAAATACGAGAAGCTGGAACCCAAGGAACCGAAACAACAGTTATATTCAATCGCGACATAAATGCAGCGAGAAATATGATTCAGAAGTGATTGTACATGTTGAATCATCTGCCGATGCCAAATTGTTTTCGACCATTCAGGCATCAACTCCATTATTATTTCAACAATTAAAATCAAAAATTAAAAATATAAGCACGGACGTCTACGCGAATATTCTCACAATGGGAATCTCATTGTTTCAAACAATGATACCAAGACGTAGTAGTGGACGATGCTAACAAGTACTAGAAATATTAAGCATATTAATTTCTTTTCACAGTGATCAATGATCTCAACACTGCCAGTACCAAATCTTAAATTAAAGCAATGTTGTTGTTGTGGTCATTGATTTTGTAAGTATTTACTTTACTTAACTATAAAGTATATACTTTTTTTATAATTTCATTTTCCATTCTGTTCCATTAAGGCCTTATTTGGTAAACACACGATTGTAATCGTGTACGATTCCAATTTTCTTATGATCATCTACGTATATCTGAAAAGCGTTAGATGAAACGTTCCCGATCATCAAAGATCGGTTAGCGATTTGAAAAAATCGTACACGATTACAATCGTGCGCAAATCGTGTCCTAGGAAATAGAGCCTTTACGCATTGATTAATTTCCATTTTTTTCATTCTTTTCTTCTGATCAACTCTTAGGTATATCCTAGGGTACCTAATATAGGGTTCACCTGATGAATATTTTTATTCAAACCTTTCAACCATTTGAATGGCTGAGAAAAATCATGACTCAAATAATATGCACATAGAAGATAGAAACTTGAATAATGCTATGCGGACAACGAATCGAAAAATTTGAACACGCAAGAGTGAAACAATTCAAAAATCCACATGTTCTTTTTTCAAGATTCTGTCTTTAATATTTTTTGAACAAGTTTCATTGTTGTGTGCTTCTTGATCGCATTATATTTTTTTACTGTTGTGTGCAATATACTCAGTCTCCGAGAGTTTCATATAAACTCTCCTTGTAATAGCCAAATAACGCCTATCGATTCAATCACGATTGGTATTCGCTTACTATTCAATAGGCATCACATAGCAACTTTATATGAAACTATCGGAGACTCGGTATAGAGCACTCAAACAGAGAAAAAAGTCCAGATCGTGATTTAGATGATATTGAATGCGATTTTTTTCATTCTGATTTCACCAGGTGATACAGAAAATTGAGTAGTATTTGTAAATCGAAGAAAAAAAATTTAATTATTTTTTTCATTTTTCGCGATTTTTTCACCATCTAGATGGGAGGCTTGTATGAAAAACACGGAAGACCGCTGAAATGACACTGTCACACGTCCGTACATACTTTGCATGTGCCATTTCAGCGGTCTTCCGTGTTTTTCATACAAGCCGCCCATGTAAATGGTAAAAAGTCGTGAAAAATGAAAAAAATAATTAAATTTTTTTTCTTCGATTTACAAATACTACTCAATTTTCTGTATCACCTGGTGAAATCAGAATAAAAAAAATCGCATTCAATATCATCTAAATCACGATCTGGACTTTTTTCACTGTTTGAGTGCTCTATACCGAGTCTCCGATAGTTTCATATAAAGTTGCTATGTGATGCCTATTGAATAGTAAGCGAAAACCAATCGTGATTGAATCAATAGGCGTCATTTGACTATTGCAAGGCGAGTTTATATGAAACTCTCGGAGACTGAGTATATTGCACACAACAGTAAAAAAATATAATGCGAACAAGAAGCACACAACAATGAAACTTGTTCAAAAAATATTGAAGACAGAATCTTGAAAAAAGAACATGTGGATTTTTGAATTGTTTCACTCTTGCGTGTTCAAATTTTTCGATTCGTTGTCCGCATAGCATTATTCAAGTTTCTATCTTCTATGTGCATATTATTTGAGTCATGATTTTTCCCAGCCATTCATTTATAACATTAATTGAATTTAAATGTAAAAGTTTTTTTGCAATGTATAAGATGCATATGCATGGCTGATTCATCGATTTTTCGTTGTGAAGAAATTTTCTGTGTCTACCGACAATAACAAACATTTCTTATCGCCATTGCATATGCATCTTATACATTGCAAGAAAACTTTCACATTTAAATTCAATTAATGTTATAAATGGTTGAAAGGTTTGAATAAAAATATTCATGATCATTTTTTTTAAAATAGCATTTATAAGGTTTTTCCACGGGCCTTTTGGATAAAAAAAAAAGAGTAAAGTGGTTTTTATTAGATATTTGTTGAAAATATAAACGATTTTTTTTTGTTTTTTTATTAGAAAATATAAAAAGGAAAAACTATCACTTTATACAACATAGAATAAATATCATCACCATGCTTATGCTATACATGTGTGCGTGGTAAATGTCAAATTTTTATTGCCAAGTCAATGTATGAATGTGTATGAAACTGTATATTTGTGTGTGGAAGACTCAATAATGTGTGTAATCTAATTGTCAGAATATACTGCAAATGAACAAAAAGAGAGTGAGAGAGACGAAAGATTCCAATATTTGCTGCGTGCACAGTGGAAAAAAATACACACGAGGAAGATATTACTTACATTTCACTTTGTTAATATCCAGCACATTGTGGAACAAAATTTTTTTTATTTGGCTAGACAAGTGTTTATTTTTTGGTTTTTACATTGTATCAAACGTGTTCCGAAAAAAGGCGAGAGAAAGAAAAATGTCACTTCCAAAAAATTTACAAGATTGCTATTTTTTCTACTATTCAGCATGTCGTAAAGTATGTCTTTATATATGTGACACATTTAACATTTTTTGTTAGTTTTTTTTTTGTACACATAAATATTCCGAAAATTATGACACAAATAGAATCTATAATGTCGTTGAATTTTCTTTATATAGGGTACTAGTTGTCAATATCGCCACTGTCCGGCGGCACTTGGGCACGAGCGCACTTGCGCCAAATTCAAGTTAGGCCAATGTTTGGATGCAAATTGTCAGGTAAAAATAACAAATTTAAAGATAATAAGTATAATTGGTTGAGGATCATTATCAGGACCGGCACATGGTTATTGAGAAGACACGCAGCAAAATTCAGTGCTATTGGGAATCAAAACCGTCTGGTTGCTGTAAACCTCATTGTGTGTTCAAGCACATCAAGCGTCAAAATAACAATAACGTAACAACCACAGCCACAATAGAAACACCTGAAGCCATCTCACAGTCCGTAGAATCAGCAACAGCATCGGGTATTAAATTTCTTCTCATTAGTCAAAACTGTTCATAACTAATCTAATTTTGAAAATTGTTTTTATTTTAACAGTTTAAGCTTTTTCGTTATAACCAGACGAAGATCGTATCTTGCGTGAAAATTTCAACTATTTCTCCTCCGAATAAATTTGGACATACCGTTAATCATTTAAATTAGTGACAAAGCGTGAAAAATGGAATACAAATTAAAACAAAAACTATATGTAAAAATATGAACGAGAATAATGAGACAAAATGGATTTAGAGCGAAAGCTCAAAATTAAAAAAGTTACTATATGATTTTAATGAAATCAACGCCCTATTATGTCAGCCCTTTATGTTTTAAAATTTGCGACGAATTTATCAACAACTTCTTGTTTTCATTTAGCTTAGTCATAGCGTTTCTTTTCTGAACGATACCGAAACTTGCATTTTTTTTTGTGTGCGTTCAATTTTATGTCTATTATTGTTGTCTTCATTAATTTTTTTGATGCTAATGAATAATTTATTATAAAACTGTAGATATGTATACAACTTTGATTTGGTTTTATTGCAAGAATAATAAATCCATTCAAAAATTATATATATGATATAGATAATTTTCGTGTACACATTCTGTTACCGAATATTAGATAAAAATCGCGCATATAATGAATTAAAAATGTAAAAAATATTCACGCTGGCACTTGCTCTATCAAATTGTATTCAACGTGTAAATTTGTTCGAATTTTTTACATTTTTTTTAATAAATAGTTGACTTAAATTTTTTCTTAAAATATTCTACCAATTCTATTTTAAATATTTAAACGTTGAAACAACATAACGGGTGCTCCGAAGCCCGATCATGGTATAGGATTTCCTGTATAAAACTTGTAACTAACAACACCTCTAATGCGTATTCCGAGTACTAATCAAAGTTTGTGACAATATGGCCGTCACAGTTTGGCAAAATCATAATGAATCGATTAAACTGCGTTAAACTGTTAAAATAAAACAGTAGAAATAAATAGATTTCAATTTTTTACATTTTTGAAAATAAAAAATATTTTGTTTTTTTAATTTTGTGAGTTTTTCTGTCCACAATATTCAAAAATATTAAATTAATAAAAATGAATTGGTTGACATAACCTCACTTTTGTGTCACAATCGTGATAAACCGATCAAATAATTACTTAAACGAAAGTGAGGTTATGTCAACTACTTCATTTTTTATTAATTTAATATTTTTGAATATTGTGCAGTAAATCTCACGAAACTACCGGAAACTACAAAACAAAACAAACAATTTTTATTTTTAAAAATGTAAAAAATGGAAATATTTTTATTTCTACTGTTTTAATAAATATTTAATCGGTTTGTCACGATTGTGACACAAAAGTTAGGTTAAGTCAACCAATTCATTTTTGATGATTTAATATTTTTGAATATTGTGGACAGAAAATCTCACAAAATTAAAAAAACAAAAGATTTTTTATTTTCAAAAATGTAAAAAATTAAAATCTATTTATTTCTACTGTTTTAATTTAACAGTTTAACGCAGTTTAATCGATTCATTATGATTTTGCCAAACTGTGACGGCCATATTGTCACAATCTTCGATTAGTACTCGGAATACGCATTAGAGGTGTTGTTAGTTACGGGCATGATCAAGCTTCGGGGTGCTCCAAAAAGCTACAATAACAAGCCGAGAGGAAACACTTTTAGGTGTTTATTTTTTATTTTATGGCAGTGTTTGGTTAAGATATCTTATTTCGTTTGAGATAGTAAGATAAGATAAGATAGATACTATCTTTTATCTTATCTAGATGATTTTAGAAACTTAAAAAATCATCTTATCTTTATCTTATCTTTTGGCTTTTTTTTGGTATCTTATCTTTATTTTTTAAGATAAATAATAAGATAAGGTCATTTATTAAAAAAAATTCATCAATTGTCGGTATGATTAATTTGTTCATTGAAGCGAAAATGATCAATTTCATGACTCGATTCGTCAAAATTATATTCGAATTCTTCGTTATTAAATTCCATTGCACGCTCATTGAAATCAGGTTGATTGCATTCAAGAAATTTAGAGAAATTCACGTTCGTATTGTATAAATGGCATAAACTCGAATCGCTTTGCAAAGGGCGCTTCCATCATCCGTAACAATATGTGTTATTTTGTGCACTGGCAGATCATATTTTTAAAGGCTTTTATAAGTATTTTGGTCAAAGCATCGTATGATTGTTTGCCATTTATCTGTCGAAAAGCTAAAACAAACGATTCCCTCTGATAGGACGATAAATAGTGCACAGTAATGCGTATAAAACTATGATTTTTCGATAACATCGAATTTGGAATTCCATCGTGTTACGCACGGTGTTCGCAGAACAAATCCGACAACTTCAACGCACGGTTCATGGGCCCGATTACTCCGACCGATTAATATCCACAGTGCGTGAAGTTTGTTTATAGCAGATATTAATTAACATTCTTTTTTTCACCTTGACATTTTTTCAAAATTTTATTCAAATAATTTTCGTTATTTTATTTTTTTATCTTATCTTTTCGAAATATATCTTATCTTTTATCAAAAAGATAAGATGAAAATCTTGAAAATATCTAGATGAATTTCGGAAAATTGAGATACTATCTCAAAAGTATCTAGATACATTTCAGATATCTTAACCAAACACGGTTTTATGGCTCTACTAAATAATAATGCCTATCAAGAGAATTAAAAAAGCGTCTTCCTTTCATTATTTGTAAAAACTATTGAAATGCTTTCAAATCAAATTTTTGTTGTTTCCTCTTCCGAAGCAAAATATAATTTTTAATTCTGGTAATTTTCATTAGGAATGATAATTTGTTTATTTGCCACTGTTCCAAAACATGTGAATGATAAAGTGAGGATCAGATTTTAATTAAGATGAATGTTTTTAATTTAATAAATATTTTCATTTTCTTCTTCTTTGTTTAAATGGAAATAATAAATGATTGAAAAACGACTGTAATTATGATGCAATAAAAAAGATCCTAAACTCTCTGTTAACTAGTCATGGCAAAATAAAAATAAAATCCGACTGTGTGTCGACTGTGCGTTGATAAAAACCATTTTTCTGGAAATTAGTAATATACTCCATGTATGCCATCGAGAGATAAATTCTTTTAAGAGGCTCTCATTTATGATGAAGATGACATTCGTTCTGGTGCGTGCCTAATGGCCTTTTTTATAAAAAATCAGAATCAGGTACCCTTTAAAATTCAGTCAAAGCAGCTGTGAAATACACATTAAAAAACTGTATAATGAAAAAAATGACGCAAAGAACTACGAACGAAAAGACGACACTGATATCAATAACGACAATGATGTTATTTGTAATAAGAACGGTGTACTGAGCTGCATAAATATTGAGCCATTATATAGCCATTCAATCAACGTTTCAAAACTTAGAAATGTACTTGTATGTGTTCTTAGGGCAAGTGTTGAACCAATCGTTATGTAAATATTCCACAAAACAAAAATCGTAAACAAAAAAAATAAAGCAAAATTAAAATCTGAATAAGTGAGTTATTGTTTTTCAGATCCATGTGTTTTCATCTTTTCATTTTTATTCCATTTAATTCCAGGTGGTCGCATTAGATATCAGAATAATAATAATTCACGAAAAGATGAAACCGATGCACACATATAGACATTAGGTTTTTTTTTATCTCCATCCATCCTAATTTGTAAAAATATTTGTGAAGAACATGAAGAGAGCCCCTACCAAAAATACTAACGAATGCTTGAAACATAAGCGACCAACAATGATGACAACATACGTCCCCGTTGATTTAAAATTCCCGTCTTACACTCAATGTATGTATAAAAATTGCCAGTATTGCCTTTTTTGTTCCGAGCTGCATATTTTTGTGATTGTGCACCAGATAGATATACTATATTGTACATAAATTCGATATGCATGAAGCATTAAAAGCGGTGGTGGCGGTAATCGTTCTAAAGAAAATCCTCTCATTTATGGAAATCCACAAATTTGAGACCGTTTAATATACATATACACATACTCATAAATATACACATACAGTAAATGTCTATAATTCTATGTTTATTTGCTTGGGCGCACTACATAAGCGATTGAATGTGTGCGTGGCGTGTGTGCATAACAATATGGCGAAAGTAAAAACACATTCAGTATATAACATAGCATACAAGTGCAAACAAGTTCTTCTGCGTTAGCGAGAGGAGGACGAAAATAGCATCAAAATATCGTATTGAAGAGTGTGCGTAGCATTTCAAATTTGAAACTGCATACAGACTAAAACATATACAAAGCAAAGATTGAAATAGCAGCAGCGGCGACATAATACTTCGATTCTGAATGAAATTTAGTTTGCCTATTCTTCAATATACAATACATACACATATTACATATTTCTGTTCTTGTTTCTGTGCTTAGTTTTTTTCTTCTTATGTTATGGTGTTGATTTGTGTGTACGTGTTGTGTTAATGCTATACACTCTTTTTATTCATCATCATCAATTTATCTGGTCATCGGTCGTAAATGGAATTAATTTATTTTGTATTATTTTTTTTTTCCAATAGAGTGGATAGATCAAAACGAAAAAAAAACATACCGAGAGAAAGAGAACGGAATGTTTAACCACAGCGTAAAACATTGATTTATTTCAGAAAACTATTTACAATCGTGCGGTGATTGAATTGTGAACGCTTTGTGAACGTTTCAATAGAGTTTTATTTATTCTTTTTCTCTGCTATCTCATGTGCGGCATTTGTGAGTTAAAAATATTTCTACAATTGCAAATTTTTGTTCCAGTGAAATAAATGAAATGTAAAAAAATATTAATTCCATTTTGATATAAGTGAAAAATTGAGTGGAATCCATATATTACCTGTAAAGAGGGACATACAAAATATATGTTCAAGTGAAATGAACTAAAAATGAGTATCACGAAGAAATTGGGAAAATTAAAATGATACACAGAACAAGCACAGATTGAATTTTACAACTTGATTGAGAAAGAGTGAAGCATCAAAATAATGACTGAAAAAATAGTGTGAGAGAGACGAAACTTGTTTATGGTTCCGAAGAGTGCATCAAAATGGACTAAGATTGTCTAGTGTAAATGCAGGTATAGTCAGTTTGTATGTGAAGACACCTTCACCAAAAAAAAAAAAAAATAATAATATTGGAAATCCATCTATTTCTTATGCTTGACTTGAATAATAGTAACAATAATAATGCATTTGATTTTTATCTCTGTTGTCCATTTTTCTTTTAAAACTTGGCTGCCACTTTTTATTGATATTTATTATTTTTTAACGAACAATTTTATGCAGGAAAAATGGATTAACATACGCCTTTGAAATAAATCCGTCCCAAACATTTTGCGAAGAACAAAAACAACAAATCCGACGCAAACCGTTGCACCAATTGACAAACAAATTGACGAGAAAAAAGGAAGTAAGAAAATTTCGTGGACATTTTTTTTAATTGGAAAAGAAAAGAGAAATAGAGAACGAGTAAATGAGACAAGAAAAAGAAGCCGGAGAAAATTTCGAGAAGACTGCGTTTTTTATATCTACCTGTCAACAGCAAAAGAAAGTCACAGAAAATACAACGACATTAGAGTTACAATCGCCGTCATTATTATGGAATTTTAAAATTCAACCTGAACTAAAAATACGATATTTTTTGCTAGCCATATTCTCATTATTACCAACTATTCACAGTAATTTTAACACATTCACTAAGATTATGATGTTAGACAGCCGGCGAAAATCAATCATAACGCTTTTTATTTTATTGATTATCTGTATGAGCATTGCATCCAGCGATGCAACACCAAACAAACATTTCGCTAGTACAAAGACTAAGAAGGTGACCGCAGCAGCCGTTGCTGATACAAGTGTTCAACAGTTGTCATCGACAGCCACATCGATTTCATCGCCAAACTATTTGTACACACCAAATAGACATTTACATAAATCCACACATGTAACAAGGTCGGTGTCACTGCCCGTTACATCATCTGATGTTTTAGCTCAATATACATTGCCAAATGGTAGTTACTTCACTCACATGACATTCGATCAACGAAATTCAAACATCTATGTCGGTGCATCAAATCGAATTATAAAACTTGACTATAATTTGTCGGTTACTGGAATTGCAATTACAGGACCAAAACCCGACAATCCAATGTGTCATGGTGTTTGTTCCGATGATATGGAAACGCACGAAACGATAAATCATAATAAAATTTTGGTAGTAAACGAAGCTGGATCCACTCTCATTACATGTGGAAGTGTAATGCAAGGTTCATGTACCATTTATCCAACAGATAAATTTCCAAATTCACCTGAATATAAAGACATTCCGCTTGCAGCTAACGATGAACATGCATCGACATTGGCATTCATTGGACCATCACGATACACATCCTGGAATAAAGAAGATGTTTTGTATGTTGGCGCAACATTTACCAATGTTGGTGATTATCGACACGAAGTACCAGCAATATCATCGCGTCGTTTGGATGATTTGGCATTTGCAGAATTCTCATTTACTTCGCAAACCATTTTAAACATTGATGTTAACCATCGTGATCACTTTTTAGTCGACTACAAATATGGATTCAATACTAGCGAATATGCATACTTTGTGATTGTACAGAAGAAATCACATTTGGTTGAAGAGGCCGGCTATAATACACGAATTTCACGGGTTTGCGTTAGCGATCCAAATTATGACAGTTACACAGAAATCACATTACAATGCAAGAAACGACTCAGTACAAATGAAAACGATATTGATACTGCTGAAATTAATTATAACATTTTACGCGATGTAAAAGTTACACCGGCCGGTCAACGTTTGGCACAACAAATGGGCATCAAACGTGATGATCTTGTTTTAGTCACTGTTTTTTCACCATCAAAAGAAATTACGAACGAACCACAAGCCAAATCAGCAGTTTGTCTATATAGTTTGAAAGACATCGACGAAACATTCACCGAAAACATTCACATGTGTTTCAATGGAACTATTAAAGATCGAAATATGGGATATATTTCAGGAACGATTAACGATGGAAAATGTCCAATTGTTGGGGTGAGTTTTGAATTATTTATAGAAGAAAACAAATGCTGATAATAGTTATGAAATATAAAACAATATCTTTTTTCAGTCTACTGGAAATGTCTATAACTTCTGTAATGTAGGCTTGAAAATAAGCGGGGTATCGCCAATAGTTGCTTATTCTCTCTTTGATTTTGAAAATGAGTCGATAACTTCAGTAACTGCAGCTTTGACGGGGCCCCATACTCTTGCCTTTTTGGGAACAACCAATGGTCGGATTAAAAAAGTACTGATATCTGGTCAGGATCTTGGTGAATATGGTGAAATTGAAATTGACTCAGGCAATGCTATTCTACCCGATACTATGATGTCCCCGAAACAAGACTATTTATATGTATTGTCCAAGCAAAAGGTTTGTTATTTTGTACACGTTCGTTCTTTCCCCCCACATTTCTGTATAAGCTGACCCCAATACTAAACTGTCTATAAAATATTCAGATTACAAAATTGCGTGTGGAGCATTGTAGCGTTTATACAAACTGTTCAAGCTGTTTGGAATCACGGGATCCATTTTGCGGGTGGTGTTCTTTAGAGAAAAAGTGCACGATACGCAATGCATGTCACAAAGATTCATCAAATCAACGGTGGTTGTCATTAGGAACAGGTCATCAGTGTATTGATTTTGAAATGGTGTTACCAAATAAAATTCCAATCAATAAAATGACTAGTGTACAACTTGTAATAAGAATACTTCCAGAGTTGCCACCGAATGCAAAGTACAAATGTGTGTTTGGAAATTCGACGCCGATCGATGCAAATGTTTTAGAAAATGGTTTATCATGTCAAACGCCACCACTTAATAATCGTCCAACTATTCTAGCTCAAAGTGATCATGTCTTAGTTCCGCTTAGTGTGCGTAGCTCAGAAACGAACAAAGATTTCGTTTCGCGAAGTTTTGCATTTTTCGACTGTTCACGACATGACACGTGCCGTAAATGTGTGCAAAGCGAATGGAATTGTAATTGGTGTCTTTACGATAATCGTTGCGTACATAATTCAACAACCTGTCGTAGTACAGCAAGTGTCATTAGTCAATCATCGGTATGTTTTTAACCATGTTATTTTTTTTGTTTTTGTCATTCAGATTTTATTTAGTTATTCATCAAATTAGTTTTTTGCACATTTTTATTTTTTTTGTTTTTAAAATTTTGTTAATAATATTTTATTTTTGAATTAAAATATTTCTATAGTCATGTCCGCATTTTAAGCCAAACGTAAACAATGAGCCTATTCTATTGGCAAATCAAGTTCCAAAAGAAATTTGGTTGGAAATTGAAAATCTGCCGCGTCCGCAAAGTTCACACACTGGATTCTCGTGCATTGTCAACATTGAAGGAGCCCATATGTCATTACCAGCTAGAGTCGAATCGAAGAAATTTATTGTTTGTGAAAAGACAACATACTCATATGAAGCGCTCACGAATGAATATGAAGCGCGCGTTGATATTCTTTGGAATCGTAACCACTATATCGATACTGTGCCAATAATTTTATATAAATGTGATGTTTTAGGATCTCATCGTGAACATGCTGATTGTTCGTTATGCGTCACAAGAGCATCGAAATATCAGTGCACTTGGTGCGGCAACACTTGTATGTATAATGAAACCTGTGGAGTTGGAATGGCCGTTAATGAGTGCCCACGTCCAAGAATTGATATGGTAAGTTTTGATATCGATTGAAGATAAATTAATGATTTTAAAAATAGTATTGAAAAGAACAAGCTAAATTGTAAAAAAACATAAATATATTAAAAATGGTAATTAAATACAATTTGTTTTCTTTTGATTTAGATAAAACCGTTGAGTGGTCCAATGGAAGGAGGTACATTGAATGTCAATTATTTTTTTAAAACTATTTTTATTGATTTCATTTGTTATCCGTTCTTAGGTACATTAATAACGATCGAAGGAAGCAATTTGGGAATACGCGCCGAAGATGTACGTGACAATATTCGCATTGGAAATATTCCATGTGAATTGATCACGTATGAAATTTCGGTTAAGATTGAATGTCGTACGGGGTCGGCTGGTTTTGAAATGTTAGCACCGATTAAAGTTGGAAATGAAGCCGGATTTACAGAATCAAGTGTACAATTCTCCTATAAAGATATTCAATTGGATGGATTATTACCGCAACGAGGTCCACAAAGCGGTGGAACTAAATTATCAATTATTGGAAAATGGTTAAATATTGGTTCAAGTATTACGGCATTTTTAGATAATTATGAGTGTTCAGTTAATGGAAGTCAAGCATCTTCATCGCAAATAACATGCACAACATCGGCAGCACGGCATCCACAAGAAATTCGTGAATTGACACTCATCATTGATAACGCTAATCGTACGTACACATGCCGAAATACACCATCTAGTGTATCAAATATTGATTCAGACTCTGATTTTGATGTCACCAAAGGTTATAATGGGTAGGTTAAAATTATTCAGTCTGACAATTGGCATGATGTTCAAATTTTACTAATCCAAATCCCAAATTTAATATTTAATATAACAGATACTCTGATATTATTGGATGTAGTATATTTAACTATACAACCGACCCGAAAGTAATGCAAATTAAGCCATTGAAAAGTTTTTCGAGTGGTGGTCGAATGATCACTGTACATGGAACGAATTTGGATTCAATTCAAAAGCCAGAATTAGAAGTATTTTTCGATAATGAACTCGTGAATAAATCCATATGTACAGTGATCGCATCAAATCAAATGGAATGCCCATCCCCAGCAGTAAATGATAAATTCAATGAATACCGTCGCGATATTGAAACGCTACAGCAACAAATGGCCGTGGCAATACCAACCGCATCACTTGATAAATTACCACATATGAAAACGTTACCCGTTGAACGACGAAAGAGACAAAATTCATATTCAGATACATTATATACCACAATTAGTTACTATACATCAGCAGCTGCATCAACCGCTTGGTCAACACCAATCAGTAGCATTTATGTGGATGCAATTGGGGCCACTTCACCAACAGCCTTGGCTAGTACGAGTTCTGAGGTTGAAAGTGACCTTAGTACGAGCAACGATATACCGGCATCATTGAAAATCCATGAAACGCAGCTATCGTTGCAAGTTAGTTTTGTAATGGACAATGTTCAATCGGTGCGAGATTTAGATAAACACTTTCAAAATTTACGTTCGACCATTATTTATGTTGATGATCCAGTTTATTTTTCGTTTCCGAACAATTTGAAACTATATAAAGGCGATACGCTCGTGATTGAAGGTGAAAAATTAAATATTGCCAGCGATGAAACAGATGTTAGTGTCACTATTGGACAAAAGCAATGTAACGTTACTAGTTTGGCATTGACACAATTAGTTTGTACGCCACCAGAACAACAACCAGAACCAACTGATGAACTTGGAATCGAAACGTCAACATATTTACCATTAGTTGTTGTACACGTCGGTCGAAGTCTTCGCTTCCCGATTGGATATTTAAAATACGAATTGCTCAAACCATACACATTTTCACATGCAATAGTTGGCATTGCCATCGGATGTGCCATCATTGTTTGTCTATTATTTATTATTTTAATCGTTTATCGACGAAAATCAACTCAAGCTGAACGAGAATATAAGCGAATTCAAATCCAAATGGACACACTCGAAAGCAATGTCCGAATGGAATGTAAGCAAGCATTTGCCGAATTACAAACGGACATAGGTTTAACGGCCGATTTGGAAAATTCTGGCATACCAACCCTTGATCACATAAACTACATAATGAAGGTGTTCTTCCCGGGCGTATCAGATCATCCGATCTTAAATTCGCCAAAACTACGAATTCAGACATCAAGAACAAACTATGATACCGCCATGATCCAATTCGAACACCTCATCAATAACAAAGTATTTTTGCTTACATTCATCGATACACTTGAAGCACAGAAATCATTCAACATTCGCGATAAGTAAGTTATCTTCTTCTGAAGTTTAGTTACTTTACTGTAACTAATATTTATTGAATACCCTTTTTTAACCATTTGCAGGGTGAACGTTGCGTCGCTTTTAATGATTGTGCTGATGAATAAAATGGATTATGCAACGGATATTCTCAAGTGTTTGCTGTTGCGTCTAATTGATAAATCAGTTATAACAAAACATCCACAATTGATGTTGCGTCGTACTGAAAGCGTTGTAGAAAAAATGCTGACAAATTATATGGCAATTTGTATGTATGATTACTTAAAGGATTATGCTGGTTCCAGTTTATTTTTGCTTTTCAAAGCGATTAAACATCAAATTGAGAAAGGTTTAGTCGATGCTGTAACGCACGAAGCTCGTTATTCATTATCCGAGGAAAAGTTATTGCGTGAACAAATTGCTCATAGCGTGGTGACTTTGCATATTGTTCAAGAGGATTTAGATGAGAAGATTCAGTGTAAAGTACTGGATTGTGATACAATTTCACAAGTTAAATCAAAAATCCTAGATCATTTATTTAAAAATACTCCATTTTCAATGCGTCCATCAATACATGAAGTAGATTTGGAATGGCGTCACGGCCGCGGTGGTCATTTAACTTTACAAGATGAAGATTTAACCACAAAAACAATCGGCGTACAATGGAAACGTTTAAATACATTGGCTCACTATGGTGTAAAGGAGTCAGCAGTTATGTCATTAATTGTGCGGCAAACAAATACTGAAATTTACAATAACTCATACAATGCAAAACAACATCAAACACATGGATATTACATTAATAATTCACAGTCACACATAATTATGAATAATGATTTAGACGGGCTGCAATCACCAGCAGTATCTGGTGTACGATATTTCCATTTGGTTAAACCGATGGTGTTCTCGGCAAATATGGACGATCATCACTTGAACATAAAAAATATGGCAATGTCTATTGGTGTATTGGGTAGCCAAGGAATGCAAATTCTTGGCTCAGCCGGCGTTAATGATCGAAGCGCGAATAAAACAATTCCAGAAATTTTTCTAACAAGATTACTCGCCACCAAAGGAACTATTCAAAAGTTTGTCGACGACTTTTTCCAAACAATTCTAACGGTGAACGTAGATCTACCGCCAGCCGTCAAATGGCTTTTTGATTTGTTGGATGAGGCTGCACATCGTCATGGAATCGTCGACAGTGAAATTATTCATGCATGGAAATCAAATAGGTTACGATTATTGGCTTTATTACCTAAATTTATCTTTAATGAAGAAAACAACTTTTCTGTATTTTAATGGCTCAATTTATTAAATTTTACTATTTTTTTAATTCATTTTTATAGTTTGCCATTGCGATTTTGGGTTAATTTCATCAAAAATCCTGACTTTATTTTTGACATCAATAAAACATTAACGGTTGATGCATGCTTAAGTGTTATCGCACAAACATTTATGGACTCATGTTCCACCACCGAACATCGCTTAGGAAAAGATTCACCGAGTAACAAATTACTCTTTGCAAAGGTTTAATAAAAATCAATTTCTGTGGTTTTATTTACAATTTTAAAATGTTCAACTCCTTAATAATGTTTTATATTTTTCTGATGAAATAGGATATCCCACAATATCGGGAAATGGTGAAGCAATTTTATCGTGACGTAGCTCAACTTCCACAAATCAGCGATCATGCCATAAGTAGCAGTATGCAACAACTCTCAATTAACGATGAATTCGATACGATCGCTGCATTGAAAGAACTTTACATTTATGTGACCAAATACAGGGATCAGGTATCTATGGAAGCAACGAATTGCTTAGCAATATCATTTGGTTTTCTGTGCAGTAAAAATTACATTCAATTCAAATAAAATCTATTTACCAGATTCTCGATGCATTGAACAATGATACAAACTGCATAAAAGGTCATTTGGCTCATAAACTAGAGAATGTCGCATGTACACTTGAAGGTGAAGAGACGTCCGCCTGCTGACAAGAGTCGCAACCAGCCAAACCGGCGCCACAACAAACGAACAAATTTCGCGGCCATCAAAGCAATACAACGTGAGTGCCCTTTTCGACAAAAAATACATCGAGTTCAACACAATATTTATATTTTCATCCACTGTTTAATTATATTTTCAAAATTTCATAGAAACCGAAGGCGTCGCAGGTCTGGTATAGCAGGTCTGGTGCCTTTCTATTATTAAATAATTCTTATTGATTCTTTTTCGATTATTTGTCGATCATTTTAAATTAATTGTATTCCTTTCTTTTGTGATTCTCCCCTTAGGTATAGAAGATACTGATTTAGGCGAAGGTAGATAATGATTTACAATTAAAACTAATTATTTAATATAACATGTTTAAAATAATAAATTAATACAAAATGTATTTCTTTCAATTTAGAAGCGGATGATGATTCATCTTCGCGCAAAAGTGATAGAAGCGAAGATAGTGATTTCGAAATAGATGATATTTACATAAAGAAACAGTTAATTTTCGGCAACAAGTAAATAACTAAAACGAAATGGATCAATAAAGCGAATGCTCCAAAACATACAAAATTCCACCTTCAAATACATACACGTTTATGCTAAGATAATATTCTACTCATTATACCTAAATGTATACAAATGTCTTTTGTTTAACTTTAAAAACATGTGGTTATAAGCTAAACGATTTGTTTTCATCAAGCAGATATTCAATTTTAAATTATATATAAGACTTAATCGATAGAAAGATGATAAAGTTGTGGTGTCACGAAATGGTTATGAAACAAATAACAGAAAATGATTTGTTCAACAAAAATCTATGTATTTATTTATAGATATATTAATTGTATAAAGCCCCACATTTACATCTGACTTTTAAAAGGACGCAAAAGCACACAACAAAATCGTCGTTCAAGTGAATTTCATCGAATCATTTTACCATATTTTAAATTAAGCTAAAAAATATGCTCACATTATATTACAAATTACAACAAACTTTGATCGAAATCAAGTTTTATTAGAAAATTCAATATATTTTTACTCTAAACTTATAAATAAAAACGGTGAATTCAAATAATAATATTTCGAAAAAAAAACCGTTGTTTTTCTTCCCATTTAAATTGCAATCACGATTCATGTGTAAATTTGAATTGTGCGCCAATAGTCTAATTTGTTTGACATTTCATAGATATTACACACACTGACGCGCTGGTGCTTTTTCTCTTGTCAAAAGTCATAACCTCAAATATCAACTTGAGACCGTGGTTCGTGTGATTAACAGCAAAGAAAATAGATTGTTGATTTATTACGAAATTTGACGTGGTCGTGACTAAATCATCATGTCTTTAATCCGTTGTATTCGATTGTTAAGTGGAAAAAATGGCACCAGTCTGAATGTATTCAAGCATTCATGTATTTACTATTCAAGCGATAAAAAACCATCGGACAATGATATCAAACAGAATAAGGAAGACAACAAAACTAATGGTAATGAAAAACAATCACTTCCTCCAAAGACTCAAAGTCGATTGAATGATCTGTTGAAGAGGCTATCATCGCGGTCATCGCTGAATATTTTCAAAGAAGTGCAATTATCAAAACCACTGGGGTAATTAATTTCATTAGATGTTAGTTGATTTTCAATATTTTCATTCATTTTTTTTTTTGTTATTCTCTACTAGATATAAGCAATTACGACAAAACAAAGAAGTCGATGGGCAACCACCGAGGTATACTTACTTTAAAAATTACTATTTCATTATTGAAGAATGCTATCCATTCTTTCGATTATTTTTCCATTACATCCATTTCAAAAAATCACAATATCAAAATCTATTTAGTATGTAAGGAAGTATACACACATAAATTAAAAATAATTAGCAAATGAATTGAACGAAGCTGCGTTAGCAAACACTTTGCTGACAAAAATTGAGATTTGGTAGTAGTAGTAGTAGTGAGATGATAAGTAGAGCAGAGCAACGAAGGAATCATCGTTGGATACACACTATCGCATTAACGTTGCATCGACAACATGGTTCAGCACACGAAAAACAGAACGCGATTCTCAACACTACTACCAAATCTCAAATTAAAGCAATGTTGTTGCAAATGTGTGACGATTACTTTGCTCTTAAGCTATACATATTTGATTTTCATTATATGTTTCCATTACTTCCATTACGTTCCATTACATATTGATTAATTTCCACTATTTCCATTCTTTTCTTTGTGATTAACCCTAGACAACCACCAAAACCCAGAAATATGCATGCTGCAATAAAAGCTGTTTCAACTGAATTCGGAGATAAAAGTGTTGAAACTGAAATTCTATCACGACTAAGCGACAAAGATGACGCTTTGAGGTATGTTTCGTTCTTTTGAAAACTAAAATGCACTAAACTAATGTTACAATATTAACTAATTGTACTGTTGTGTTAATTGATCACTTGTAGTGATATTATTTCAACAATGAAACCAGCGAAAGATTATAAACCCAGAGTTGGTACTTTTAAAGAAAATGTACCGGTGATATCTGCCGATTACTATGGCCAATCAAGACGTCGAACGCCTATAACACGAAATGAAAACTACAAAGAGTAAACCATGAATTCCATTTTATTTTTAAAAAAATCTGATATACTTTTTAAATTACTGATATACTTTCAGAAATCAAAATATAGAATTGACCAACTCCAAACAAAACCCATTTAATGGTGTACCAATTGGAATTTTCACGGTTCCCGAAAACCTTAAAACAAGTGAAGACTCGCTGAAAACATGGCAGAAACTGGAACAATATGATTTGCACGCAGCAATGTCAACAGCACCACGGAATTACTTTGAAAAAATGGCCTATTGGACAGAGGAGGGGAAAATTTGGCATTTCCCAATTGATAACGAACAAGGTAATTAAAATTGAAGAAGAAAAAAAATGAAAACTACATGACAATTGACAATGATATTAATAAATAGTAATAATTACTTATTTGTGGCGTAATTTTTCTGTTTATAGGTTTAGATGAAGAACATCAAACATCATTCACAGAGCATGTATTCTTGGAAGAACATCTTGAACCATGGTGTCCAAAGAAAGGAGCTCTTCGAAATTTTATGGAACTTGTTTGCATTGGATTGTCAAAAAATCCATATTACACTGTACAGCAAAAGCGTGAACATATTGAATGGTATCATTTTTTTCTTTATAATGGAATATTTTCCTCCTATTGGAATCTCCTATATTTTCTTCCATATATATCTATTGAATTTTTCAAAACTCGAGTACCACTTTGAAAAGCTTTGCTCAAGGAGTCCTTTATAATATTTATTATTTATTTTTTCCGGTCATTTTAGGTATCGTAATTACTTCCATGAAAAACAACACATTTTACAAAGAGTGATTGAGGCTAATAACCAATCCCAATCGGTTACCGCTCAAGTTATTGATGGCACAAAAAGCACATAATTTATCCGTATAATATATATTCGTACATTAAATTATGCGTTTCGAATATAAATAAAATTGATTATTTTAAATGGAGAGAATGCTTTTTTTAAATATTATTTCAATTTCTACTCGTTGTTGAAAAATTTAATTCCATTCGAGATTAATAATTTTGTGGCATATTTTCCAATTTATATTGACCGAAACGGAAAAAATGGATATAGATAGAATATCCATTGGGATACCTACAGCCGACAAAAAGTGGCAGTGCGGTGCACTTTAATCTTCCAAGTGTAATAAAATTTTAAATTCGGCACTAAACAAAGAATCCCATTGTTTACTATTCAATCTATGTTTTTCTGTATTTCTCTCACTCGGTGCATACACCGTATTTTTTATGTGTTTTCGTTAATATATTTTTTGGAGAAAACGGGATTTACTTTGGGAAATTCTGCTTTCTCAAACATGAGCTACAATATTTTTAAATTAAAAAAAAAACACAATGAATGATAAACAAATATGGAGTCTAATCAAAATGTCTCATAACTACTCTTATAATAAAGTACAATGTATAATATTTTTATATTTTAGTATCCAAAACTATAATATTAAAAATTCAGTATATCACAAGGCGAATATTCAGTTATGCATACGCAATAATCCATTCAAAGATCGATTCAAGAGCCATTGCAGTTTCACACTAACACAGGTGAATCGATTATACAAATAGAGAGACGCGTATAATCGGAAAGGGGCGTGGCTTGACCATGTTGTAGGTTTGGTCTGGTGTTTCATGCACTCAATGTTTATGTTACATTTAAAAGTGGTCAATTAAAGAAATGTCTATAAAATCTCCAATTGAAATAAATGTTATATCACTAAAAATTGAAACGAATGAAGTGCACCGACTCTTTCATTCTTATCAAATATCAAGAAATGAAAATTATTCTTCAATTCCAGTTCATTTGCTGCCTCATCATTATCATACGATCATATAATTTCCATTATGGTTCATCTTGAGCCAAGAACAGAAGTGAATTAAAGAAAAAAGGATATTTTTCTACCGCACGCATTGAAATGATGATGGTTTTGTTTTGTCTTTTTTTTTTCAAAATTCCAGACGAACAACCATAAATGAAGCACCGGAAATGCTGTAACAAAAATAAACTTTGTAAAACAAAACTGTAATAAAAATTTAAAATTGCAGCGGCATATTTTCTTGGCCAAAATAAATACCCAAACGAACCGTTTTTTATGAAAAAGGTAAACGAACGAGTTGTAAGATGGTAAACAAATTTTGAAGTCTATTTTCTGTGAAATTTGAAGAATATGTATAGTTGTTGTGAGCATTTTCATTGCAAACGAATAGAGAAAATGAAATCTATTGATTCTGGTTGGTACAATTCAGTTGTACTAAACTTTTTTAGGTTGGGGCGTATACATTTGTGCAAAGGCGTACCATTGGAAATACCGATCACATTATTTTACATCGCATACAGTTACCTCACACTGTGCTCATCAACAAGTGGCTCTGGCATTTACAAAATTATCATTTAGCCGCGCGCACAAACTCACGAAAAATCACCATAATCAAAGTGTTTCAATTTATCGGCCGAATCACTTGCCAATTTGGAAAAAGTTTGTATTGAGAAAAGGCGAGAGAGATAGCAAAACGCAAGACGACCACTTTATTCGACAATAGATATGGCAAAAAATGTTTTTTAACGGCGGCATTGTTTTACCACTTGATCGATGAATCATACAAAAACACGGCATCGATCATAAGATTATTGTAAAACATTTCTGTTCGTCAACTTGGCTCGATTTGATTTCCAAGCATCTATTGGATCGCGCGTGTTTAGTGCGCGTTGTTTAAAGTTGCTTAGTGCGCGTATTAGGAAATATGCTTATGAATAATAAAGTATAGTAAAAGAGAGAAAAAACACAGACACACAACATAAAAAGTGAAAAAAGAACTCTGAACCCTCACTATTTGGGGATTTATCAATAATTTTATGGGAAAAAGTCTAGTTGTTTTCATAATCCATTGTGTTTTTTTGTGTGTATTTTGCAGTAAAGTATTAAAGATTTTTATTTGATTGAACACCTGTTCAGGCGTTTCAGAACTTATTTTCGCGCTTTATATTTTATCAATAGGATATTAATTGAAAAGTACGTTCCAATTTAAAGAAAAAGTTCATTCACAATATCTACTCTGCAAATAAGTGACCACCAGCATTTGCCGCGTGGAATTTGTGGCCAAATGCAATCATAATCGCTAAATAGACACGTATACAGGTACACGCGTGCGCGAGCAACAAGTCGTGTAACACACATTCTTGGTGACATTTTTCACACGATACATAAATATATTACGCATGCATTCGAAACACCTATGATAATATGTGATTATTATGTGTATAAATAATAGTTTAGTGAAATGAACTACGAAAACTCTGAATAGCGTTATTCGTTTTTCTGACCAATTTAAAATATTTGACAAATGTGTACTAATTAATTAGTTTGTGTTTATGGGAAATATTTATTCTTTCTAAAGACCTTTATTCACACCAAAAATACACCTTTTTCATCATTCTGATCAAATCAACGGAAACTCAGACAACAAAAGTGTGAATTGAACTTTTCATTTTGTATTGTAATCAATAGCGTTTAGTGATTTACTGAAGAATTACTTCGGATATTCAAATATATAACGGACAATTAATTTAGCAAAGAAACGCGGCTCAAAATAGAAAACAAAAGAGATCATTTGCATGGAATTTCATTAGCATCACTACTTTAAACAAGTCATTGCTAATGAGCAATTTTTAATACCTCTTTGGATAGGTTAGGTGATATCGGAAAATTTTTAAATCATCAAAAAGAATAGCTAGGGATAAATGAAAATCAGCGTTTCGCTGATCTAAATCTTCGATTGTTCTTCTCTCTGTTTTCGGGTGATTTTCCACGAACGCGCATTTAGCAAATCAACTAATCGGTAAGTGTGACAATCGGTTCCCACTCATTACATGCAATGCGTATTAGTGTCATTTTTTTTCATCAGAAATTTTAGTTGAAAAAATTTCATTTTTAGGTCAGATCAGTCAAATTTTAAACATCATCGCCAGCAGCACAATTTTAACCGATTGGAATTCCATGAATGCTTTTTGCAAAAAAAAAAAACATTTATGTTGATTTAATGTCATAAAACTTTATATTGCTCACGGCGGCTCACATCGTATTTTCAGAGCGTGACTATGTATAACATGAGAAAATCTTCTTCTAGATCTTCCGCAAATTATAAATGTATATAGGATAATGTTTTCATTGATTTTGATTTTCAGCGATAAATTTTTAAACGTACAAAATCAAATAGATAAAACAATAATAGGACTCTCTATTGTCAATCTCTTCTACAACGTGATGTGCTTTGATCAGTAATATGCCTTATTCGTTCAGTATTTCGTCAATTATAAAATGAATGACGGATTGTTTTTTTGATCTTTCATTTTGTCTTTTGTTTTGTCTTTTGTTTTGTATCAGCTACTGGTTTTATTTTGTTTCGCTTTTTGGTTTTATTTGAGATGGAGACATTTTTGTGTGTCTTTTATTCATATATTTCATGTGTCGATTTGGTTTATTGCTTTGCAATAAAATCTACATAAAAAATTAAAAGGTTGATATTTTTGATGGTGCCGCCGCCGCATAAGCCTCAATATGCGTCAATATGGTGCGCGTTGAGGTTTTCTTAACCGAGTTATGCGCTATATGTTTTATATGAAATCGTCACACGAATCTCCCCCGAAAACGACATCTTTGGTCTTGCAGCAGAAGCTGTTTCTATGCTGAAAATTTCCTTTCAGTTTAAAAAATTTAAAATATTATTTATGTAGAATTGTACAAATATTTTAAAACTTTGAAATGAGATTTACAGAAATATGCATTTGAAAATTGTTTTAAAAAATAAACACGGCACAGTCAATTTCAAAAATTTCAATGAATAATATTGTTGACATATTTTCACGATGACAGCTATTTTTGCGGTACAAAATTGACCCGTTTGAATGATTTGTCAATATTGAACAATTGAAAATACTCTACACACATGGGGAAACAGAGATGGCGTTGTCGTAGCATGTAGAAAAATATATGTTTAACGCAATATTCGGCTTGGTTTTCTTGTAATGGATTTGCTTTTTTGTTTCATTTAGGACATTACGTGGTATGTTTTTTCATTGTAAATTTAGATGTTCGAGCCAAACAATCAAGTGATTAAAAATCCATAAATTGGACCACGAAGTAAATTCAAATGATGTTTCAAATGTTTGACGGTGACTGCCAAAAACAATTCCTACTACTCAAAAAAAATGTAATGCTGTATCAAACTAAAATCCAATGATTTCAATGCCGATGTCAATTTCCTTCGAAAACGATTGTTCGTGTTTATTTTCTTATTTATTTGTAATTGGTGGCCATTTTAGAATAAATTACGATTCGAATTTACCTTTTTGGTGTGTACTATTTATATTGTAAAACAAACAGTCGTGTCGATTTTATTAAAAATACCAGAAAGGTCTTTTTTTCATCAGTAACTATCTGCTTACAATATATATTATTTTTTCGTCTCTTCTTCATTACACATTTAAATTGAGAGAACACCGCGATCATCATTTCGATCGGCGTTAAACGGCAACTTTATATATTGAAATGGAACAAACATGACGAACTTTTTTTCCAAATCCAAGTTTGATTTCTCTCTCTATTGCTCATCTGAACGCGTCACCCCAAAAGTTCGTTATTATTCAATTTCAAGCTTTTTTTATTTTATATTGTATCAATTACGCTTATTTTTCTTTTTTCCTCAATTCCAACGATTGGTCTTACATTTTTTCTCTCTTTGCATTTGCTCCTTTCGAATATATTCATTCAAATATTTACAATTTAAAGTCTCAGGCATGCAATCGATTGTTGTTCATTTGTCCGATCCAACGATTCGTCCATATTTCCCTTTGTTAGGTTTGTTATTGTTGATGTTTTTCTTTTTCTATTCGTTCATTTGTTACGTTACGCTCGGTCTCTTTTCTTTTTAAAAATATTGTCTTCTCTCTATGTTGCCGTGTACTCATTTCGTCCATATATGTCTTTTTCGACACATGTACTCTATCTTGTGTTCAATCTGCATGCACAAATAGAAATGAATTATTTACTTAAAGCTAACATTACACGTATGTATATAATTCTATAGGTGTTTTTTTCTCAGCCATATATGCCATTTTTAATGTTCCGATTTGTGTGCTTTGAACGAATTGAATTGGTGGAGCGACGACATATCCATCAAATATTTTTATAATTATATATTTTACGTTGAAAATTATCACTCAATGCGCTATTTTTTGTTGCTTATCAAATATTTTTGTTTAAACGCAATATATTTTCTCAGTTTTGCATATTTTAAAATCTATATGATAGTAAAACTGAAGATTTAATTAAAATAATTGGTCAATATTCTTGTTTCTTCTTTGTAAATGAAACATAGAAAAAACGAAATATCTGTAAAAATTTGTCGAAAAATGTATCCAAATTTGATGAAGTGAAAAGAAATCACTTACCATTGAACCTCTTCTCTGCTATAGATAGTTGTGACAGTAAATAACCGCCAATACATACAGTCGTATTTCAACTAAATAAGCAAACAAATTTAAATTGAAAAGTTTATGTACTCAACCAAAAATTACATAGTGGCGCATTTACTATCTTGTCGATTTGTAATTTTATTCTTGTTTTTGCGGCGTTTTTCTTATTATTGTCTTTTTTCTCTTGTTTTTCAATTAGCGAATAGTTTCTTTTTCGATTGTCGACATTAAAAACCCAAAACTTATTCGATACAGTCAAATCGAAGCAGCATTGACACCTTCATATAAATAAGAAGAAGAAAAATATCTGTTTCATACCGTGATTCTCTTTAATAATTTCCGATCATTTTTCGGATGAATGAGTTATATACGTAGTCACAAAAAAAGAGTGTGTGAGAGAGAGAGAGTTCTAAATATTACAGAAGAAGAAAACAGACCAATGAAAGGAAATATTTGTCTTTGAAAAAAAAAAAAACGGAGCCACGTTTCAATTTGATGAAGTGTTGAATAACATGTAAAGACAACCTGTAAACTCTTCCGACATAAGCCATACAGGTTCAATAATACAGCAAACAATAATACGTAATAAACCCTGCAATAAAAAAATATTGTATGATCACAGCCACCGCCATCCCTTTACAATAAAAAATAAACTCGGTTGTTGATAGTTCATTTCAAATTTTATGTTGCATTGCACTTTGTTATATCTTCTTCTTTAACTTAATTATATCTGAAATGAAATTTTTGTCAATAATTATTCGATGGGAATGTATTGAATTTACTTTCACCTAAAATAGAAGAATACAGTTTAAAATTGATCGAAACACATCAATTGAGATGTACATGTACACCCTTTTTTTATTCATAATGCATGCAAATGTTAATATTATTGATATCCCTTTATACCATACATTTTATTGCTTATTGTTATAAGGATTTTAACCATCCGTATTTTATGCCATGAAATGTTTTGTTTTTTTTCTTTTGAAAACTCTATTACCTGTCATAAACGACTATTATTTGTGCTCACAGTATTCAGACCATTCAGTTTAAAGATGCCGCTATGTTTTGACCGGCCTCAAATATGAGTTGATTGAATTTAGTTTTACCAATTTCAAAAAATATTATTACTTTTAAAAGTCTGAAGCTGGAATACCTTATTTTAAATTTGATATCTATTGCAAGGGAAATTATGGCTTGGATATTTCGCATATTGAGATTGATACCAATAGTCTATATTATTTTTTAATTTGATAAGTTTTTTTTTTTAATTCTTGTCTTTAACTAATTCCTAGAGCAAAAATGTCGAGCTCGCATACTATGTCAACAATCGAACCATTAATACCGAGTTCAAGTAACAGTTTATTGACGTCCACATCGAGCGACCGTAGCCGTAGCCCAGATACTGACCGTAACTTATGTGTCATGTTGGATGACCGCGGTAAGATATCCAAAAGTATTCTGAAAGAATATTTTATTCAAATAAAAAAAAATCGTATTTTTTTATTCTCAAAATGAATAGATTTGTGGATGCGCTTTCAAAACTTAACCAATGAAATGATTGTCACGAAAAATGGCCGGTAAGTCAAATTAAGTGTGTTTAACTATGTTAATACGGATCATGAACACAAACATGTATGTTCCATAACTGGCTTGATTGAAAATCAAATAAATACAGAAAAACGAGAAGACTCCATTCCAACTTAATCAATTGCTCACGATTTTGGCGCGATCGATTGCATTAGTTATCTCGGTATTTTTGGTCAATTTTTTTTCACACAATTTCAAAACTAAATAAATCCGGAGTTTCTCCATCTTTTTTTCTCTTTTTATTTCTTTGAAACTGAGACTCAATCCGATTCCATTAGAATCCATTGAAAGAGAAAATAAAAATCCATTTTAAAAAACAAAAATGCTTTTTCGAATAACATAAAGGCTGCCGACAATCTGTATACAATATATAATATAGTGATTTTGAACAGAGGTAAAAAAATTAGCAATCGAATGAGATGTATTTCCCAGAACATTCTGTTGCGTGAAAAACTCACTAATTGATAAACTGTGTATAACGTTCTTTATTCTTTTAGACATTATAAATAAATGCAATGAAAATTATGTTAAATATGTTGTACATGGGGCTTTTATAAATATTTTCCATCGTATTTTTCTTTTCAGTCGTATGTTTCCTGTAGTAAAGATTACTGCTAGCAATCTTGATCCGGCTGCTATGTACTCATTCTATTTAGAATTTGTGCAAATTGATAATCATCGATGGAAGTATGTGAACGGTGAATGGGTAAGTTTTAGACATTTGAAATATTTATTGAAATGGCGCTCAAAATAAATATTGATGTAATAGTGCAGCCAACCATCAAACGAAAAGGTTTTTTTTTACTGAAACAAACCGGACCAAGCGTAACGTTCCAAAAATGGTTCATTGAAATTGAGAAAATTGATGATTCATTTCGATTTGCTAGGGATTTTCGCCAAAAAAGTGAAGAGCAAAAAAAAAAAAGGAAAAAGTCTGACCGTCAGAAGGTGATCCGGTTTGTTCAAAACACAAATAAAACTAATCAGAAGCGAAATCGTTCCGAAATCGGTTTATTTGAAAAATATCACACTAGTTTCGATCGCTGTGCCTAACCAAATTGGGTCTTGATGTTCTCACACAAACTCATGAACAAATTTTTTTCTTTTTCGTTTAAAAACAAAAAGAGTACATTTGAAGTTGTTAATCAATGAACAAAACAAAAAGAGAGAGGTAGAGAGAGGAAAAAATGAGAAGAAACATTGTAAATATATATAGATGCACGTATAAGCTCGTCATTGAAAAGAGAAACAATCAAGTTGCAATGTGCTAATTAACAAATCAGTTTTCTTCAACGTATTTTTTTCAGCTATCTCCTTTTAAACGCTTCGGAATTTCTTTATATTCAATACATAGTAAAAAAAAATAAGATTGCTAAATATTTAATGGCAGTTGCTATGAATGTCAAAAATTGCAAATGCTCGCCTTTATGTATATCTGTGTATTTTCTTCGTCTACAGGTCCCTGGTGGAAAAGCAGAAGCTCCACCGAATAATCCAATTTATGTCCATCCTGAGTCACCAAATTTTGGTGCACATTGGATGAAAGAGCCTATATCATTTGCTAAAGTTAAGCTAACTAATAAAGCCAATGGAAATGGACAAATTATGCTCAATTCGTTACACAAATACGAGCCAAGAATTTTATTGGTTCGTGTCAACTCGGAACATCGTCGTGTCATTCCATATCCGTACCCAGAAACACAATTTATTGCTGTGACAGCATATCAAAACGAAGAGGTGACATCGCTAAAAATTAAGTACAATCCATTTGCCAAAGCATTCCTTGATGCAAAAGAACGACCAGATGCTATTTATTCACGAGATGGTAGCAATTATGGATGGTACATACCATTGCTTATTAATTATTATTGATTGTTTTACAATTATTTTTCGATAAGTTTCGATTATCGTCATTCACATTCATACATTAATTGTAATATATGTATTACGTATGAGATTTTCAAATGACGATGATGGAAATTGAATCTATGTGAAATAAAAAGAGAGTGTGTGTGTGTGGATGAGTGAGTGAGTGATAGATGATTGGGAAACCATTAGAATGTAAGACAAAACATACAAAAGAAACAAAAGTCGCGACAGCAAACAAATTGCTGACGAAAAATTGAGATTTGGTAGTAGCAGTGGAGAGAAAAACACACAAAGAATCAATGTTGTACACACAGTAGCATTGCATCGGAACATCGTCACAACGACAACATGGCGACGCAAACGGATAAACGAAAACTGTATCAACAGCAACAAGAAATCATATTCGGGTAAGTTCGTTTGAATATTCTACTCTGTTGTCATAATTGTCAAAATTTTGCATAGTAGCTAACGCATTCGCTGTTCGATATCGGTCACTATCAACGACAAACCGATTTGAATGTGTTGATGTGAGAGTGTATTTGACTGTGACATTTCAAACCAACAAGCTGGCAATAAGTCACATCGTGTCGAACCATCACCAGTGTAAGAACTAAAATTGCTGCGCATAAATTTTCATTTTACATTGAAAGTGAAATATTCTCTCGAATTGGATTTTTGTCGGTTTTTCCAGAGAAAGTGTTCGGTAAGTGTTATTTTAAAATATAAAATTAAACAGAATTGTCGATTAAAAAAAAAAAAAAAATTGACTGCGTGGTAGAATGAGATTGAGATAGAGAGAATACAATACAAAATCATGTCCAATAGGGTGGAACATTTTTGGCACAATTTTATGGCCATTTCAGAAAACATGTCTTATAGTCCCCAGATTCAAGATATGAAGAAATTTTCAACTTGCGATTCCATATAAGACAACGACTTGAAAGGAAAGGAGGTACATTTTCGAGTATCACTTACAGTCGGCTTTCAACGCGACTCGATTTAAGAAGCGCCATCTCTTTCACGCCAGGTTCTCATATATTTTTTTCTTGCAAAATTGTATAAATTGAATGAGTTTTGCAATAATATTAACGAAAATAATTAAATTCCTTCATATCTTGAATCTGGGGACATGTTTTCTCAAGTGGCCTATCAAGATATGCCTCGAAATTCAAAAAAATGTTCCACCCTAATGTCCAATCATGAATTTCATCATTGCGCACAGTGGATTACGGGTACCGTTAGCCAATTGTGCGACGCAGTTTCTTATGATTTTTCAAAGTCTACTTAGACTACGATATGCAATTGAATGTTTTTTTAAATTGAATTTTAACTAATGCAACATTTTTGACATATCGAAACATCAAATATCACATTTGATATTTTCTATAATACTTTGAAAACAATTGTAATCAAAGAAGCGCTAGAAGTCACATCATTTAAATTTTATTAAAAAATCTTTAAAATTAAGTATTTTAAAAATATTTCAGTATTTTTCATTTTTCTTCTAATAAAATCTAACCTTGTTTGTCGATTTATAAGCACCATCTATTGCGAATTTGTACCATTTTCAGTTATGAGGGTCTGGCGCTCATGTCAAGTTTTGTTATGTCGCTCCCATGTTTCTTCATTGTGAAATTAATTTCAATTTTATCGTATCGCATTTGTATCGATCAGTTTCTAGTTTGCCCCAACTACGAACCGATCCGCATCGTGTTCTTTCCGGCAACATACAAACACACCGAACATTTGACCAATAAATAAAACCGGTGAATATGAATACAAAGTATCGGTAAGTTTTTTTGCATTGCATTTTCTTCATTGTGAAATGAATTTTAATTCTATCGTATCGAATTTGTATCGTTCAGTTTCTATTTTGCCCCAACTACGAACCGGTCCGCAATCGTATTCTTTCCGGCAACCAAAGTTAACTTTAGCATAAAGTTAAAGAAATGTATCTGCGGTCGTTCCCGGGGGGTATGTTATAATTCGAATCAATTTCATTGCTTTCATTTAATTTCATCTACTGCAATTTATGTTCATTGTTTGTTTTTATCTTATTGTATGTATCTAGGTAGTGACCAGCAGACCCAGAAGTACTATTCTATAGTAAGCTAGTATCTTTTCGCTCTCTTCCACAGAATCGCGATTACAACTACCAAATCTCAATTTGTTCAAGATAATTGCTTGATGCTAATATATATATATATATTTCATTCAGAATTATTTCACATTTTTATTGATTATTTGTCGATTATTTTGAATTAATTCGATTATTTTCTTTTGTGATTCTCACCTTAGGTACATACCACCAGCATCATCATATGCATCTTCATCACCCACTCATTCTGGATCCGTTGGAATAGTAAGTCACAATCGACGACAAATTGAAAACAAACAAGATAATCAACTACATGAAGTGAATAATACAACAACGTCATGCGAGAGATATGGAACAGTTGCTACAGTGAGAACAACGACCGCCCGGTCAGTACCATATACAACACATCGTCCACGAGCCATTAGCAATAATAATTTATCACCACCGTCATCATCGCCGTCTGGTTATTTACCATTAGATCCAGTTCCTTCCTCCATTTATGCCAGCTACCCTCATCCAAATTGGCAAAATTCAACAACCTCATATTGGTCGACCACCACACCGGGTAGCCCAATAAGTAAATCTTTTTTTTTTTCTTTGAGTCCAAATAAATTATTTAGCAATGAAAAATAGATTGGTAGTTAAATTCCGGTCGATATTTTTTCACAAATAGACTTTAAAAAATAGTTGTAATCAAAATCACTTGAGTTAGTCAAAAAAAAATAATAATCACCATATATATATATATATATATTTCATTTTAAAGCATCAGCCGTTTCGCCGACACATTCTGGCGATTCGCCCGTTTATACATCACATCATTTGGCTTCGCAGGCTTACTCAACGGGTGCAACAGCTCAAGTCGATCTTTATCAAATGCCAAACGGTAATAATTCACCACCACAATTCTATGCAACAGCAACAGCACCAAACACACATCAAATGTATCATCCAACACCAGCATCACCATCACAAATTTATGGCAATATGCTGAATACACCAGCTTTGACAAACTTGAGTTATGCATCAACGTGGCATTCGACCGCTGATTATGGCATGTTTCAAAATACCTATCATTACCAAGCACCAGAATATATTCCTATAATAAGTGATTTAAGGTAAAAAAAATCTAATTTCCATGGAAATGTCATAAAAATTAATTACTGACATATTTAATGGTTTAGTTCATCTTATGGTCCGCATATTTCGGAAAATTCTATTCAACCATTATCAAAATCAGAGCATAATTCGGAATCGTCAACCAACAATGCGACATATAATCAGCCAAATGACTCACCCGAAATATTGATGACGCTCGAATGTAATGGTAATCGTACATCTGTGGTTACCACGCCTATTATCGAAAAGCAGACACAAGCTCAGCAAGCTCAATCACAAACACCAAATTCCACACAAACAACAGACCAACACTTAAATCGAACGAACTGGGAACCTTTAACTCCTCCTAACAATATTTAAATTTTAACACATTTTCTAAATCTATCTTTCCAATTGAGAGACTGCGTTATGGTTTCTTTGAAAATAAAATGACAGTATAATTTACAACTCTATGTAACAAAAATCATGTTGCCCTTTTTATTTTCAAATGAAATCTCGGGTCACTTCAATCTTAACATATTCAATTTGGACTTTCTCAAACATGAAGCAGAACACTTTTTTGAATAATTTTTGGATGTTCCCGTGTTCTCTCGTTGTGCCTTTCAAATGGCACAATCGCAGTAGTCCGCACCTTTGCGTATTCAATGATGATACTGTTCACTTGTATTCAGACGTCCAACTAATGTCGCACACATACACATACATAGCTACACTCTCACATCTCTTTCATTCTTTATACATACACGCAAAGGTGCAGACTTCTGCGTCCGTGCCATTTCAAAGGCACATAGAGAAAACACGGGTTCTTATCATTTTCTATATCGTCTATCATCTCTCTCCTCTCTCTCTCTTTCTCTCTCTCTCTCTCTCTCTCTCTCTCTCTCTATCTATCTTTCTATATGAGAATCACGATGAAAATAGGAGACACGATGTTTTTTTTTTTTTTTTCAATTTAAATATATTGACTAGGTTTTGAAAAATAAATTCATGCATAGAATTCAAACCAATTATTCTCGATAATTGCGTTTTAATTTCAATAACATCATTTAAATTTCATAGTATTAATAGATTTTTGTCAAAAGTAAATAAAAGAGAATAAGCCTGCCAATTGACTTTACTTATATTATATCTTTATTGATTTCATTTTAATTTTTGTTGGTCGTTTGTCATTTTAACGACTCTCCTCAATGTTACAATGTCTTTTTTTATTTATAAATTTTTTTGAGATTATGAATTTTTCAGTCATATTTGATAGCGACGGCTTTATTAACACAACATTAATTGTTTATTTTTGGTCAGGTATTCGATTCTATAATGTTTTGAATACAAATGTATCGACGTATCTTTGAATTCTTTTTTTTAATCAGTTCATTGGCTACTGATTAAATGAGAATACTTCATAATCATTCAAAAATTCAAGAGAACAAATCAATCGAAATTGGTTGATAGAAGATTTAAAAAAATATATATTTTCAAAGAAAATTCAGTAGTTAAACCAGAACTTTTCTGTATTTAAGCATTATGGACTTATCTATAATTTCATCGAATTTTAATTCGTTTAAAAGTTCACTTTTGATACATTCTATAAAGTGCCTAATCTATCATCTCATCTAGGACATTGGTGACAAACATACACAAATACATACGTAGTATAAAATCAATATTTGGGAAATTGGCTTAAAATAACCCTCAAATTAGACAGAAAGAACTGGAATTGACAGCGTTGACGTTGAAACAAGCGAAATTCGATTCTGAAGAACACGATGACGATGCCGTGGTATTGCACAGCCTGTGACGATTAATTTCATTTTCTCCTACGTTCGTCTAAATATAAACATGGCGATTGAGTTTCTATTCTTTCGTTTATTTTTATAAGTACAATATGTGATAAAAAATATAACTATTTATATATGTGTGAAGGTCTTGAGTTTAAAATCGATTGACCAAATGCGATATTTTGTTTGGTCTCTTTTGATAATCAGAAAAGGCGTTTCTCATATGAAAATAGTCCGTGCACATTGCCTTCAAGTTGTGCTGAATGTGTACGTTTCATGAAACGTAATTCGCCTGTGTATATCATTTTTCTATTAGAAAAGAAAAAAAAAACAATTTTATATTAATCATGTATTGATGTTAACAAATTCATTTACAAAATATTATATTAAACCTGAGAGCTAAAACCGAACGTGCACCAATATCTTGGCAACTATGTTGTAAACCGCATTTCAAATATGGCAAGAACAATAAAGCTGATCCCTTGTCAACAATACTACCGCTAACACCTTGTGCAACATGTAGTTTATCAATTTCGGTATGGAAGTATCGGCTCATTGCAGCACCTTTGGCATCTTTACGTTCCATCGCCTCTAAACTGCCCATACCACGGTATTTTTTTAAACGAACACCGTCTGAAAAATAGTATTCGCCTGGATACGGTAAAACAAACGAATTGTAAATTAAATATTAGAAAAATGCTTCTTTTCGAAAAGTAAAACAAATTGACCGATTTTCATAATAAACTGGTTCAATAAATACCTGGTGCTTCACTGGTACCAGCCAATAATGAGCCCATCATAACAGTTGAGGCGCCAAGTGCCAATGCTTTAACAATTTGACCAATTGAACTGATGCCACCATCCGCAATAATTGGAACACCAAATTCCCGAGCATATGAGCTAACTTGATAAACGGCAGTAGCTTGTGGACATCCGCAAGCCATAACTTCTTGTGTAATACAAATTGAACCGCTACCCATACCAACTGCAAGAAGATATTGTTTGAAATAAACATAGAATCGCATTTGTTTTTGTATGAGCGTGAAAAGGAGATTATATTCATTTATGCTTATTTAAAATCAGCAAAGAGACTAAAATTTCAGAGCGAAAATCAAAAGAATAAATGTATATAATAAAACTACTAACCACGAAGTGCATCAGCTCCAGCATCAATAAGATTTTTAGCTTGTTGTCTAGTAACCACATTTCCAGCAATAATTTGAAGAGCTGGATATGTATTTTTAATAAACCGAATCATGTCTAACTGGTAAACGGAATTGCCTTGCGATGAATCTAATACGACAACATCAACTCCGGCTTGTACAAGTTGAGCCAGACGATTACGATCTTCTAACCGTGTGCCAATGGCAGCACCGACAAGCAATTGTTTATTACTGTCCTTTGATGCATTTGGATAACTGCGTGCCTTTTTCAAATCGGTTCTTGCAATTAATGCTACCAATTCACCGGCATCATTTACAATTGGAAGCTTTCCCTTTTTGCTAGTTTCCAATATTCGATTAGCTTCTTGTAACGTAACTCCATTTGGTGCAGTAATCATATCATCCAATTTCGTCATGACATCCGACAATAATAATTGGCCATCGTGTTCACGAAAGTCAATATCGCGTGATGTTACAATTCCAACTAAACGTCCACCTAATTTACCTAAGGGGAGAATCACAAAAGAAAAGAATAAAATTTAAAATAATCGATAAGTAATCGGAGAATAATCGAAAAATAATCGGAAACATATAATGAAAAAATTGCAAAGCAATAGCCACAACAACAATAATGTCCAGCAATTGCTTTAAATTGAGATTTGGTAGTTGTAATCGCGATTCTGTGGAAGAGAATAAAAAAAATACTAGCTTACTATATAATAGTACTTCTGGGTCTGCTGGTCACTACCTAGATACATACAATAACAGAAAAACAAACAATGAACATAAATTGCAGTAGATGAAATTAAATGAAAGCAATGAAATTGATTCGAATTATAACATACCCCCCGGGAACGACCGCAGATACATTTCTTTAACTTTATGCTAAAGTTAACTTTGGTTGCCGGAAAGAATACGACTGCGGACCGGTTCGTAGTTTGGGCAAAATAGAAACTGAACGATACAAATTCGATACGATAGAATTAAAATTCATTTCACAATGAAGAAAATGCAATGCAAAAAAACTTACCGATCCTTTGTATTCATATTTTCCGGGTTCTGACATCGTTGTGGTCGGTTTGTGAACGATTACCAGTGTAAGAACTAAAAATGTGTCCATATTCTTCTTCGACATTTGATGTGTTCGATTTGTTGTTCCTGCCAATGAATGAATGTTGAAAACAAAAAAAAAATATTTGAAAAAAAATCTTTAAAAAAGATTCAATTGCATATCCCCGTGTGTAAAAAAAGTGGCTGACTGACTGACTGACTATGTCGATTTTGTATGAAAACCAATCATAGTTAACCGGCTGTCCCAAATTAAGCATTTAAAAACGACTATATATAACTATAGTTGACTATAGTCAGCTGCTCAACCAGTTAACTACAATCGATTCTATTCGATTCTAGCCGATTGTTGTCGATTGTTGTTAACTGGTTAAGCAGCTAACTATAGTCAACTATAGTCATATATAGTCGTTTTTAAATGCTTAATTTGGGACAGCCGGTTAACTATGATTGGTTTTCATACAAAATCGACATAGTCAGTCAGTCAGCCACTTTTTTCACACACGGGTCGTAGTCAAAGTGGGCTTTGAAAAATCATGAGAAACTGCGTCGCACTATTGGCTAACGGTACCCGTAATCCACTGTGCGCAATGATGAAATTCATGATTTAACATGATTTTGTATTGTGTTCAATGTGTTTCTCTCTATCTCAATCTAATTCTAGCATGCAGTCAATTTTTTGTAAAAAATTCGAAAATTCTGTTTAATATTATATTTTAAAATAATACTTACCGAACACTTTTTTTTGGAAAAACCGACAAAAATCCAATTCGAGAGAATATTTCACTTTCAATGCAAACTGAAAATTTATGCGCAGCAATTTTAGTTCTTACACTGATGATGGTTCAAGACGATGTGACTTGTTGCCGACTTGTTGGTTTGAAATGTCGCAATCAAATACACTGTCACACCAACACATTCAAATCGCTTTGTCGTTGACAGTGGCCGATATTGAACAGCGAATGCGTTAGCTACTATGCAAAATATGACAATTGTTACCCCAATGTGATTTCTTGTTGCTGTTGATACAGTTTTCGTTTATCCGTTTGCGCCGCCATGTTGTCGTCGTTGTGACGTTGTTCCGATGCAATGCTATTGTGTGTACAACATTGATTCTTTGTGTGTTGTTCTCTCCACTGCTACTACCAAATCTCAATTTTTCGTCAGCAATCTGTTATATGCTGTTGTGACTTTTGTTTCTTTTGTATGTTTTCTCTTACATTCTAATGGTTCCCCAATCATCTATCATTCACTCACTCATCCACACACACACTCTCTCTCTCTCTCTTTTTATTTCACATAGATTCAATTTCCATCATCGTCATTTGACAATCTCATACGTAATACATATATTACAATTAATGACGATAATCGAAACTAATCGAAGAATAATCGCAAAACAATCAATAATAATTAATAAGTAATTTTTAAGTGATTTGCCCCTCGAATTTACCATTTTCTGTAATTGGAATGCCGGTGAAACCGTTTTTCTTCTTTGCCTCAAGTACATCAGTTACACGATTCGATGGACTCTATAGACGTAAAAATAAGTTTCCATTTCATGATAATACGATTAACATCCAACTCACAAAGAATAATGATCATTTATCAAAAAATGAATAAAAATGTTTGATTTGCTGTCATACCATAACGACGGGATCTCGTATGAATCCATGCTTATACTTTTTAACCTTCATCACTTCATTTGCTTGATACTCTGGTGTACAGTTGTGATGAATAATACCAATTCCGCCACACAGCTGATTTGTTTTTTGTTTGGAAAAAGTGGAAAAAAAATAAACATTCATTTTAATAACGTTTTAATAATAATTGTTTCGTGAGTTGATTGATGACTGTTTACATTTCTCTCTGGTATCAAAATAATAAACAATAACCAATATGATTATATTAAATAGTCATTAGTTAACACATCACTGTCTGTGATGGGGCGTTTGGATTGTAATGCTAACGTTGCTAATCTCTAAATGGATCAAGTACTTCGAAGTTCAATTAATTTGTTTTCTTAATCCACTACTGTATTTTTTGGAGTTTCTACACACAAAGCACAGTAGATTTATGCGTTTATTTAATTCGCTCTATTTTGAGTCCTATTCATATTAAATGAACGTGGAATATTACTTACAGCCATAGCGATAGCCATATCGGATTCAGTAACTGTATCCATGGGCGATGATACCAATGGCGCTCTCAATGAAATTTGCTTGGTCAACGGCGACGCGAGATCAACATCATCGGCGGTGAAATCAATGTATCCAGGTAAAATGATGAAATCACTGAAAGGTAAACAATAACAAACTATATTGCGACTACATATAAGAAAGTAAAATGTATGTTTACACAACTAATTAAATCATATTTGCGTACTTGATTTTTAAATTCTTTCAAATCTGCTTGTTTATAATCAGCGACATACAAAAAAACTATAATACAAAAATTCTAATAAGAATCAAAAAAATGTATTTAAGTACTATAAAAATCCGGTTGGTGAAACGAAAAAAAAAATGTTGTTTAAAAAACCTCTATTCATAAACACAATTGATAAGAACAAATATCGAGTTCACAGAATCTCACGTGGCAATAGGCAATTACTAATATTCTCGTTCTTTAATTCAATTTAAACATTTCCGTACAACGCGCGTAATACTGCTGTTATGTATGGCAAAATAGGCATAAAAACGTCGATTCGACACTAGATAAATTGATATATTTATAGAATAAAAGAAAACACACAGAACGGTGCTCCAATACTTACTTGTATGTTAAGCCATCACGATTTGCGAACAATTCTTGAGCCGAAAGACCATCTTGAATATTAGTCGCATCACCATTACTCCACGCAGTGTGATTATATTGATCGTTTGCCATGCTTTTTTCACTTCTCTTTTTTTTATTCAATCCGTTATCAGTTTGTTAATTTATCGTTTTCCTTTCGTTTTTTACTTAAACTTTTTCTCGATATTTTTCAATCCTGTATCTTTGTGATTGATATATTTATTAATGAATATATGAATGAATGATAAAAAATAAACGATTTTCAAAAAAGTTCTGTTCGATGGGACAATCTAATTTGGAAGCGCGGTAGCTTATGTCTCCACTAACCAAACTCAACTGAAGATGAAATTCGTATTTGGCATCGTTGCTTGTAGTATTCACGACATAAAGCACATTGTTTGTACGAAATTTTTGTGTGGTTCCGCTTCACAGTGTATTATTGTTTGCTAGTTATATGATAGTGGATGGGTTTTTTCATACATCAGTAGAATCATGCTTTATACACGATGTTCGACTACTGCTAAGCTGTAGATTGAAAGTGTCAAATCGTTTGAATGACATTTCATTGAACGAACTCGTTTCAACTATAATTTACGGTATTTGTATGAAGAATGTCGGTTTCTATTGATTCAAATCGATTTTTATCATTTAGTTTTCACCGCAATCTTTTGAAAACTTAAATATTTGAGAAATTTATGAATACAATTTCTATTGTCAAACACCATATGGTATCATTTGATTGATTGTAAATTCGAAATACAATACACGAACAACTTCACACTGATCAGACTGTTGAAAACGAAAAGTCATTCGGCACGGTAAATAGAAACTATTTGTCACTGCTTAGTTGGTAGAGATTGCTTGGTTTCACTAAGAAATATTTTTACAAATTCTATAAGGAAATTTGGTTTTCGTTTCAAACAACGTTGGCACATTTATAATTAAAAATGGCTCTAGCTGATATTTGTGGTTTCAATGACTACATGAAGTCAAATGGCACTACAATGAGTGCATTGCACGAAGACATGATGCTAAATCAATGTTCTAACATGGAAAACAACTATCAACTCTCGATGCCACCATTTGAGAATGTAAGTAGATAAATCTATATAAAAGTGAATTAAATTAGTGCAATATGATAACCATCTGTTTCGATTACAATTTAAAGCCGATGGATAATTTGAACAAATTGCAAGAAATGGGTGCTGAAGACGGTGTTCAAATTCAATTCGATCACGGTACAACAACACTTGGTTTTTGCTTCCAAGGCGGTGTCATTTTGGCTGTCGATTCTCGTGCGACTGGCGGTCAATTCATCGGTTCACAATCGATGAAAAAAGTTGTTGAAATCAACAATTATTTGCTCGGTACATTGGCTGGTGGTGCTGCTGATTGTGTGTACTGGGATCGTGTTTTGGCCAAGGAATGTCGATTATATGAATTGCGCAATAAGGAGCGCATTTCAGTTGCTGCGGCCAGCAAAATTATTGCAAACATTTCACACGAATACAAAGGAATGGGTCTCAGTATGGGAATGATGTTGGCTGGATATGATAAACGTGGTCCACAACTGTATTATGTCGACTCTGATGCAGCACGTATCACTGGAAAACTATTCTCCGTTGGATCTGGATCAGTTTACGCTTACGGTGTTTTAGATTCGGGATATAAATGGGATTTGACCGATGAAGAAGCACAAGGTATAAAATATATTCAAGGCTAAAAGAATTTTTCATGAAAATTATAAAACAGAAAATCTATTACAAATTAACTATATTTTCCAAATTTTACAGAACTCGGTCGACGATCAATCTATCATGCAACACATCGTGATGCATACTCTGGGGGTATTGTCCGTGTATATCACATAAAACCAACCGGATGGGTAAACATTTCGAATGAGGACTGTATGGATTTGCATTACAAATATCAAGCGGAAAAAGCAGCAGCTTTAGCTTAAAACATTTACACCAAGTTTTCATTATATTTGCAAAAGTGAAATAAAAACTACTACGATTTATTAATAAAGTGAAAAAAAAATTCGCCATCATTTTATTCACATAATATTTTTCATTTGACACAACGATTTTGTTGACAATTTGAGTGAATTATACTTTCGATTTGGAATTTCGTAGATATTTTTCTTTCTAAAAACAATTAAATGTTATTCAACGAATGCATGGAAAAGCGCTGAAATTTACTGAATCAAGAATAAACATTTTTTGATCATTTTTTTAATTGATTCTTTGATTGTTGTGTTACTTTTTAATACGCATCCAATAATTTTTGTAGATAAGTCGCTTCTTGACCTAAAACACCAACTCGGTTCTCCATGTCTGCGTTGAATCTGGTTGACTTCAATTTGCCGGTCAACTGGCCGAAATTCGGGCTTCAAATATTATCGAAACGAGTAAGGTACAATTAAAAATAAATTGCGGTACTATTAAGTACATTTTTGGTACAATTATTATCAGCAATAAAATTTTAAAAAATATTGTTGATTTTCATTTTTGCCATTTTTTCGGGAAATCCCCCGTGAATTTTGAAGAACATGCTCTGCAGAAGAACACCATCGAAGTAATGACTTTATGATGATGCTATTTTGAAGGTACATTTTAGGTACAATTATTATCAGCCATAAAAATTTAAAAAATATCTTTGAGTTTTATTTTGGCTAGTTGACCGGCAAATTGAAGTGCCCCGAAATTTGAACTTCAAATATTAGCCAAACGAGTAAGGTACAATTAAAAATAAATTGCGGTACAATTAAGTACATTTTTGGTACGATTATTCAAACCTAGTCCCAAGTTTCGACTTTCACATGTGCGGACATTCGACTATACATCCCCTAAAATAACTTAAAAAGCCAGCATTCTGAATCAAATGTCGAAAAGTTGTTATTCAATAATTGAACCAAATCATTATGTGCTATATCTTAATAAACAAACCACTTTGTCATATGTTTCAGCGATTTTTTTTCCTTTTTCAACTAAAATATTCACAGTACACAGAAAAAATATCTACCAACTATTTTCGTCACAAAATTGATATCAGAAAATTTGTGTTTCAAATTTTGGTTTCGTCACTCGTTCCTTTCCTCAATAGAGGTTTTTTATTTTAACAGAACACATACAGAAGTGTATTTTTAATACTTGTGTGTAAGTATCTATGTGTGAGAATGTGTACCACGTATGTTCAGTGTTCACATATGCTATACATATTCATCGTAATTTTATACAGGGTGTATCTGCAGTAAAAATAACAAAGTACATGTAAATCTGATTTTAGTTGAAAAAGGAAAAAAAAATCGCTGAAACATATGACAAAGTTGTTTGTTTATTGAGATATAGCACAAAATGATTTGGTTCAATTATTGAATTACAATTATTGGCTTTTTATGTTTTTTTTAAGTATGTTAATATTCTAATTCATAATAAAACTCGCACAATTTTATATAGACACCCTATATGAACTCACTGATGTATGCGTGCATTACAATGGGACGTTTTTCGTTGTTCTCTTTGTCTGCACAACACAATGAACGCACTGAAAATATCAAGCATTCACATATTAATATTGTTAAAGTGAAATTAGCTGTTCGCTCAAATAAAATTCAAACTAAATAATATATATTTCTATGTTAAAAACAAATGTGGCTATGCAGCCATAGTGAATAAAATTCGATAAAATTCATAAAAACGTTACTCTTCTTTTCATTAGCTTTGTGAGTATTTATTTAAGGTTTAAGGCTTACAGTTCAATTTTTTATTAATTCTTGACTTTTCTGTCTCATATATAATTTTGTTCTTTTCTTTTTGTAGAACTCAGCCCATGCAGTATTTTGATTATTCACCAAACAGTCCAATTCAACATGAATTCAAATTTACAAATGCAATCGATTGATTCAGTTGAACAATGTGAAGACAACACTTCGAATAAGGATTCAAATAACTACTCGGAACAACTAATACCAGCATATGATTCACCAAAAAATATCTTAAATATTCTCAACGACCATTGTATTCAAGAAATTTTCACTCATTTGTCTGTCAGGTTCCATTTTCTGAATGTTGCCGAGGTGTGTAAAAAATTCCAAGAAAACGTCATAAAATGCTTTCCTGAGCACTTAAAAAAAACCGAATTTTATAGTTCAAATTTTCGTGGTATGCATCCAAATCGTACATCAAGCTTTTTAAGAATATTTGGTCACTTGATTAAGGAGATCAACTTGGACTATTGTCCAATTAGAAGTAAAATAACACCTTCCGACTATCATCGTCTTGGTCATTTCGAATTGATCACTAGCTACTGCACTAAAAATTTAATCGAATTGAAAATTGAGAACTCAAACGATGTGGACCTTAACCTAGACATCAACATAACAAAAAGTTCACAGTTCCAAGTTTTGGAAAAGCTATCAATCAAAAATTGTACGCTTACTAAGTTTGGAACTTTTCCAAAATTGAAAGATTTGAGTTTATTTGAGGTCAAACTTGAGAATTGCGATTGGCTGACAAGTAGATTTCCGCAATTAGAAAAACTTTACGTACACAGAGTGAGAGGGTTGAACCATGAATTGTTCGTTGAATTTCAAAAGAATAATCCAAAGCTAAAAAATATGACTATCGCACAATCAATATCTTCCTTCATTTTTCGGAATATTGAAGTTCGACTACCAAATCTGGAAAAATTAACGTATAGCTCTGGGAGTTTTGTTGATAAAACACCCGAGTGAAAAATGGCATTGAATTTTTCAATGCGTAGTGTCAAACGGCATTTAAGCAATAAATCGACACCGCATGGCTATAGCGATGTGGTGTATGCACTCAACGTGCGCACGGACCATGCGGTCTCGATTTATTGCTTAAATGCCGTTTGACACTACGCATTGAAAAATTCAATGCCATTTTTCACTCGGGCAGTTGAAGAAAGTCAATTTCAAGCTGACGATATGATGCATGTGAGCAATTTGACGAAATTGACATTCTTGAGAATTTTCAATCGGAATATATCAGCGAGAGCACTCATCGAGTTAATTATTCAAAAAAAGAGGCCGATTAGACTAATAAATGTAAACTATTTCTATGATTTTGAAATCATGTCGAGATTAAACGAGCTAGAGCATTTGCAGCCTGGCGCTTATTTTCCAAAGGAATCAGCAATAAGCATTGTTCGAAATGTGCCTACTTTGAAATCAATTCAATCAGTACAATAATACAAAAATTATTGGATGCGTATTAAAAAGTAACACAACAATCAAAGAATCAATGAAAAAAATGATCAAAAAATGTTTATTCTTGATTCAGTAAATTTCAGCGCTTTTCCATGCATTCGTTGAATAACATTTATTTGTTTTTAGAAAAAAAATTATTTACGAAATTCCAAATCGAAAGTATAATTCACTCAAATTGGCAACAAAATCGTTGTATCAAATGAAAAATATTATGTGAATAAACTGATGGCGATTTTTTTTTCACTTTATTAATAAATCGTAGTAGTTTTTATTTCATTTTTGTTTCTGAATTTCTCAGATAAATGATAAGGGATTGAACTGACTTCTTCAAGACTTCCTTTGAATCGTTTGAGTTGCATTTCTCAATGTTGCTTACGATGATTGCCTGGACACTGGTTACTAAATCACCGAAGAACGGCATCGAGTTCAAATCACACAGTAGCTTGATTAATTTAGTTAGTAGATTGGCTCGTTCAATGTCGGATTTGACGGATGTTAACATATGTTTCTATTAGGTAAAAAGAATATATTCAAATTACAATAAATCTTATGAAAATTATTTCTATTAAATGGAAAATATATATGAATAGTTGTCATAGTCTCGGTCATAGTTGCCATAAAACAGCTTTTTATTTATATTCATTAGTTCCGAATAATACTGTAACATGCATTATTTTATACTGAAATAGCTAACAAATTTGAATTTCAAAATTACCTGAAAAATCCATAAGAATGCATTACTACAGTATTTCAGGCAATTGATTTCATTCTCTTGATTTGAGCGCACAGCAATTGTTGACACCAATTCAAATGCTTCCCAAAAGTGTGGTAAAAACGAATCATTTTTAGCCAGCCAACTTATTTCCTTATTTGTGCATCTCACCAAATATTCACACAAAAATGTTACACATTCTTGTTGATTCTGTCGACTTTTGTTGCTTGGCCATATGAATTCGTCAAATTTTTTTGGTGAACGTTCTTTTGGTAAGGTCAATTTTTGGAAATAATATCGTGTAAGTAGGCCATATGATGTCAGTTTTGAAATGATCCATGATTTTTCATTCTGCGATGCTGTCGGCAGGAAAACCTTGAGAATTACATTTATAAGTTCGATAGTTTTGGTAACTATTGAAACGAGTTGATCTGTAAATTTGGCGAGATTCCATCGGCATAGTTCGAGTACTTGTGAGCTCATTACAAGAAGTGGTGGACACATTCCTTCAAATTTGAATTTAACCGCAATGATATTGAGTGTTGTAATCAGCAATTCCAAACGATTGTAACATTTTTTCTTCATTGCATCGACTAAGTGACGCTTATAAAAAATATCTACAATCAATTCAGATTGTTTAAGAACCCCAATGAAGAACAAATTTGCCAACAGTTTCGGCAATAGTAGAATTTCTTGTGCATCGGTTGTTTCACGTTCAATCAGACTATCAACTTGATTCATTGCGTAATTCTTGAAAATCAATTTTGTTGTGTCAAGAATTTCCATCATATGCTGCATTTGCATGTCCGTAGTTAGAGCTTCGTCGAACAGTTTTGCATAGAAAAGTTGCGGATTTTGGAAAAGCAGCTTTAAGTAAGCATTTTGATTTTGTTTGAATGTCGTTTTGTTGAACACTTCGATAAGAAACTGATCAAAATTGTCCAGTTGAAAATTTCCAAATGCACTTTTCTGTTCATCAATGGAATACTGAATCAATTCAAATATTTGTGCAGTTGTGAATTGATCGAATGAATTTAGACAGATTTCAATGAGTTTCTCTTCAACGATGCAACCTTCATCATTGTTTACAGCATTCGATGCGAATAAAATCAAACGTTTGATTATTGGTATGGTAAGTGATGTTGCATGCATTTCAAGAGCCTCCAAACACTCCGTATTTCCCAGCACCAATTCGCCATGATCAATAAATCCATTTATCCAAAGTTCGATGTTTTCATCATTTGTATCGGCCAGTTTTTCCAATTTTTCAATCCATTCGCCGATTGTTTCGATACGGGCAATCATTTCGGCCACTGTTGGCGGTTTTATCACAACCGACTTTAGTTGAGCACTGACATCGTGTGTAAAACATTCATTCAAATTGATCATTTGTTCGACCTTGTAAGCAGCCTCACCGACTACACGTTGCAATGTGTATTCATCATTAATATCAATCTCGACCCAATACATGAATGCATTACAATCCACTTGCATTACATTATACTGTAGCGAATTCAACAGCATTGTATTCATACGATGTAATGTTTCTTGTACGGCATCAGTGTAGCTTTCACGATGATCATCAATTAATGGTTCACGTTCACGCATCAATGCATATATATCACATTCAATTGGCTCCGACTTCAGCATCGGTCGCTTACGAAATAGTTTAAAACAATCCAAAATCATATTTAGATTATGCTTCAGCACAAATCCCATGTACTTGCGATATTTATTCTTTGACCATTTTTGAAATTTCTCAACATCCGGTGAGTAAAAATGTCGCATCAGATCTGTTGCAACATCAAAGTATTTATTGAGAATGATTTTCTTGTCAACCGCTTCCATTTGACGAAAATCTGATCGTACGATGTTTGTGTAAATAGCACGCAACAGTTGATCCACACGGTCCAATGTCTCATATGGATCGGCATATTTTAAGCTTTCCACCACATTATCGATAAATTGATATGCAAACCAAATTGGCGTGTAAGCAATGCATTCGCAAAAGTATCGTTCAAGATGTACGCCCCAAATACAGGCGTGCAACAGTGCTTTCGGCAATGATGGTAATGTGTTCAACAAATGACAAACACTATAATCAGCTTTCAAATCATATTTGAATGTAGCCTCTGTGTTTAAAACCAAATAAAATGCGATTTTACGTAGATGTGCGTCGAATTCTGGTTGTGGTTTGGATGTGACTGTATCAAAGTAGCCTTTTTTATTGAATAGCTCCAAAACTTTGGTAACAATATGTGCTATGTATGGCTCATTACCTAATTTTGTTTTGGTTTTAAATACAAATGTCGGGTAATTAAAATGTGATCAATAAAGAAAACAAGCACTGTGAGAACTCACCGCCACGAAATTGAATTTTATTCAAAGGTTTGATGTATTCATGTGCGTAATTAAATATCGATTGAATATTTGCCAGATCACCACAAAAATCCATGTTTATTGAATTTTTAAGCTGAACCAAAATTTCATCCATATACATTATGGCTTTAACATTCGATGAAATATACTTTTTTATAGCTGAATAAACTAAATGTTATTATTTCCACTCGATTCAAGGCGCAAAATTATCGTGTTTGAAACGTTTGACATTTCGTCTGCTAGTAAACAATATATTGTTAGTTTATTTAAGATATTTCCAACAGATGGCACTCGATATATCGGTTCCATTTATGAGAGCCTTCAGGCCAAAACAAATTATAAAGATTATTTTCGGAAAAAGAGCATAAGAAATTATTGAGCGCAAAACGAGAATATAGAGAACTGAGAGTTAAAACAACACATAGAATACTGAGAGCAAAAGTAGTATATATCGTAAAAGTAGTATATAGTAGTAGTTATGGTTTCTTTTGATGTCACAGCACTTTTTCCATCAGTGCCAATTAACATAGCCATGGAAGCCATCAAGAAACATTTATCACAATTTGATCTGACTGAGGAACAGTTTAATGCTTATATTATGGCAATCGATATATGCATGAAACACAATTGTTTCCAATTTAGAGGCGTTTCTATAAGAATGATTTTGGATGTAGCATGGGAAATAGTTTGTCACCATATGTAGCGGAGGCATTTATGTGTAATTTGGAATCTGAATTAAAACGTGAAGGATTATTGCCACGTATTTGGTTTCGATATGTTGACGACACTTTTGTAATTGTAAAATTGTCTGAAGTCGAACAAGTACTGGATATTATCAATAATCGGTATCCAAGTATAAAGTTTACATACGAAAAAGAGGACGAAACAACACATACTCTACCATTTCTTGATCTTTTGATTAAGCGACAGGGAAGGAATGTCAAATTCGGAATTTATAGAAAATCAACCTCAACGGATAGATATATCACCAACGATTCATTTTGCACTTATCAACAGAAAATTGCTTCATTCTAAGCCATGGTGTTTACCATTATCAATTGAATCGTATACACAAGAGTGCCAAAAAATTAAACACATCGCTAAGGTCAACGGCTTTGAAACATCTTTGATAGACCGGTTGATTTTTAAACACTCCAATAAAATTCAACGATACAACACAAGCAAATATAATATTTATCGGTTCCAAATAAAAAGATATACATTTTCAGTGCTAAAATGAGGCGAATAAACATTAGGGTGTTTCCCATATCTGTAAATAGAAAAATGGTATTTATTAATTTAAAGTAGGCAAAATTCTATGTTAGTTAATGGCATTTATACAACGAAGCGATTGATGTTAGCACTTCCCGAAGCAAAAAACTGTTTTCAAAATCTAATGATACTTACAATGGAAAAACGCTCTGTTTGTACTCCCGCACAGCCATCTCAACCAAATGGGAAATGACTTTTTTTGTGCATAACTAACCCACATATTCGGGATAGCAGTTACGTAACAAATGTTACTTATGATTTATTTTATTTTATTGTATGGTATTGTGATGATTAGTTGGCTGCTATTCGAACTCGGGCTCGGATATGTCCACGTCGTTATCGTCGTCGAAGACGGCGGCATCGGCGTTGATTTGATTCCAATATCGGTTGATTGCAGCAGGTATTGGAAGTCCAAGCAATGTCCATAGTCCTGATTAATCGAAAAAATGAATCTTTTTTTGCGATCATTCAATCACATTGTGTATCAATATCCTTACCTTTCAGTAGAATGTTCTTAGCAGCCACGACGTCACGATGCCAAGTCACGGTGCATTCGAGGTCTAATTGCC